TTTTAATTAAAAATTAATAATATTAATTAATCGTAATTAAAAAATAAATTAATATAAAATAAAATAATATACATTATAAAAAATTCGGTAAATAAGTTATAATTTTTTAAAAAAAATATATTTTTAATTATATAAACGTTAAATTTAATGGTTAAGTTAATTAATCGTAAACCGCCGTTTTTTTTTTAAATTATAAATTAAAAATTTCGATAAAAACCATTATTTTTTTTAAAAATTTCGTTTTTTAATTTATTTTTTAAAATTATAATTATTTTATTTTTTAACGTAATAAAAATCGAAATATTTTTCGTTTATTATATTTTATACGAAATTATTTTAATAATATAATTAAATATAATTTTTTCTTTTATTTTTTTTAAATAAGTAAAATTTTATATTAATGTTTTTTCACGTTTATAAAAAACTTTAATTAATAAATTAATTTTTTAATTAATTATTTCGATATTTTTTAATTTAATTTTAATAATTTATTCACGTTCGAAAATTAATCGAAAGTTTTTAAATTATTTTTTAAATCGTAATATAATGTTTTTTAATAATTTATTTTCTTTTTATTTTTTAATAAAAATTAAAGTTTTAATAAATGTTTTCGTTTTTCATTTAAATAATTTAAATAATATAAAATTATTAAATAATATATTATTAATAAAATATATTTTATTAATTTTCGATTTATATATAATATTAATATTCGTTATATTATTTCGTTAATTACGCGTTTAGTTAATTTTTTTTTTAATTTTTTAATATATTTTTTTAAATAAATAATTTATTATAAAAATAAATTATTAATTATTTAAAAATATTAATATTTTTTTATCGTTTTTTAAGTTAAAAAAGTAAATATTTTTATTATCGTTTATCGTATTTAAATTATTTTTATAATTTTTTTAATTTTTTAATTATAAAAAATTAATTTTAACGTAAAATTTTTTTCAAAGGAATTTTATATAATATATTTAATTTATTTTTAAGCTTTATTTCGCCGTTAATATAATTTTACGAATTAACGATTAATAATTTCCCGAATAAAAAGTTATATTAATAAATATTAATTTCACGTAATTTTTTAAATTATATTAAATTATATCGTTTATAATTAATGAAATTTCGATTTATATTAATTCGAATATTAAATTAATAATAATCGATTTATATTTCGTAAATTTAAAATAAAATTAATTTTAAAAAATAAAATTTAATTTTAAAAATAACGTTTATAAATAATATTAATTTTTTATTATATAAATAAAAACTTTAAATTATTATTATGTTAATTATATAAAGTTTTTAATTATTTTTTATAAGAAATTTCGAATTTTTCATTAAATTTTATTTAAATTAAAAAAGTTTTTTTTATTATTAACTCGTATTTTTAAATATATAAAAATACGAATATTAAAGTTTAAGTTTTAATATTAATTATATTTTTAATTAATTATTTATCGTTTTATAATTTAATTCGTATAATAATAAATAAATAAAAACGAATATAAACTTTAAAATTATTTAAAAACGAAAATAATAAACTTTTTTTTAATTTAATTAACGCATTAATTCGTAATTTTTATTATATTATTAAAATTTTTTATCGTTTTTTTTAAATCGCATTTAATTTTTTAATTTTATTAATTTTCGCGGTAATTTTTTTTACGTTTTTTACGGTAATTTTAATTTTTTTAATTAATTTAATTATGCATTTTATAACCGTTTATAAAAACTTTAATAAATATTAAATTATATTTATTTATATAATTTCGAATTTTTTTTTTATATTATTATTAATTTTATTTTTTTAAAATTTTATCGTAACGTTTATATTAATCGTAATTATTTTATTTATCGTAATTTAAAACTTTTAAACGTTAAATTTAATATTATTTAAATTTTTAAATTTTTCGATTAATATTAATTTTTCGTTTAATTTTTTTTTTATAACGTTAATTTTTAATTAATTAAAAAAAACGGTTAAATAACATTATATCGAATTAAATTCGTTTAATAATTCGCATTATATTTTTTTACATTTTATTTTTTTTTATAATTTTTATAAATTATCCGTAATTTTTAATTTTAATAAATTTATTAAATATTTAATTTCGTTTTTTAACATGTATTATTTTAATTATAATAATTAATATTTTTTATATTAAAAAGTTTAATTAAAATAAAAGTATTTTAAAATTTATACGGCCGTTTTTAATCGTTAAAAAATTAACGTAATATTTTATTTTTTTTTATTCGTAAAAACTTTTAAAATTATTATTATAAATATATTTATAAATTTAATATTTAATAAAATCGTTTTTTATTTTTATATATTTTACGATTTTTTATAAAATAATAATTTTATTAAAATTAATAATTACATTAAATTTTTTTTAATAATACGATTTTTTATTTTTTCGTTAATAAAAAAGTTTTTTTATTTTTATTAAACGGTAATAATTATAATTTTTTAAACGTAATTAAAGTTTTTTTTCGTATAATAAAATTAATATTAATTTATACGATATAAAAAAGTTTAATTATTTCGTTCGAAAATATTATTTATTTTTTTTATTTTAAAATTAAATATTTATAATAATTAAAAAACGTAAAAAATATTAATTATATTAATATTAAATTAAAAAACGTTTAATTTTAAAATATATAATTTTAAATATTATAATTAATAAATTTATTAATACGAAATGTTATTTATAAAAATATTTTTAATTATATAAAATTTTTCGAATTTTTTTCGTATTTTTTAATTTTCGATTTTTAAATTTTTTATATTTTTAATTAATTTATTTATATTAACGTTAATATTATTTTTTTTTTTTTACGAATAAATAAATGTTTTATTTTTTAATATTATCGAATTTAACTTTTTTATCGTAAAATTTTTTTCGATTATAAAATTATTTAAAAATATTTTATAATAAAAAATTAAAATTAAATCGTCGTTATATAAATTTATAATTATTTTTATTAAATAATTTAATTTTTTAAGTAATTTATAAATAAATTAAATTTTTAAAATTAATAAAAAACTTTTTCTTAAGTTTTTTAAATATTATTTCGTTAATAATAATTAAGTTTTTAAAAAAAAATTTTTAATACGTAAAATAATTTTTTTAATATAATCGTTAAAATTAATAATATAATTTTTAATTTTTTTAATTTCACGAATTAATATAACGAAAATTATTAAAAAGTTATTAAGTTTTAAAAAATTATTAATAATAAAATTACATATTATATTATTAAATTATATTATTTAAAATTTATATTATTTTAAATCGCGAATTTTAAATTTAATAAAAAATTTTTTTTTATTTATTTTTATATAATACATTTATATATAACCGTTTTTATTTTTTATTTTAAATTAATATTATTAATTTAATTAAAAATGTTTTTAATTATAAGTAATATTGTTTGCGTTGTATAGGTTTTGGTGGTACGCGCGCTGTATCGAAAAAGGGCTTAGCGCTGAATCGAACGCGCTACAGATTGTACTGAAATCCCACCATGTACTCGATCAACTTGAACCATTTGCAATTCAATCAATTCAACGTTTCAATCTTTGCAACCTGGTTCAATCGAAAGCGCTTGATCTGAACTATGTGGCATCCTCTTTTCTTATCTTTCAAGTCTGATTTGCCCTCAGTATCAAAGGTTGAAAGCTGACTGTCACTTCGATCGATTCTAGTCAATATCAGCCCGCTCCAGCTTCAATCGCCCCTTACCAGGTTGGACCAGGGTTGATCAAGGTGCAACCTGTATCATTCGAAAGCGCTTTGCAAGAGCAATTGAATGCTTGTAATTACCGAACTTTTGGACCTGGTTTGATTGAGAAACAATTGATCAAAGATTCGAGATAGCGAAAAGATACAAGTGGTGGAATAGCTTAAATTGGGGTACTTCAGCTCCCACCCAAATTGTATGAGACAATATGTACACCATTCGCCGGCGTTTTTCCGCGCCCATACAGCGCAACAACTAGCGCGAGCCATATAACGCAAATAATATTACTTTTAATTAAATTAATTTAAAAATTAATTATTAAATTAATTATTTAATTAATTATTAAATTATTTATTTATTTAATTATATAATTAATTTTAAATTAATTATTAAATTTTAAATTTATTTATTAATTTAATTAAATATATTTTTTAATTTTTAACGTTTTAATTAAATATATTTTTTATTATAACGAATTTTTTTTAAATTAATTATATAATTTTTTTAATATATTAATTATTTTTTTAATTTTAAATTTAAATTTTTTCGTATTTTAAAATTATATAATTAAATTAAAAAATAATTAATATATTTTTACGTAATTTAATTTTAAATTTAAATAATTTTTAAATTAATAAAATTATAAAATTAAAAAAAATTATTTTATATAATTTAAAATTTTTTTTAATTTATTAAAATTAAAATTAAATATTTTTAATAAATTAATTTTTTTCGATAAATTTAAATATTTAATTTAATAAATTAACGTAATAATATATAAATTAAAAAATTACGTAATATTAATATTTTATATATTTTTAATTTAATAATTTTAATATTTTTTATATAAATAATATAAAAATTATATATTTATAATTAATAAATTTTATTACATTTTTAAAATATAATTACATTATATAAAATATATGTTTTTTTATAAATTAATAAAATTCGAAGATTAACCCGATTAAGAACTCCGGAAACTCCGACAAGTGTTAGTTTTTCCTTACGTTTCGTTGCGACATAATAACCCTCGGAGCTCGGGCATACATTCCTATCAGTTCAGATTTAATCCCACGGCTCGGATTCCCCATATTGGACGAGGCTGCATATTAATATGCAATGTACTAATATATTTAAGCAATACCCCAATCCATACCTCTCAACCGCATTTCTCGTCATAATTCATGATAATTCTAGGTAACCATTAAAAACCCAACCATCTACCTCAACCCCGCACACCCTTACGACCAGCGCCACCGCCTCCTAGCTGGAGTTCCGTACCCCTCGGGCACATCCTTGACCCTCCTTTCCCTGCGGCCATGCATGCGGGAGCTACAGCACGTAAAGAAGACCACAAACACAGCCAGGAAACTGCAGATCGCCGAAACGAGCAGGGTCCAGATCGCAGGGCCCCAAGTGGCGGTAGCGGCGTTGCCGGAGTCCGCGTCGTTGATCTTGTTCCTGATGATAGCGAAGGCTACGAAGTCGCAAACGAGCGCGACGAGAGTGACTAGGAAGGCGAGAAGGGAGACGAGTGAGGCGAGGAGCCCGCCGACGACGCCGGCGCCGAGGACGAGGAGGAAGGCGATGAAGGTTAGACCCGTTGCGATCGGGTGTAGGATCATCACGCGCGTGAGCGCTTTAGCCGAGTCCGATGCTGCGTCTGAGAATGACAGGCCGTTTACATTCTCTTCGACCACGGAAACGGGGTCGTAACCTACTTCCGATTGGGAGCAGAAGTCTTGACCAGAACTAGATGTTGCGCTATTAGTCGCCTCGTTCTGGGTGTAAATTGAGAGGGTGAAAGGTGAGAGGTGAGTTTGACTTACGCTAATGTATCGCGCACACAGTATCCGAAGGTACCAAATGTGATACTTGGGCTCCGATTGTTATTATTGAATGATGATGATGAGGCGCCATTGAGATCGATTTTTAGCAAGGAGATGCTATTGACGACTGGGGCCGAAATGTCGGTTATGATTAGCAGCACGGTCGCTGCGAATAGCAGGAACGTGCCGATATGGTGGAAGAACCCTGTCCGCGCCATTGCGATGGAGGTTTTCTGTGTGCGCTGTCTTGTATATTGTGAGCGACGCAAAATATTAGGGGTTATATGAATATGAAGGTATGTATGTCGATGTATGTATGTAAATACAAAAGAAAGCCGCGAGCTATCCAAACAAATGTATAATTAATAAAATCATATGAGACACATGGACGGACTCATCGTCAAATATATGGAAGCATGAAGTTTGGTGTACGCAATTGGCTTAATGCTTGTATTAATGAGTTTCCTTGGCACCAACATGTCAAACCCTTCCCAAAAGGTAATTGATGATGCTTAATTTGAAGACTCCGAGTGTGATGTGTGACGATCCCCTACCTGCTACACCTATGAGATCGCGATTCGATACGTATACGCCCGATCTTGCAACGTCATACGGTGACCTGATGACAAGTTCGTAATCCTCATCCTTAAGATCCCTAGCGGATAGTCGGCAGATGTCCATGTCGAAAAGCGTGGCTCCAAACTCATTCCGGCTTGTGCCACCACAAATGCCGTCCGGGGCTATACACAGCCATACAGATAGAGCTGAAGATTCGTAGGTGACGTCGTGGCTTTGCAGGTCGGGGTGTAGTGTCTGTTGGATCCTTGTGGGGAGGGCCGGGGTTCTGGACCTGTCTGACCTATGCCTTGTTTTGGACGTCCACCCAACTGCCACTCTCCGTACATGACGGCAGCACTGCAGCTAACCATGCAACCAACGGCAGCGGCCGAGCCAATGCCAACGACACGTCATCAATTGCCCTCGTTGTCGATTCTAGCAAAAACCAGCCACAACTTCGAGGCTGTGTCGGCGCAAACTCGCAAACATTTGCAGAATTAATAGTATTTTTGTGATGCAGCGCGATAGAGCGCAATCCTAGTAATTCCAGTGAAGGCATTAAATCTTGGCATCCCTCGATCGTTAAATGAGTCGAGGGAGAAGTAAAGTGCAAACACTTAAAACGCGCCAAGTAGCTACCCGTTTTCCGGGATTGTAGGTAGCCGTCTAGGCAGGGTGTCTTTGATTTCAAAGCGGTTCTTGGACAGTCCAAGCCACAGCGACTGCGAATTCCGAAGGTCTTTTAGACTTAATCCCAATTGAATTCATCCCGAGCATTGTAGACTTGGATGTATGTTTCAATCGACGTGATAAATGTTTCTATATGATATCCACATAACACCTAAGTTCAGATGAATCTGATGTTTATAAACGGCGGCTTATCCTTTAGGCGATTCTTCTTCGATTTCTGTTTTAATTGAGTTCAGCGATAGACCCTCGAGATCTGAAGGGATGTCATTAAATGCATCAGACGCATCGCGTGTGTCGGGTGAATGAGGCGCATCATAAATTGACGCGCCTACACTCTTAGTAAGTTCAGGTTTAACCGCCCAGTCATCCGTTTTCCCGGGTAAAGTCTTTTGGGGGAGCGGATCAACAAGAGGTGGTTTATCGCAGGCTGTGCCGTCTGCGAAAGCTGCCAAACTTCTCATGATAGCCGGTATCATGTTCCGATTCTGCCGATTCCGAATCCGCTCCAAAATAAAGATATGCTTACGCTTCAGACGCTGTTTCCCGAGCAGCGTAGTGGAAGCCCCTTCGACACCTTCCTCTGAGAAACTCGTAGAATCCCGCAACAGTTGATTGGCAGTATCCCAATCCCGCAACGCCGGGGCCATTGCGCCTGCCGGTACGCACTGGCGCAAAGCAGCGGATCTGAATGTCTCCATTTCATCGCCATCGCTAGATGGCCACGGTCCGTGAAGAGGGTTCTTCTTGATCGCGTCGAGATGATTATACGCTCTATTCGCGGCAAACATGTGCAAGGTAAAGGTTATATAGGATATGCCTAGATCCTTAAGAGCGGGTGTAGATTCTGTCTCTCTCGAGGGTGGTATCGGGTCGATAGGGGCAGTTATAGACCCCCGCACATCGTATTCGGCACCCCATGATGAGGTAGTCGGTTCGCCGCCGGCCGCATTCGGATCTTGCGCAACGACAACACGTGTGACAGGTGAAGCGTTGACTAAGGCGGCCGCCGCGTCCGGTTTACTTGTGACGACAATGAAGGAAGAATTATCCTACATTTATAACACTATTAGAATTCATCCGACGATGTTGTTCAGGAGATGTAAGTGCTTACTTCGAGCTTCTTGAAGGTATCGATGGTCTCGAATGAGAGCTTTTGGACAGCTCGTAAAACAGACCGCCGCTCGAAGAATGTTACCGGGGAAGGAATGCATTTCACATAGACTGTTCGGGAACTCAAAGATGACTGTAGGAGCTCCGCGAACGCCGATGCCGTACGTGACATCTTCATTCGCTGAGAATTATTGATTCTCGTTGACAAGATTAGGAGGGCGCTCAAGACCAAAATCCATAGATGATGGGATTCACTATCGATAAGATATTTAGTGGCTCATTTCATATTTATCTTCATAAATATCATAACTTCAATCTATGCATCATATCCTTCTTGTGCATGCATAATTCATAATTATGAATTAACATACAATCTGTCAGAATTGAAGCATTCAATTATTGATGAAAGATGTATCTTGTTCTAATTCTATTATTACAAACAGAAACTCTTAGGAAAAGTTCTTTTTGTCTCAGAGAGGTCACGTGAGTAACCAGATTTTGACAATATCTCCAAAGCACAGACAGGATAGCTATTCAGCACAGACCACCTGAAATACCTAATTCCACGTGACAGATACAAGGAGAGAAAAGTGTATCTGACACAATCTACCTTCTCTTTAACCCCTATTATCCTGATGATACCTCTTTCAAATGACATACTACAGAAGCTCTATAAATTTTTAAGAAGAGCACATGACTTGTCTTATGTCAGTTTAAATATTAAATACTATTCTACGCATGTTAGCGAACATGAGTTCCTACTTCTTCAATCCTCTTATAGGTACTTTTGATGCAACCGGTTCGTGTAAGGGCCCCGTGTGGAACAAATGCTTCCTCAAGATGTGTTTTTTTGAATATTAAGTAATAATATAAGTATTTAGAAGTTATGGGGATGTTATTCTTTATTGAAACTATCATAATTATCCCATATAACTTTCTTTCAACTACCCATACAGTATGTCAATCGCCCAAGTCTTGGTGATGTCAAACTTACCTACCTCAATATCACTTAAGTCTATAAAAAAAACTTTATAAGTAAAGCATATCTACAGCCTAACCAGTGGTGCTTCATCTCTGAATGATGATCCCACGTAATGGTGAAGCGTTGCAATCAGATAGGTACTCTGCCTGCCTACAAATAATCTATTAGGGGCATTTTAAAAAGTTGCTTTGACAAGTTCTAACGACCCTAGAAATAGGTTTCTATTTAGTAGTGAGAGCCTTCCAGGTTATTTGCCCATAAAGAGACAATTCATCTTGATATTCAATCAAACCCCCCACAGGTACAAAGTACTAATATCCCCCGCTAGATATACTCTCTACTCTCCAGATACCGGTCGACTTTCAATTCGCTACAAGAGCACAGGTTCACTGGATAGACACGGATTCAATCCGAGAATAAAAGAGGTATAAATAGCTAGGTAGGTTTGGTAACTCCGCCCGAGAATAGGGGTAGGCTATATCTTCAGTAACAACAGCCACTACAGCACAATTATCAACATGATTCCCTAGGCATCCAGGACCTCATCGCGCAAGAAGTAAACGGATATTGCAAGAGCCATAGAGGTACTTCCATTTATCTCAGATGCTTTTCTTATCAAGTTGAAGCCCCAACACTCACGCCTCGCACGAGGCGCCTTTCACGGTGGCAACAAGATGTTATTGAAACATAACCGTACTATCATATAGCTAAGAACAAAAGCATTTGCTACGGAATTGTCGAATAAATGAGCTTCCATAGGTATATAGAAACACGAAGGCTTATCATCAACGCAGGTAGAAGCAAAGCTCCAACGCCGCAATGCCTACAGCGCGAATCCAGCAAGGTGCATTCGAACTAATTCACTACGTACCTACATGACGAGCACATCTTCACCATAAGGATTCAAGTAGGATTGAGGTTGATATTGGGAGTCCCCATGATCTTCGAGATTACTCATCTCATATGAGCATCTTACCTAATTAGATTTTTGCGTAAGACGTAATGTCGATCCAACGCCCGTAGGAATAGCGAACCCTAGCTCATGTAAGAAACTAGCTTAGGGGATTTAATGAGTTCTTGACAGCTGGAACGCTTCTACGGCACGATAGACACCATGTAATGGCCGGAGATTTGAAGTGGCGTGCCTTTCTACCTTACCATTGAGAATAGGTAGCCACTTGGGGCTGTCATAGCCTGTGTCACCCCAATTGTAGCCCGGTTAGATTCGGGTATTTCAGGGGGTTGCCTCCAGACGATGAAGAGTAACCTGGTTAACGATTGATCTTGGGAGTGACAAGGCAGTTCAAGGAATACTTAGACCTGGTTAAAACTGCATGTATCGCCCCTTGCACGATAACGTGCCTGACAAGCGACGAGATAACCTTGCCAATGTGGTGGGACACACATCATGCGAGAGGCTCAACTGCGAATCATGGGAGGTAGAAGCGATAGGTCAATATGGCGGGTGGGCTATCAATACTTAACAAGGCGTAAGTATCCAGCTGTGCATCGCTGCGCCTGATGTGACGAAACCCAGGCAAATAACAGCACCGCCACCAGTATCACTGATGTACGATGTCTGAGCACATTTGGTGGGCAGTAAGAGCTCGAGTCATTGACCTCCCATATCTGTCCCTGAAACTGCATCCCATGATTCATAAACTGCATGATATCAGAGCCTATCAGCGTTTGCTACTTTCCACGGCCATGGTACCGGTCCCGAACGGTCGACTGGTTGGAGCCCTTTTGCTAAAGTAAGGCATGCAGCATGATGACGGCGTTGGGTAGGTAGTACAAGTCGCTAGGCTGTCCATTTGACATTCGAGAAGGATATTAGGGTCGGCACCTGTTAGCCTTGGAGTAGTCTCTCGGGTCTCATCTACGCCAATCATTGATCCCGCGTCTCTGGCGCCGGGAATTTGGGGGGCGGAAGATAGGGTAGATACATAGGTACATCGCTAGTGCCTATGAGGCAATTTCGTCTGAACTCGCCAAATCTTACTTATCTGACGTACTTCTATGCAGTGTTTGCTATACAAAATAGCAAATAGACTGGCAGATAGGATGAATGGATTGAGGATTGTTAGAGTTGTCATCCTTGTATATACAAAGGTTGCACTTATTAGCATTTAATCGAACCCGGTCCAGGGCGCTGGGAGAGAACTGCATTTCAACTTAAATTAGTGGAGAAATGTCGATTGTCGGTGATCCGGTACAGCGCGCCGAAAGATCAATAATAAATAGTGGGTTATAATTACAGTGGCCCCCCATTTTCCCTCTTATTTTTATGACCTATCAATTTTCATTAGCGAGCCTACCTGTTCTGCCTGGTCGCCAGTATTTAAAATATTTCTTTGTGGTGTGAATAGGTCAAACCTGAAGAAAGAAAGTATGATGTATGAAACAGAATTATGAGTGGTACCGAATTAGAAAGGTTCGAATTCCCAAAGTTCCCAAATTTGACATGGTTGATGTTCCTTGGAGCTAGTTGTATGCACAACAATCATGGATGCACACCAACTCGGGGAAACTAAAGTACACATGGAGTCGGTTCCGATTTTGGAAGGTACCTAACCTAGTGAAGCCATTTACGAGATATGCTATAGACAAGTTTGATCTCAAAACCATCGATTCATTAGACGTACCGAGGCAAGACGGGAGTATTCTTGCTACCGTCGTCGACGTAACATTTGCGCAATACTACTAAACGTTGCGTACGCAGCTTAGAAAGACGTTAGAAAGGGTTATTGCCAAGTCTTAGGATCGTTTCAAGGATTTTAAGTTTTAAGATAAGAGCTGCAAGTCAAACCTGTTTTTGATGGTTTCGTGTTATTCTCGAAAAGTCAAATTAAAGCAATGAAAGCTTTTATCCCCCTTCTTTCAACTTCATACGTATTCGAGTTGAGTTTACACATGTCTCATTATGACACGAATGACGAGTTAGAGCTTGGATGCTGATCACGCCAGATAAGGCTTCAGGTTCATATGCGCGTATGTAGTATTCATACGATATCGTGCCTTCGGACCGGTACTAAACCTTGTGACAACCCTTCCACGCCCGGGTATTTTGGTATTTTGGGTCAGGCGAACATACAGTGCGATTTTCCCGGATGCAAGTCGACCTTTCCCCAGGACCCCGCTTAGAGGGCTAGAATAGATTTCAACTTGGCGCGTCGAGATGTTGGAACTTTGGATATTACATACCTACGTGCTATAGTTAGGCAGTTTCAAAGAATAATAGCTAAATATTAGTTACCGGCGTTTGTAATTTGCGGGATGAAGAGACAAAGGATGAAATCAAAGCCTATCATGGGCACTTTTGTTCAAGCGCATCTTACTCCACCTAGCAGGAATCATTTCTCGGATAACTTCGGAAAGCTCACTTTGAAGCTGTTGGTGGTTCTACAGTACTAAGGTAGGTTTGCTTTCAGCTCTAAACGTGGCAAAGCTGCGACTGGGCATTCTCGGTACATCGCGTCATAACCCCTCGTTTCCTACTTCTTTCTATTCAGCTTCTACGCAGCAGTAAAGCGTCGAGCGCCTATCTGTGAATTAGCTAGCTGCATCTTATATTCTCACTGAAAGTGGAAGTTCGAAACGATCGCTGGCGGTTATTGCTTCGCGCTAAATTAGTGAGTCAGAATATAGCCTGGAGTGCTACAAGTCAGTTGATACACTACATATACTAAGCCATTTACTGCGTAGTCAGCTCGGATTATAGGAGTCGGAAATGAACAACCACGATTATACCGTGTATTGCGCCAAGTAGATTATCGTGCCATGTAGAAAGCTGTTGGTGGAGGAAACATCAACGGGTGTAAGTATTTTGAAAAAGAAACTCTTAAGATCTACTCGAAAAATGAAATACCGAAACATTAAAGTTATCGCCGCTCGGTTGTGGCTTCGGATTTGTCAAGTGCCGATAGAGACAAGACAAAGTTTCTCCCTTCGCTGCTTTGTTACAATTTTTTACAAGAATACATTCAACTGCAGGCTCCACAATGGTTCCGGCAGGACGGGTAGGGGCGCCACTTCTGGAACAATCCTACAGTTCCTATTGGCCAGAATTGGCTCAAAAGTTCCAAAGTTTAAAGGATCGCAGTAACTGCTGTACCTACCACGCAATACTGTACCTACATAGTACATTCTCCCCGCTGGTACCCGTGCATGTAGTTAATTGGTTCCAAGTTCCAAGGTTCGTGTCGCGATCTGAGAGAATCCACTTCTCTTTTTTCCATTTTTCTCACAGTGTAACCTTGGAAACATCACTTGGGATTGTCGTGCAGCATAATACCAGCATACCTGAGCCACCCCCCGGTCAGGGAACCAATGTGGATGAACATTGAGCTGCCTAAAGTGGAATAGGCAGATTTACTTGGTACCGGACAAGTGGGATTTTGGTCTTCTGGCGTCCGGCGTCTAGCGCTCCAACGACTTGAACGGCTAGACGACTCTCTTTATCCCAGATCCTCGTTGCCTCGACCCTTACACTCAAAGGCAGCAAGGGTGTGAAGAATGTCAAGGGTGTTCAAGGGTGTCGAAGGGTGTCAAGGACTCGAGGGTGAACCGCGATACCGATGGCCGTCCCGACCGTCCCAACTTGGGATTGGCTTCGGTTGACTCCCTCATCCCCTCCCCAATTAAAACTAACCGATCTGACTGTCTGATTGCTGTGCCTCTCGCGCCTGAAGTTCAGGTACATGGTCACAGGAGCCGGGCAAGCGGTTGACAGAGGTCACTCGATGTAGTTCGCACGTGTATCAATCAAACGGCACCGAATTAAGGAAGATTTTCAGTTCTACAATGTACTTGAGGCCCAAGGGTGTGGTTCGTTTCGTTACCAGTTCGAGAGCTTCTTAACGCCTTCGCCACCGCTCCATTACTATTTCGATGCTACATACTATGGTACATACATATGTACTTTTAGCGATTTCTTCTGGGGTCCCTGTTACCAACTTGATCCCCATATTCATTCCAGTTCCCCCCGGGTACCGCCTCCATTCTTTTTTATTTTATTTTACCAATTACCCATTTTCCAAAGCTTCGTTTGCTATTGCGCTCCTTCGTTTAATATTGACATTCGTTGTCGGAAAATAAAAAGCAAAAAAAGAAAGGAAACCGATAAAAAGTAGGGGTTCGGCCACGAGCAGGACACGCCGTGGCGTTTTACCTGGGTCTTACATTAGCGTGGGAACCGGCTCTCTGGTAAATCAAGCTTCGTCGCATCCGTCCTGCGTCGCTTTGGTAGCACCAACTAAATCCCACCAACTCGTCGTTGGAACTTTGTCCTTCTTTTATCTACCTACCCGCCCGTCTCCTCGCCTCGGATTTGGTCCAACATGTTCGACAACTTCGCCTTCAACCAGAAGGCCGACTCTGACACGACTTCAGACGACGACAACTCACCACCTTCTCCGAAAAGTAAATCTTCCGAACAACCATCTCCAACGATGGCCACGCTTGCTACTCCGATAGGTGCCTTATTCAACCAAGATGGCGATCGCATAGATTGTCTTGTTCGAAAAATGAGCCAACAAACCTTTGTGCGCGACTCTCGATCTACATTGTCATTTGGGCTTCGAAACTGCGAGGCGGATTCCAATTTGTCAGCGGACCGAATGTCAGCAGAAATACAGATAGAAGCGACCTCAAAATTTTCCGTGACCGAGACGCCAACAGAAGCCGATCCCAACCAACCAATCGTTCCCGCAATCGATAGTCACACAGCACAATTGCAGCAGCAAACATACTACGGGACTCTGGAGAACCATGCTGGGCATCTCGTTGCCAGTGAAAGCTCTAATCTAATAGTCCCCGACGGTGGGATACCTTGGCGACAACCCGAAATGCGTCCTAATAACGGCACTTCCAATCCTCGCACATTAGATCTGTTGACGACTATGGTTGAGAACGGAGTGCAGTGCAACGTGCATGCCTCAAGACCTACGAGCCCTATGCCATCGCCCTACCCGCTCTCTTCTAATTTAATACCACCTTCTTCCGAACCCATTCAATTCAAGAAACCGGACTACAACATTAATCCACGATTAATGCACGATAGCAATATGGAATTAGAGGTTGACCTGAACTTCTGTAATGGAAACGACGACGACGATACATATTTTAGTGGTCCCCCGGCTTTAAGAGACGCTAGCACTCCAGCTGGCATCAGGAAATTCGGATATCTTAAGTACAGATCATCCTACGAGGCAGCTGCGAAATGTAAGAATATGAGGAAGAATACACCAAGGATGCGCAAGAGACCGAAGGTCACACGACCATCGGCATCAGCGGCATCTACTAGTGCGGCCAGTTCGACGACCCTTTGATTTTGAAGAACATTTGTTTTATGTATAGCTTGCTTAGATTTGTTGCATATACCCCACGGCAGGAAGCAGGCGTTACAAGGTGGGCAGAAGGACATATCATGTCAGTTACGGGAAATGCATTACATCGGGCTCATCGGCGAATGAGCAGGTCATGTCAGGCATTTATGGGAGTTGGAAGCATTTGATTTGGCATCGTGGAACAAGTTGCATAAGTCATTCAAGGCTTGTGTATAGCAGGGAGCGAAATTTTGTGGCTGATTTGATTGGTAGACGGGATTGTGATGTTGGAGATTCTAGGAGATCGTTACATCTCGCCTCCACAGGAACTTCGTCACGTGTGTAAAATGGCGGACGATTTATATGTTTACGATACAGAAGTGTACATGATTAACCCAGAGGGGAGGTACGCTTCATAGCTACCTAGTACCCAGTAAATAGTTCTAATTAAGCACCTTTTTCAATAGGGGACTTGGGTCTCGAGTCTGGCTCCGCGCATGTATTAATCTCATGTATCGATCAAGTCACTACCGGGAAGACAAAGGCGTTCTAGTACTTTACGCATTGTTTTCGGAAAACAACTTGTCCAACGTCTCTGCGCTTTGTTTGGAGAATATCTTCTCAAGCTACGTAAGACATGACAAAGGCGACATGTATGATGGCTACCAACTTAATGTATACGTAAGTAACTTATTCATATCACACTCATGGGACGAGTGATGAGGCATTGATGTGTGAGTACGAAATATTGAAAGGTTTGATTGATATTCGCAGGAGCCGAGGAGAGTTGTTGACATCTTATATGCAGGAACAGAGACGGATCTCAGATTCCATCTATCAAAGTATCGTGGTCGATTAATTGTGTTAATGACGTGCTTTTTTTAGCCATCGGCATTCTCCGAACCACATTTAAGATGAGTTACGATGAGGGTTTTACATCGTGAGTGATGCCATCTTTGGCGCCACGTTCTCCCCTGAGATGAGTTCACATTCCAAAGATTCTTTGTCACCCACTTTGCCCCACATCTACCCAAGAATCGATGGACTTGGGATTCATTATAACTATTCATCGATCAACAACGGCCATGGTTACGTCCTTTGATAGCTCTCTTTGTCGCTTTTCAAGGAGGGATGGTTAACATGGCACCTGGGAGATAGCTAATGGGAATACTGCGCGGTTCGCTGAGGGGTTAGAGAGATGCGCAAGATGGCTCCCATCTTTAAAGACCCCTCCCCCGGTGGAATGGGTTACTCGAAACTTAGATGCTCTTGATGCCTCACACACATTCCTCCGTACAATTTACTGAATGGTTCATTCGTTTCTGATGTTGAGGATGATCAACCTTTAGCCTCATCAGCCTTATCGTGGCGTATATTATTTGCATACCTTCTGTTGCCGTGACAGCTTTTTCATGTTTTGTTGACTTACTTATCTCGAGATACAAGGGCGCCAGTTGACCTGTTAGGTCCTTTCGTTTGGAAACCTTTTCTAACCTTTTCTAAGCTCCGAAGAGAAAAGAGAAGACAGCTCAACCAACCCAACGAAAACCATCACACAAGCTTAGAACTGCTCCCTCCCAATTCGAAGCCATGGCCTTTACGGCTGTCCACTATCCGACTGACAAAGACCAGGGACACATCCCTTATTGGCCCGAAAATGAGGAGCTGGGGGTGGCAAGCGAGAATTTCTTTGACCAATTCGTCACCTTTGATGGCTCAGATCCCGCGGCTGCGGCACTGAGCTGCGGCCTCGAGGACCCCCCAAGTCCATCTGCCCTGCTCGATTCCTTCAATGATAACTTTACCAACTCATCTGCTAGCGAGCAGGGCACGCAATCTGGGCAGGCCCAAAGCGAATCGTCAGCCACGTCTGTTTCGCTGGATACACCTTTGGCATCTTGCTTGGAAGTCGAGCCTCTGGAACATTGCAAGTCTGTTCCTGCGGAGCTCACCAATCCTCTGCTGGCAGATCCTGTACTGAGCGGCGGTTCTATTTCGGACTCGGAACTGCTCCGCTTGGAAGGCATTTCTTTGAAGTCGCCAAAGCCAAGCGTCACAGCGCCGTCAAGCCCCCCTTTCGCTACCGGCTCTCCTAGCCCGCGCAAGCATAATCGGGTTCTTAATTCCATCTATGCTACATTTCGTCGAGCAACACATCGTTCGAAATCCCGGAAACCTGTGGATACGAATGCGGAGACGATGCCAGATATGTTTAAAGATGAAGAGCATGTATCCTACGACCTACCAGCCAATCTTGATTTAAACGACTTTGGAGATATCAAGCTAGAAGATATACCTGGCCCAGTTGACAGCCACGGTTTACCTATCTCGCCGCCTCTCACGGGAAGGATCCCTCCCGACCAAAACCCCAACGACGTCTTAAATTTCGTAAGCGGCCATTTCGACGACCCATTTTGCGATGGCCTGTTAGCACCACCCGCCACCATTCACCCATCAGGGAAGAGCCACGACGCCAACATAAACACACCTCTCGACACTCCATCTCTATCCGACGACGCCTTCTACCACGGAATGGGCATCCTAGATACCAACGGATCCTCCTTCCGCCCGCAACCCAAACTCCGAAGCACAAGCTCGGCAGAGTGGCCAATGGAAGGGATCCTAAGCAACGACGCCAACCCCAACGCCACAATCTGGCCCTCCAATTCTCCCCAAAACGCCCCTTACATCCCCGATACCGGAAACGCACTAGCAAGCCCGGGATGGTGGGACCCCCCAAACAACCACCCCCACCATCCCCACTCCCGCCCAATGGACCTCCCTCTCCACAACGGTCTCCCCTACGACTACCCCCCCAACCCCGACCTCGCCGGCCTCATGATCCACATGCCCCAGCCGCGCCCCCCTCAATCCGCCGTCCTCACCCCCGGCCCCGCAAACGACCCTTACTACAACGGCGGCACCCCGCGCCACCACCGCCGGCACTACAGCGAACAGCGGCGACCGCGCCCGCGCGCTCCTTCCTCAGGCGCTAGACACTACGCCAACGGTGGGGGCGGTGCGGGGATCCACACGCCGCTAACGTCGCCGCGGAAAGTGTCTGCGGGCGCGGGCGCGGGAGCGGGGTGCTATACCCTGCGCGAAGAACCGCCTAGTCCGACGCCCACGGGCCGACACCGGTCCGCGTCCGGCGGGTCTCTCGCGGTGCGGAAACGGCGGTCCTGGCGCGGAAGGCAGAACCTCGGTTCCGAGCCACGAACGCCTTCCGGGCGGTCCGTTTCGTCGTCTTGTCGGCCGCCAATCGGGTTTGATGGGCACGGGGCGGTTCCGACGAGGAGGGTTAGTATGGGGAATATGCGCGGAGACGGCGGAGGGGGAGGGGGGTCGTTGTCGATTGAGTTCTGTAATTACACGCCGAGTGATAAGAAGGTGCTTATGAATGGGGTGGCGCCGAGCGGGTCGAGTAAGACGAAGGCGAGGAGGGAGAGGGAGGCGCAGGAACATAAGAGGAAGATGAGTGAGGCTTATATGCAGGCGATTCGTGCGGCGGGCGGGGATGTGGAGAAGTTGAGGCAGGGGGGGTTTTTTGGGGGTGGGGAGTAGGGTGTTGGTTGGCGCTGGGTTCAGAGAAAGTTGGTGATAGGTAATTAAAAGGATGGGAGGTCTGGCCAGGCTGGATCCTGATGGTGGACTTGGGATCGTGTCGGTGTGTATCTACTCGGGTTCATCGCGACGTGGAGCAAGTGTATGACGGGCGGACGGCGCACGGATACGGATGGCTTCTACTTCTTGGCTGGTCGACTTGATCATGGTGTACTAATACTGGCCGTGTATTTGTAGTGTACTACCTAGGTATGGATGCGTGCGTGCATGCGCGTGACCTGCTTCCTCCTGGGATTAATTGCTGCGTAGGATAAGCGGCGAATGGAGGCGTGAAATGCTCAGGGGGTATCTGTATGGGTGGTACGGAGAAGGAAGAGTCACTTTTGGCTATGAATTACGCTCAATTAATCTATCTGGCTATTACAAAAGTTCTAGAGCGGGTGGTCAGTAAGACGAAATGATAATCCAAAAGCATGTTATATTAGAATTGATGTTGAAATGACTTGATTGAGTTTGCTTGAAGGATGTTGCTGAACCGGAATGAAGGTATCGCGAACAGCCTTAGAAGTCATCGGGTACCTACCTAGGTAGGTAGGTAGGCGCCTACGTGGTAGATATGTAACCGTAACTTGTAATTGTAATCAAATGAGCTAGATTAAGACGCCTATCCTCTGAGCGTGAGCATGATCTAATTTCCTACTAACTACTAGTTAAGGATCATGACGTTGTGGAATCCGTATGACAGTCAACATAATATTAAACCGTCATAAATGGACTTAAGGCAACCCACATCCCGTTACGACAATTCGATTGTCGCTGGTGGCTTGCTTGTCGTGTTGTAGAACACACAACTCACTCCCTCAACCTCATTCACGATCCTGGTAGATACGTTCATGAGGAAATCCATGTCGAATTTGTAGGCCTCAGCACTCATGAAGTCCTTAGTCTGAACTGCACGCAGCAAGCAGAGATATCCTTCGTATCGTTTATCGCCCTTTAAATTGATTAGTATTTTGTGGCCGATGACTTCTAAATAGAGATGATAGTTAGGTAGTAGGTTATGAGGCGGCTTACCATGACTCCCACTGCTTTGTTCGTGTCGATACCGGCATAGGCTTGGCTGATCTCGTTATAGAGTCCGGCTTCCTTAATCATGCTAATGAAGATCTTTGGGAGAGGTTAGCGCTAATACTTTTCAATCCAGAATAGAATAAGTGAGGTCAAGCTCACATGATCAGCCTTTCTCGCTATCTCTACACGTTCTGGAGTTACTTCTCCGAGAATTCGGATGGCGATTCCGGGTCCGGGGAATGGCTATTGAAACCATGTTAGCAGAGCTATATAGATATTTTGGTGTGCACTCTTAGTTTAGTTTTCGAGTTACACCAAGAATGGCTTACATGTCTCATAACGAGCTCTTCGTTGACACCCAATTCGCGTCCAAGCGCTCTAACTTCACTGTACAATTAACATTAGTATTGTAGTGGGGTTCGCTTACATTTAGGCTTGATTTAGGGGCTTACTCCTTGAACAACTCTCTGAAGGGCTAAAACGTATTAGCGTATGTATTATGCAACCGTCCTACTTTCTTACCTCAATTAACTTGAGACCTTGTCCATCCATCATTCGCTGCGGCAATCCGCCGACATTATGATGTGTCTAATTGATGTCAATTCAACCGTTTATAGTAAATGTTAAAAAGTGCATAGATTATACCTTAATAGTTGCAGAAGGGCCCTTGAAAGAAATGGACTCGATAACGTCCTAAAAGAAAGTTAGTTGATAGGTCACCTAACAAGGGTTGGGATATCCCTACAGGGTATAAAGTGCCCTGAAGAAACCACTGCACTTTGCCGGCATTAGGCGTGTTTTCAGCGGCCTTCTCAATCTTGATGGCTTCTTCCTCAAAGATATCGATGAACGTGTTGCCGATGATTTTTCTCTTCTGCTCAGGATCTAATACACCCTTGAGTTTCGAAAGGAATATTTGCGAGGCATCGATAACGGTCAAATTGATTCCTAGATGCTCTCCAAGTGCTTCCTTTACTTGTTTGCATTCGTCTAGGCGCATCACGCCGTTGTCAACTAGTACAGCATGGAATCTGTCACCAATTGCCAATTTCACTGTAATGGTGGCGTTCGTTAGCAACACATTTTAGGCCTGAATCTTAAAAGTGGAGAATCCAGTTTCTTTCATTCATGCAGGAAAAGGGATGAAGGCGCAACTGACTTAATTTTGCGGCAACTGTTGAATCGACTCCACCTGAGACAGCTCCAATCACTTGACCATTTCCTACGAGTTTACGGATCCGTATAACTTCCTTCTCGAGGAAGTCTGTCATGGTCCAGTTTTGCTTGACGGCACAAATGCCGACAGCGAAGTTCTTGAGAAGCTCGGTACCACGAGGAGTATGAGTAACTTCGGGATGGAACTGTATTCCGAAGATTGGCTTCGTCTCGTGGGCGATGCTGGCATAAGGCGAGTTTTGGGTTGTGGCAATGGTGTGAAATCCGGTTGGCAATTGACTCAGCTTGTCGCCATGGCTCATCCAGCTATCCATTGCGTTAGTGAATCTGTTAGTCATGTCGAATTGAATACACTTACACTCGCATACTGCCGTTGTCAGATAGGCCTTCATAAAGTCTATCAGCATGGCCGCCGTTCAGCAGCGGCGTAAGATCCTAAAATATTGCGAATGTTAATAACCATAATTTCATACTAACTAAGAAGGTCGATGAATTAATACCGCCTGTCCATATTCTCGCTTTGTGCCTGCAACGACATTGTCCTTGCTCAGATTCCATGCTATCTCTTGGAGGCCATAGCATATGCCCAGGATGGGAACACCGAGCTCAATGAAGGCCGGGTCAACGTGGGGCGCATCGTTATCATAAACTGAAAACGGGCCACCAGACAGAATGATTCCCTTGGGTGTCCAGCTGATCTCTGACAATTTTGTAGTGCACCTGTATAATGGATTAATAAAATGAATCATATATATTTAGAAGATCTTTAAAATTGAGACTTACGGAAGCATCTCGCTGTAGATGTTTAATTCTCGCAGCCGTCTCGTGATGAGATGCGTGAACTGAGAACCGAAGTCCAGTACGAGAATAGTGTCGTAGGCATTGTGGGGGGCCTCGATCTGCTCGATTGAAGCCGACATCTTAAATGAGTATTCTGTATGTCGAACGATGTAAAGAAGCAGCCCGAAGATGTTGTCCCTTACGTTCTACGTTTGATGATTTATGGCGACCCCAAGGGCAAGTGAATGTTTGTTATCGGAGCCGTTTGAGGAAAAAAATATCATCGAGGGGTTCCATCAGAATTTCTTATCATAGAATCTTATCAGTCCTAAAACGGTTTAGCGAGGGGTAACTTTTTCTAAACCTTGATGGCTCACTGGGCACTGACTCAATTGATTTTGCTTACGTAAATCCTTAAAATACTTAGGTACCTGATAGGTACCGAAGTACTTTCAGGGGTAAAAGGGGTGACGTGAAAGGGGCCAAGATATTATTTAAATCTATTCAGTATCTAATCGAAATATCTCTTTCTAAAATGATTACATAAAACTCGTATCATAAAGATTACACTCGATGATTATAACTCTGTCGTCCCTAGGCCAGAACAGCGACCCATCTCCCGTCAGCACACAAGTGGCTACGCTATTCTGTCCAATCCAGTCTCGTGGGATGAAGTAAAACCTGTGACATGTTTCACTGAGACTGATATCTATTGTGGCATCGATGTCATAGCTGCAAAGCCAGAAGTGACGGTCCAGGAATATTAATTTTGATCCGTTGATAATGCCTAGAGGCACGTGGATTTGGGAGGATATTTCTTTTGGAATCCGAGAGACGTCTAAAAACTGAGGTTGATACGTGCCATTGATATCTTTTGGCAAATTGGTGATTGGAATAATCATCGAGTCATTTCCGAGTCCGCTCTTGCGAGTGACGTTGTCAGTAGTATGGAGGAGAACGTTGCTTCCGTCTTCGCTAAGGATGGCTTTGTTAACCACTCTTCTAATTTCGTTGTCCCCAGAGAGACATAAATCCCAGTTGACGGTCTCAATTTCTGAGGATTTATTTACCCCCATTCTAAGTTTCGAGTTGTCATGAATCTCACGATATGGCGCTGAGTATAAACCCTTAATATCTGTCCATGAATAGGCAGACACATTTAATGCTCCATATGATAAGATGATGTCTTGTTGAATAGGGTGGCATAGCCACTTGCATTTGTCATGCTTCTGAATGAGGTTGGAACTGGTTTGTAGGGAACCATCTTCGGTGGAGTAGATGAGACATTCTTCTCCTCTCAGAATGAAAAGTCTTTGACCATTATGATTGAGAATTATCTCCTCGATGTTATGGCCGTCCAGCCTAATAATTGGTGTGGGTAGTGATGATACGGCAAAATTATTTATATTGTGCCCATTCAGTGCTTTGACTTGGACACCGCCGGCCAGATCTGCAACCGCTACACGTTTTCCATCACTACTCCAATTGATGTGCGCTACAGGGAGGAAGTTACGAAAACGTGCCAATTCAATTCCATCTTTATTTCCTTTCTGAAATAAGGTTACAGTTCCATCGTCGTAGCCTACACAATACAACGTGCCGTCCGGGGCCAGGGCAAATGCAGTTACGACTTCAATTCGACTTATAAATTCCTTCGAGAGTCCAGATAGCGCTGTTGATGTATGGTCGCTGCCATTGTCGCTTAGATATTCTGTGGACTCTAGAAATTCAGCGAGATTGTTTGGTTCCCAGGCATTGATGGAACCATCGCGTAGATCATAGAATCGCCGACTATCGGGGCTGAAAGATATGTCAGTTACCAAGTTATCTGATAAAAGCCGATAGATGACGTTCAAGTTCGCGAAATCCCAGATGCGCACTGAGCCGTCGCTGGTACTAGTTGCGAAGAGCTTCCCATTAGGACTTGCCGCGATCTCATCCGCAGTCCAACATGTTTTGGCCTCGATGTTTTCATCAGTCATAGGGTGCCATTTAAAGACAGTCCCATCCTTGTAGATCCCAATAACGTGATTTGTAACCGGATTCCAGGTCAATCGGTCAACTGCGAACCAGTTTGAAGATGGTTTGCGTAAGTCCTTTACTCTTTTGCACTTATTGATGCAATGTCCATCATGGAGTCTCCATACAAAAAGCGGGGCTCCCCTATATGATACAGCGACGTGTGTTTTGTCTTTGTTGAATCCAAGACACATAGGTGAGTTGACTATTGCTCCCTCATTCCGTGATATGTCTTTCAAGAGACTTGGGTTTAATATTTGCCATCCTTCTTTGAAATTGTTGCATTGGATATGCCTAATAATATTGTCGTCGCCTCCGAGTAACAATTTCCGATCATTTTCGGCAAAGGCTATAGTGAGTGCCTTGGTGTATGGAGGGTTTTCCGTCGATGCGAGCAAATCTCCCGAAGGAATAGCCCACATCTTAGTGCTCTTCATTCCGTAAGTTGATAACCTAGTCCCGTTTGCATTCAAAGCCATGGCTGTAACCGGCTCCCCATGCGAAATAGACGCAACCTCGGAGAAGCTTGACGAATCCCACATACGTGTAACTCCAACAGAATCGAGTACTGCCATATGTGTCCCAACGCAGGTGATTTTCCAGGCTTGGACCTCTTCGGGCAGGACAATTCGACAGATATGGTCATTCCATTCCGCATCCACATCCCCAATAATCTTGATTTTTGCCGAGCGTGAAAACTGCTGATGCATCATAGACTTTGAGGGACACAATGATGGGATGATATCGTATAAGGCCCTGGGCTTTATAATAATAGTTTGAGAAAATTTACCGGCGAGTTTATTTAAATCGACAACCCAATTGTCAAGAAGATTGAGATCTGAAAGCCGGTACTGTATGGGATCCACGGAACCGATTTGCTTTTTTATATTATGGGAGAAAGCTGTTATGACTTTTGATGCTCTGATTAGAACTTCTGGCCGCCGAATAAGTACTAGTGCATGGATCCAGGTTAATAGAGAATCACTGCGGAAGAATTTTACGAGCAGGTCAAGACATTTGGAACTCGTGGAGTTACTTTGGTCAAGATGAAATGACCAGTTGACCACCGAGTAAAATACGAAAGGCTCACTAGAGTGAAGAGCGTATTCACCTTGCGTTAATCTCCACCGAAGGTTTGGGTCTTCTAGGATTGTAAGAGTATTTATGAAAAGTTTCTCGTGAGTTTGCTGCGCATTGATCAAAAATTCTTTCGAGGAGTTCATGAAGTAATCGCGTACAGTATGATGTAATGTACTGACTTCGTTTTCTTCAACTCGTAGAAACTGCCCGCAGGTATCTTCGATAGTTCTTTTCAGATCAAGAAACCCTCGAAACTCCGGTTGCAGTGCTTGAGATAACTCTACCAGACTTAGCGGGCGCTGCGCACAAGTACACCACTCAAGAATGGTTCTTATAAGTCGGTTTTCCGATCTTTTCGTTGAACGGACGAGACTATCCTCCATTCTTTCATAAAGTCGAGTCATATCGCCAGGGATCTCTTCGAGGACATCTCGGATATTCTCTTCCGTGTGACATCCAAGAATCTCATCTACCACGAGCCTCGTGTAGAGAAAATTGCCTTGGACACGCTCTAAGATAGTTTGGGTGAGCTGCTCACGAAATACTAGACTGCCGCGCATGTATCTAAGTTCTCGTTCAACTAAAAGCTTCATATCACTATAATTATGATTGCCGCTTGTATTTTCTAATCGAAAGACAGGCACTGTTTCCGAAAGCCTATCCATATGAACTGATATCGAATCTATATTGCGGCTGACGATTAACACTCGAAGAGGTAATTTCGCTTTATACAGGCTCGCTAGGCATTCTAAGAGAGATTGTGGAGAGTCGGATTCATCTAGTGCGTCAATCACCCAGTAGATTGGTTCCGGGCGCTCTATATCGAACAGTACATTCTCGAATATATTCCGCCAAATCAACAAGGGGTCTCCGGAGTCCAAGCCTAAGCTTTCTGCTGAAGATCCGTCCAACCCCATTTTAAATTGAGGGATATCCTTTGTTAGCTGTAGTGCAAGGGACTGTAAGGCCCCCGCGACTGAACGCTTATTTCGATCCGAGTATTTGAACAGAAATGATTGGCATGTAAGCCCCGAGTTTCGTAGATGGTTGATTAAAAAAGCGGAAAGGACCGACTTCCCAGTGCCAGGAGGAGCATTAAGCCAGAGTAAACGGTGTTCTGATGATGGCTCAAGCCAAGAAATTGTTTCTGGTTCGTTGAGAAACCACATGCATGTATCGGGAATCCGGATACGACTTAACGTATTATAGTCATCTTCAGTCGTCGGGGAGTTGCGGAAAAGCTCCTGGAAATTTGTTTTAGCCTCGTAGGCCTGCGGATCGGCATTCTGCGTTTCTAGTCGGCTGAATTGTTTTGCTAGTGATTTGATAGCATTTCTTACGCTGATGTAGTTAGAGTCCATAGGGCTTGAATATTTACAGACATCATGATGATCTGCCTGTAGGGGTCTTGAGATTTCAGCTGGATAACCTAACACAGATGATTCTTTCTCTAGTACCATGATCTTCTTGGGTCCTATGGATGTTGCTAGGGTTTCGTAGAAGGACCATATGGAGAGCCTTGGTGCAAAATGACGGAACTGTTCGTTGAGTTCTTCGATGGCCGGAGAACTCTTGTTCAAGTCTGAGATGAAGTTTTTCGATGACTGAAAGGAAGCGGCTAGCACTGAGTTGAGAATCTTCGCTAGATTGGTGCCACGATGGGGAGTCGACAAGAACATGATAGCAGATATGGGTTCGATCATATTCTTGTAGTTTTCATCGTGAAGGCCTAGCAGACACGCCTTCTTGACGACCAAGCCACCCATGCTATGAACGACGAAAATGATAGGATTTGTTCCAATATTTAGGTCAGATCCATGCTCATCTACTGAAAATCGCATCTCAAACAATAGCTCTTTGGCAAAATCGGTGATACTAGCGATGCTTTTTGTTGCGCCATGCCAAGCCGCATTGTAACCGAACGTCAAGATACGAGCATTACCAATATCAGGTTCGAACGGTAGCCATAACTTTGGCCAAAATAAAGACGGGTCATGGTTCTGAGACCAAGTCCTTTGACTATGGCCCCCTAATCCATGAACGAAGATGATGTCAAGGCAGGCAGAGTCTGGCTGGTGAATTACGTGGAGACCTAGACCCGAGGGTAAAGGTGAGGTGTTACTGCGATTGGAACTAGAGCCAATAGTGAATGAGGTGCTTAATAGTCCCCTTATCCTGCTGATAGATTCTGAGTTGGACTCAATGGAGTCTGAGGTTGTCTTCTTTCTTGGACGAAAATTCTTCAACTTTGCAGCACGTCAGCCCACAACGCGAAAGGAGTAAGAGTAGACGAATAAAGACACTCACCATAATTTAGATAAACTCGAGATTGCCGGTTCCTTTGATAAGTTTGAAACCTAGGAACGATCATCAACGCCATTCGGAATTGAAGGCTTGTGACAGATCAGTTCTCAGTAGAATTCCCCTCACAGCCACCAAATTGCGCCTGTGGGTTATGGTTACATCGGCCTGGCTGCCTGACCACACAGGAACCTTGCTTGCGGCGCATCACCATACAGTGCCTACACAGTACAGTGGCTATGTTCCAGGTAGACAGAGCTGACATCTAGAGGCCATGAGTATCTCTTTTGTAGGTACCTAGGAATATAGGGGATTTTCAGGTTGATGATAACGTCCTCTCGAAACTTCCATACGGAACAACGATCCTCTCTGCCAGGCTTTTAAGCTCATCTATTTGGACGGTAGGGGCACGGCTACATGTCAAACTGCTGGACGGCATGGCCGTACGCTGATCGAAGGCGAGTTCAATGCAATGTCGGAACTCCATAAGTGGGCTCCGGACTTTGTCCCTAAGCCACACCTAGGATTTAGAGTCTTACTTCTTTCTATCCAAGTACGTCGATTTGAGTGAGAAAATGACGAATCCGAATCAATTATGTTCGAAGCTAGCCCGACTTCATCGTGAGAGCCAATCCCCAAATGGCCAATTTGGCTTCCATATCACAACTTGTCAAGGGCGCGTTCCCCAAAGGGTTTCTTAGGAGAAGAGCTCGACATGATTTTTCGTTAGACTTTTCGTGAATGCTGTTGAGCTAGACTTTAGCTTTAATGGCTACCTAACTATTGGGAGGAGGTCAAACAATTGGAAGAGACTGGTCTCTGTCGTCATCCCTCAATTACTAGACGCACTTGTGCAAGATAACAGAACGATCAAGCCTGGTTTGATTCATACCGGTCTTTGGGAAGATAACTATGGCACTGCGTCCCAAAATGGCAATATTATAATATCATTTACTCTCTGTTAACCATCTTGAATAAGGTAAAGCCGTACGTTAACTGTAAGTCATCTTAGTATCCGAATACCGAGCTACCGCATAACTTACCCACAAACCGCCAGTGCTTACTCAGATATACACTATCTTGTTGATAAATATTCCCTGACGAATGACCTCCGAAGTTAGACCAAGCCCAGATGGCACAGTTATCATCTGAGAGAAACCACACATTGGATTGAAATTCATTCGATTCAAATTGGTTGAGTATTCATACCTACTTGGAAGATAGCATCAATCTGAACAACCACAAGATAAGAGATCCATAACTGATTCCATTTGCCTAACCTAATGTGAAAGAAGAGGTCCCGTTACTTGTAGCCGATCCGCTAGTATATCCTTCCGTGGCGAGAATCACTGAAGAGCAGCATGAGCAAGACTTTTATTTGAAGAGAAATTGGGGACTCCTTACTATAGTCATGACCTCCTAGTCTCATACCAAGTTTTGCCCATTCTTCAAAATGCTTTCCTGTAGTAATCGTCCCTCCAACTCTCTGATCGGTGCGAACAGACCAGTATTGTTGAAAGGTTGCCGTGCCAACGATAGAGGGTTTATTGACGCGAGTGCTCGTGAAAACAGTGTATGTTCCCTCATCAAATGTGAAGTTACCCTTCTCAGTCCATGGCTCATTGGGCAGTAAATCGCCTATCATGGCATATTAGTACATAAAATCAAAGTATTCGTAGATTTTTCAATACCATGCGCATCTACAATGTAGTATTCGATGAGTGGGTTTCTTGTCCAGCCATATACGGACAAGTAACCGGGACCCTTGGTATCGTAGGTTCCTTCATATTTTACAGCTCTGGTTGATACTGTCAGCTTATTACGGCCGAACCGTGGCCTTCTGGGTGGTACCGACCTGTTGCCGCCTGGGCTCCACCCCTTTCCACATACGAAGCCGCTTGCGCCACCAGTAGTTTGCCATGTTACACTATACGTGCTACCAGCGCCATTGTTGCATCGATAAGTCCCACCGCCTTCGGACCAAGAGGACCAAAAGTAACCCCCTTGTCGAGCTTGGATTGCATTGCTGTTCTCACCGTGCAAGTGATCACCTAGCTGGGGAAGCGATCCAGAGGGTGCCGAGAAGACTCCTGGGATCAGGGCAACAGCCGCAAGAATGAAAGAGGATAACATTTTTACGAATTCGATATCATTAACGATCTTGCCCTCTTCACTCCTGGATACCTACGATCATCTGCTGCTTATATACTTCTCCATAATTTTCTCTTCCGGGGTTCTATGTTTCTGGAGGCAATCATGTTTAGCCTGAAAACCTCGTGGACTTCAGGGGTTAGTTTTGGATAAGACTTCCACTAAATTGGCTGTAACTCCCCTCATTGCTAGGACCAATTGGGAGTTTTGCTCATGAGTTTAGTATAGAAAACAGATACCCGATTCCTTCATGGTCCGCATGCTTCTCCTCGGTTGACTGCCACACCTAGGCCCGGACAATCGGAATGGACCTGGAGTACAGTGTTCGAGGCCTGCCAGACACTCCAAATCGACGTCCGTAGCTCTTCTATTAATATAGGTTAATGCAACATACTAAGCACCTAGGTGTGTACCTCCATTAGTTAACAGACTATGCCATCCAATATCTCGAGATATAGTTTCTGAATCTGATCTGTTTAGACTCAGGGTGATATCACGCCATCTGACTATTACTAAAAATAACCTTAAGGGAAGGACATTGGGTACCTAGGAACAACATGTTAGCATGCATAGATCATGTCTTCACAAGAGTTATGGAACCCGCGTCTTACATGTGATAGACTTACTAGAGATTATAGCTGCGGATCAACTTTCTGACCACCGTGCATCTTTTCAATCGCCCTCTCACTTTCCTTAACGCTACTCTCCCATGTGGGATACCTAGAATCGTACCAGGCACGTATACCCGCTGGGCCATGTGTCGAGATGCATTTCGCCAGCTCGATACCATCTATGATAGCATTTTCAGCTCCCTCCCCTCCTAGGATAGGCTCCGCGTGAACCGAGTCGCCCATGAAAAAGACACCCTTCCCCACAAATGTGCAGAGTTCCTGATGGCTAACCAGTACGGTGCGCATGAGCCAATGTAGAACCCTTTCCATTCTCAACTTTTCCGCATCGAAAATTTCCTTAAATGGTTGCCTTAGCTCTTGGAGAGCCTCTATCTCCTGGAAAAACTCTTCCGGAATGTCCGTCGCACCAGAGACCGGGCGGTTGGGCTTGTGAAGCATATCTGTGGATCCTCTTGCAGGGCGTGAATATGTCCATCCCACATTCACGGCGTCCGCTTGTTTTTCGTTGACAAATACAGTCAAGACCACGTCGCCCAGTCTGGTCTCGACAAGGTTAGAACCTCTTATTGCCGGTGCATAGACTTCATCGAAAAGCGCGCGCTTCACGTGACGCTTGCCGTTGAATGCGACATAAGGAAGAACTTTGAGGGGCGTGTTAGGAGAGAGGGACTTGCGCGTATTCGAATGTGGACCATCAACGCCGATTACGCACGTGCTCTCTAGTTTCTGGGTACTTTGTAGGCAAAGCGCTACCCCTGACGGAGTTTCTTCTACCTTCTCAAGAGCATTCTCCCATTGAACATCAAGTCCTTGGCGGAGTAGTTTCTCGAGCTTCTCTCGATGTGCTCGGAAAGATGACGATGGATCTATCTTCCCGGGATAAACAAGCAGCTCCGGATCAATATTTCCGCTGCCGCCCACCGATCCATCCACCGCTATGCGACGCCTAAAAGTCCACTCATCTAAACCGAGTACTTCGAGTAGTGGTCTATAGGAGGAAGCGTGGAGTGTGATACCGTATCCGTGGCGCGGAGTTGAAGGCATTCTTTCATAAAGAACTGCAGGAACGCCATGTTTCAGTAGGCAGCGGCCGAGCGTTAGGCCCCCAATTCCCGCCCCAATGATTCGGATCGGCTGCTGCGACATTGTGCCAATGGTGAGCTCTCCGGTTTTGCTCGAGGCTGGATGAGAGGAAGAAGATGTGGTGTGTAGAAAACAAGGTTTTCATGGCAGGCTGTAAGATTATGATGTTCGGCGATGTTCGGCGATGTTTAGAAGCCAGGGATTTCCCTGCACCAGATCGAAGACACAGTGGAGAGAAATTAAGATCGGAATCGAGATCTACCCCTGCAGTCTTACTTGCAGCTAATGGCGCCCCTTCAGAGCGAGGTTCTCATTGGGTCACAGGACTGGATTGTATATTCACGCTCGCACAAGAGGCGTCGACACGTAACGGGGAGGCGGCATCTCTCCCCGTGCTCTAAGTCAGTGATTTAAAGCCACCACTGCTGTAGGTGAAATGCTTTTTACCTCCCAGTAGCTGGGTATGCCCCCTCCTAAATACCCCGTCGAGGTCCGCACTACGATCTCCGGGCTTTTCTTTGCCTGCCTACTAGGTACCTACCTCTTACCTACTTACAATCCGCTCTAATAGATACTTTAGGTAGGTGGGTAGGTATTCACGGAATGGCTGAACTACTTGGCGTCGTGTCGGGTGCGGCGGGCCTCTTATCATTGGGGATTACGATGTGCCAGGGCATCTTAACCTATTACAACGCCTTCAGAGACTCTCGAGATGATATTGACAAGATGTGTGCCTCAGTAGAGGATATAGGTAGAATACTACTCGCCGTTCATTCTACTCTATCCCAGGGGCGCTTTAACAAGCAAATCATCGCTATGGTTGATGAGAACATTAGATGCTGCAAAGAGGGGCTAGATGTGTTTGCGAAGAAGCTTGATAAAATCCGCGCTCGTAATCCCGATGGCACCGTGAAGACTCAACTCGAGAATGCGAAGCGAAAGGTCTTCTATCCATTTAAGGAGAGTACTCTTGTCAAGTTGCGCGAAGTTTGTGACGACCTCAAAGACAACCTCGGGTTAGTATTAGATGTACTGAATATGTAAGTCTACCTACTTATCTACCTAGTACCTACCTCCTACCGAGGTAGTGAACTATTACACATAAATGGCAAGCCTAATACTTACAACTAGCAGTGATGCATCTATCATATCTCAGCAACATATTGATACTGTACTACAATTATCAGCTAGTATGTCGAATGACGTCAAACAGGTTGCGACAGACATCCGCCTGATGAAGTTACAGCAGGAAGGTAAGAGTATAAACCTCCCTTGCCCACCTACCTAGGTAGGTACCTAGTGACTTGCTCATAAACTAACAAGTTCGCCAGCGACTATTATGACAGATATATACGCCTGGTTGACGCCCCTCACAATCGGTTTCCAAAATAGACACCGGGAGAGTCTATCAACCAAAGTCCGTCAAGATGAGGGAGCCCGGCAGCTACTTGAGCTACCACATTTCAAAGAATGGAAGTCTTCTATGGGCATGTTGCTGTGGTGTAGTGGTTTACGTAAGATTTCCCTTGTTGTTCTATGGGATGACTTAACTTAGAGGTCAATACCTAGCCGGTATAGGGAAGACGATAAATGCGTAAGTACCTACCATTTAGAGATTGTTTGCCCAACATTGAACGACTGTTAATACATCTCAGGTCCTACATCATCGAGCAATTACGACAAGAGTACAGGAATTGCGATGTTGGAATAGCCTACATATACTTCAGTTATAAAGATATCGAGATTCAGACACCGGTCAATATTATGGCGAGCATTCTCCAACAACTGGTCTCAAGGGGACCCTTTTCAGAAGACCTCCAAGATCTCTACGCTCACCACACGAAAGAAAATACGCGACCCTCAGCTGGCGATATAGTCGAATTACTCCAGAGTGTCGTACATAGCTTCTCGAAAGTATTTGTTATCGTTGACGCATTAGACGAGTGTTCAGATACTGACGACGTCCGATCAACCTGGATAACCGAACTAAGGAAATTGCAACATCGAATGTCTATACTTGTAACATCTAGGCCGATCCCAGATCTCGAAGAGTTGTTGAAAGATTCCATTCGCATTACCATTGAAGCCAGTTCTACAGATATCAGGAATTATCTCCAACAACGGATTGAGAGTACCTCGAGTATGAAAAAACATCTCGCAGATGAGCCGGCTTTGAGAGAAACAATTATATCGCTGATATTGCAGAAGGTGAAGGGCATGTAAGTTTAAGATATAATCATTTCTGACTACTATCTAGCTCATAACCTGCTATAGGTTCCTAATGGCTCGGCTTTATTTGGACACGCTAATAAACAAAACTACACGCCGTAAAATCAAGAATGCTCTGGAGACATTACCTGAGGGCCTTGATTCTATATACGAAGAACTAATGGTTCGCATCGAATTGCAGAATCCTAGAGATCACGCAGATCTCGCAATCAAAGTTCTTGGCTGGATATTTTATGCTGCTAGACCCCTGACAGTCATCGAGGTACAGCATGCTTTAGCTATCGAGCAGGGCGACAACTATCTTGATCAAGATGGCATACCGAGCCGGGATTTACTGGTATCCGTGTGTGCTGGGTTGGTTATCATCAACAAGAACAGCAACACCATCAGCCTCGTTCATTACACAACACAGGAGTATTTTCAACGTGGAGGAAAACGCCTCTTACATGACGCAAATAAGGAAATCGCTTCTGCTTGCTTGACATATCTACACTTCGATGTCTTCGATTGCCAAATTGAAGACCTGGAAAATCAAGAGTTTTTCCTAGACTTACTACGAGACTATCCTCTTCTCTCTTACGCAGCTCAGCACTGGGGGGATCATCTAAGAGAAGCATGCGACGATGAAGCCAATCAGCGGGCTGTTGAACTCCTAGAATACGATGCCAAGGTACACCTTATCACCTGGGTGAAGGACTACACAGATAACTTAGCTAAGCGCACATACTTCCGACCACGAACAAAGGTTTTGGGCTTAGCTCTGGCCTCTTCTTTTGGACTCACAAGCGTAGCATCGGATTTGATAGAGTCAGGCTCGTCGGTTCATGACAGGGACTCTAACGGGCAGACCGCATTGCATCGCGCAACAGAGAATGAGCATGCAGATACAGCAGCATTGCTTCTTAAACTTGGTGCTGAAGTTAACTTCAGGGACGTTGCTGGCTGGTCACCCCTACACAAAGCTTCGGCTCAGGCCGACGATGTAATGGCCAAATTGCTGATCGAGAATGGTGCGGATATCGATCTGGTTGACGGTTACAGTGCAACACCGTTGTACCGAGCGGCTGAAGCGGGCGCAGAGAAGGTCGTTAGACTTCTTCTGTCCAAAAATGCCAACATAGACGCCCGGAATACTTATCTTCAAACTGCCCTACATAGAGCAGCTGACAAGGGAAATTATCCCATAGTACACTTACTCCTCAAGCATGGTGCAGATACTAAGGCAAAAGATCACTACGGATACACACCATTTTATCGGGCAGCTGATCAGGGACATGAAACAGTCGCAAGATTATTGCGGACTCACTTCCTAAAGAGTTGACGTGGCGTGGTGACATACCTCACACCTACCAATGTATATAAATATGGCTATAACTCAGTTTCGCATGGTACTTCCAACGTGATCCCCTCTGACTCAACATCCTCATCCTCATCCTCAAGATACTCGAACTCAGGCACCTCTTCGCCCTCGTCCTCATCTACATCTTCTTCATCCCTACTGAACATCGCCCCATCCGTCACATCCCCGGACTTCTTAAACACCTTCCTCCTCCTCGAATACTGAAACTCCCTCACACGGTACGCGAAATCGCACTCCCCATCAACCACAAACTCATTCCCAACAGACCCCTGATTCGCCGCCAAAAAGCTCCCGGTAACCTGGGCACCCAACGCCCCCACCTCCGCACTCGCGGCAACATTCCCACCACCCCCACGCGTCTCGCTCGCAGTTAGATTACTACACGTCGCAACGCCGACGATGAGGTACAGCGGCTTCGTGAACAGGCACTTCCGAACATACTCAAGCACCTTCGGCGCCAGCAGCGCCTGGTCCATGTACTCCTTCGCCGTGTCCGGGGATATGATCTGCGCGCGCACATTCTGCGACACGAACGTGGCTTGAGCATTACTAGACCGGGCACCTTCCAAGCCTCCGCCGGCGCTGATCCCGGGAAACGCTGGTAGGAGAGCGCTTAGCTTGCCGCTGAGATCTTTTGATAGCTCGGACTTGATGATGCGCTGGACCATTGGCGTGCAATTTTCCCGTTTTTCTTCGGGGATTTCTTTGAAGTCGCTTCCGTAGTTGAGAGATGTCTCGAGGTCGTCTGGTTTTGTGAGAATGCTTCCCAGCGACATACGGGTTTTGGGGGGTTGGGGTTCGTGGTAGATGTGCCATCGTATGGGGCCTGCAATGCGGCCGGAAGTGTTCGCCATTGTTTCTAGAGGATTCAATTTAATCTTCCGGTTTTGACGATCAATCTGCGAGAACTTTGTAGTGTAATTATAGCTTAATTATGAAGGCTATAGAAGTGAATCGATAATGGTATTTAATCCGTGGAAATTCCTTCCAGACTCAAATTTCACATACCCCTTTTCATCCGAAAGGGTTTGTTAATCTTTCTCTTTGCAAATAGCTTCCCTCTCAGAGCTAGAACTTGATTCCACCTTGCTTATCATATTCCAAGAGGGGGATATTCAGCTCAGCCATGTTATTGTATCCCGCGAGCCTGCAGGTTCTGCGTAGTATAGGGGTTCTGATTGGTGGGTGGTCTTGGTCTTGGGGGCCAAAATAGCAGCCACAGCCACAAATCGGCGCTATTTCTCGGCTATCATTACTCTTATTTGTCTATTAGGGCTGGATGTACTGTCAGTCAGTCAGTCAGTCAGTCAGAATTTAGCTGATCTGGCCAGTAGGCTGATTACACTAACCTACCCTAGCTAGGTAGGTAGGCATACTTAGAGAGACAGGGCATCTCACCTTCGCGTTTTCGGGGAAGGCTTTGAGGTGTATACATCCTCGCATCATCTTTCTTCTGTAGCGGCGTTGCTCAATGCCTATAGGTAACCCTTACCATCGTCAAATTCAGATACCATAGTATCATAGAATTGCACAAACTCCTGGTCGTCTTTGAAATTATTTTTTTATTTACCTAATTATGAGCAACGTATTGGAGAAGATGATACCCACATTTGAACCGGACACTGCACTTAACAATGCGGCGAAAAAGGGCGACATCAATGCTGTACGACGGATATTCAAAGATAACCCGAATTACGCAATTCTCCCTGGACGGACTCGTACACCTTTACATTATGCGGCAATGGACGGTCATCATGATGTTGTGAAGATTCTCCTTGCACACGGGGAACCAGTTGACGCCCCCACGAGGCAAGGTTGGACGCCGCTAACCTTTGCTGCTATTGGTGGCCATTCATATGTGGCAGCGACGTTGATATATGCTAAAGCGGATGTAAACTCCCAGATATTACCAACGGCTGTTTCCAATGCAGGGTACACACCCTTACATATAGCAGCATCATTAGACAGTTGTGATGTACTGCACCTACTTGTCGCGAAGGGAGCCTTGGTCAAACAAACAGCAACAAGTGGAGTCCAACCTCTCCATATTGCTGTGAAGTATGGGCGCCGTCTCAATACGCTCATCCTCTGCGCCTTTGGCTCTGACCCCTATGCGAAAGATTCCAACGGAGAGGATGCATATGATTATGCAGATAAATTGCACCAGCCTCTCCGAGGTGAGATCAGAGACATCATCAACAAGTGGTGCTTCCAGCTGGAGAATCTATCGTGGCTACGCGCGAACTTGGGTAACTTCGTGACCGTTGCCGGTAAGATAGAAGTCCGCTCGCTCCTAGCCCGTGCTTCAAATAGCACGGATGAACTTAGCCTGGTATATGCTGCGGAAGTCGGAGACGCGAAATTTATCGACTGTAGAGACACGGGAGGCCGGACACCACTTCATAACGCTACAGTTAGGGGTAATTTTACAGGAGCCGAGTACCTGCTAAATAAAGGCGTCGACGTAAACTGTCGTTCAAAGAACCGAAAATGGACGGCCCTCTTGATGGCCGTCGACATCGGACATGAGAAACTTGTTCGTGCCTTAATACAGCACGGTGCCTACATAGAGGCCGAAACAGATCAGGGTGACAATGCGATCACCTTAGCTAGGAAATGGAACCATACTAAAATAGCAGATTTCTTGGAAACGTTGGCCAGTCCGAAGGGCTTGACAGTACCGCCTAGTCGTAGTCCAGCGAGGCGCCGTTCTCCTAGTCCGTTCCGAATGATCAGAGCAGAGAACGAAACGTTCATGTCGCCCACAGCCCAAGCTATACGACAAGTAAGAATCGTGAGACCGCCCAAATTCAAGAAGAGCGAGCCCAATCAATCGGAAGAAGTTGTAGGGGATATTGAGCTTAATCCGAATACTGACCCAGAAGTTGATGGTGGGTTTGACGGCGGACTTTTCTCAACTTCCATTCCAGAGTAAGCATTCCATAGACTGATGGATGTACACGGGCTAACTCCAGTTCCAGTTCAGGTCTCGTTCAGCCAAAGACATTCAATGAGCTAACATCCACTTGGAGAAATTACTTTGACTTCAAAGAGAAGGACAAGAGAATCAAAGTTGCCGTATTGGACACTGGGATAGACCTCGATCATGAAGATTGGCTTCAACCACGAGCGCTGCGGTTTGAGCATGGAAAGCAAGTACCAGCCACTGGAGAACCACGGCAAATTGACCGGATAAAGAATAAGATTAACTTCTGCGGTGGTTCTGAGACTGATGTACAAGATCTTGACGGTCACGGAACCCAGGTTGCTGGCATTATTCTAAGATTAGCTCCAAGAGCAGATATTGACATTGCCCGTGTGTGTGTGGGGAATAGAAACCGCGGAATTACTGAAGGTAAAAGTGCGGATGTTTCGAGTGCAGAAAGGTGTCCACAGCCTACCGCAGTTGCCAAGGTACGTTTATGTGATACTTCATTGATTGGATATAGACGTTGACATCTTGATAATCTTAGGCAATAGACTGGGCTATTGAAAATCACGCAGATATCATCAATATGTCTTTCGGATATGAGTATTCGCCCGGAATCGTTAGGGAAGCTCTTAAACGGGCTCAGAAGGAGAGGATTGTGGTATTCGCAGCTATGTCGAATGGTGGAAGCTACCAAAAGTCAACATGGCCAGCTAGAGAAGAAGCTTGCGCGATAGGGATTCACTCTTGCGATGAGAACGGCACGAAATCAGGTTTCACACCCCTTCCGAACTTGAACACCGATAATTTCATGGTAGTAGGAGATAATGTCCTTACACACTGGCCTATGATAAAAGGAAACTCTTTCAGACTAGACAGCGGGACCTCATTCGCAGCACCTGTAGCAGCGTCTATGGCAGCATTAATTCTGGCCTTCGTGGAGCAGAGTATATGCAAGGGACATCGCAGAAAAGCCCAGGAACTTATCGGAGAAGAAGTACTGGACGAACTGCGTGAAAACTCTGGTATGATCCGACTATTGAAGAGCGTCAGCTTTCCAGGACCAGATTCGGGCTATCTCTTAATCCATCCCCAACTTCTTTGGAAGGACTTACAATTCTCTCTTAGGAAATCTAAGGACCCTTCCAAGTGTCGAGAGCACGCTTGGGACGTTATTGTTAACGCACTTATCCCTTAGCTAAACCTTTTTTAGATACCTAATAAAGAACTCGCATGCACAAGGAACCACTGCCGAATGGGTTACCCGAGAACCCGTCGCACAAGAAATGACAGCCATTAATCTGCATCAAGACGCCTCAACCTCATATGTGAAGATATTATCGACCGGTGTACTTAAGCGAAAACGCCTCCACGGGAATCTACACACCCTCAATGACAATCCCCTCCAATTTGTCCGGTGTCCGATGTATGCATCTCCTTAGACTCTTAGGTGGCTCATAGAAATATGAGGCGGATTTATTGCATGCGAAGTTACATGCGGGATAATCATGCAGCCTCTGACTGATGGTCGAGATAGATTTCACACTGGTAAAAGGTTCAGTGGATGAGCCTCGGTAATTATCAGTGATGAAACACTTACATCATAGCAGCAAGTACACAGGAACACACAATAAGCCGTAACTCCTCGGTCCAATTCATAGTATCTAGCTTGAGGCTAGCTACGAAATACTCGGCGAACCCTCGTATTTTAGTTGTGGCTCCTATATTGTCCATATCAAAAAACTTTTATAAACTATATATAGCTACCTACTAGGTAGGTATTCATGACGAGAAGTTGGAATAGTAGCATCCGCGGAATTGTTGTTAATAATTATCACGCTGTGCCTCATACGTCTCATGGTAAAGGAGGGGAACAACGTAGCCGCGTACAAGGGTATTATCATATGACCAGGGATTTCTATACCTATTAGTTACATCTGTATATCTCCTAGATGAATATGGACCATGGTTACCCAGTGACGATGCATTCTCTGAGGTAACACTACTTTCTTGTAACGAACTGTTGTAATCATCTTCAACTAGATCTATTAAGTCAAAAAAGATTTCAAACTTCAATACTTGATTTAAAAAAATCCAATACTCTTTTCTGAATACATTGCATCATACGGTGATCCCTGTCTCGGAAAGTGACAGAAAAAGCACTGACAATTTCCACACCGCCAGAGAGAAGCTCCATACGTATGTGGCCTAAAATTCCTTGAAGAGCAGCTTCACATCGTCTAGTTACCTATCAAGCTAACAACTTATTAACTCCCGACTTACCATATACCAACCAACAAGAACCAAATCTTCCGGTATCTAGGTAAAAAACCTATCATGGATCTCCCACCAGCACCCAACGGCCTCTACAACCGCTGGAACCTCGCTCTCCACTGGGGCAACTGTTCGGGGCCGAACTGCCACGTCCGGAACAACCTACTAAAATGCGGCGCCTGCCGAGCCGTCTACTACTGCGGCGGCGCCCACCAGCGGGCCCATCGGCCACAGCACAAGTCCTCCTGCAACCTAATCAAGAACGCGCGGGCCCAGCTCGCCCAAGAAGAAGCCGCCCTACGCGCCCGCCCCGGCGACATGTTCCTAGAAGCGAACCCATTCGAAACGGCACGGGGTTCCTTCTGGAGATTCACGCCCACACGACCATACATGCAAGCGCGCTTCGACCTGATCTCCACACTGCTAAACATCAAGACCGGAGCTGCGGTCGAGGAAGCACTAGAACACAGCTTGGACATGCTGCAGCTGAACCCGGGGGATAACCAGGGGATCCGAAGCCACGTGCCAGCGCTGTACCTACGGCTCGGCCGCGACCAGGAGGCCTACGATTTCATCAAGTGGTACGGGACCATCGGCGCGCAGAGCGGTTACGAATGGGGTAACCCGGAGAGCCCGTTTCTCAATCTACACGACGAGGACGTGTTCGAGCCCCTCGGCGGGATCGCGAAGGCGCTTTTCGATCTAAGTATCATTGTGTCTCTGGTGAATGTCAAGGTCCGGCTTCTGTTGGACATACGCGGGCTCGAAAAGGAGTTCAACAAGCCTGCGAAGCGGAACACTAGTTATGAGAAGAAGATGGAGTGGGTGCGGGAAAACGCTACTTGCGATGTCCTGTACAAGCGACGAGATATTGTCGAGAGGACTGAATGGACGGATTTAGTGGCTGCGTTGGAGAGCCAGGCGAAGGAGGTGTTCGATCGCGTGGAGGGACGTAATAAGCATTACTGGCCCGCGTTACGGTCGCCGGAGCTTCATGCTGCGGCCATTCCTACGGCGTATTCACCTGGATCTCCGGAGGAGGTTAAGCTTGTGTTTAGAAACACGTGGTATTCGTGGGCCGAATGTCCTCCTGCTCATGAATTAGTTAAGTCGTGGCATGCCGCCTAGGTGGGGGAAAACAAGGGACTGGCTGGAATGGATGCTAGAGGAACAGGAAAAAGGAAGGATCAGGAGAATTAGGTATATACTGAGGTAGATAGTTAGAATTCGTAGCTCTACTGAAAAAAGACTTATGGTGTAACGGGCATGTTCATTAACAGCCGTATACGAACACACGCTCTTACCTGCAATAAAACCGCTCGCTATAGCACCAAACAAACACCTAAGTCCGGCTTTTCGGCGAGTTTCTATAGTGTAAGCCGTGAATGCCATAATTCATGGACTTAAGCTAGGATCTGGACGGAGGTTGAGATGAATGCGCTTGAACGGTAACCCCACACGATCGCCCTATTTCCATGCCCCGCCTACCCACATAGTTCCCGAAAATGCGGAGAGAAGGAACACCTAATGCAGTAAGCGCTACCTCCGAACGGGTCCCGATTTACGTAAATCCGGGGAAGTTGCGGGAGTGTAGCTCTTACCTAACTCCATAGCCGCTTGGTCCGGTTGACTTCCTCCGTTCTTTGGTATCAGAGTTATTATCACCGAAACGGAGGAACGCTGTCGGACCCGTTCACTGTTTTCGTTATATCCGGTTCAATAAGTGATATCCTAAATCCGGGTAGCCAATACCTAGGTAGGTACCTACCTAGTAGGTACCTAGTGATTGTTAAGAAGTGCCTCACGCATGTGTAGGAAACGGTTATACGAGGGCTATGGAGTACCTGGGAGGTAGATTCCAAGATTTGGGTACCTTTCGAGTGATAAATCAGCTTGTTCAATTACTTTCCTAGGAACTTTCATTACGGAATTGACCTATACAACTGAAACATGGCAAAAGCTAATTCCGTGATGTACGCCGGTGTTGAGAGCGACGAATCCCGTAGTTTTAGTCCCGTTTTCACTAAATCCGCCGGAGCAGGAGATCGGGATTGAGGATACCCGTCTGCCTCGGACTTAAATGAGTGCCACAGGTTTGTCCGTCGAGGTCAAACCGGTTGATAGATGACAAGTAGTTTAAATCTTGGCTGTCAAATTTGGCGTCTAGCTCTTGGGAGGATACAGTAACCGGTCACCTAATACCTACGTTTCGTACTGTAGGTATCAATCGATCTTACTAAGAGACCCAAGGCTACCTACGAATACGACTCAAATTTTACGTAAAACAAGACATCAAATCACAAAGCACCCATAACAAAACTCATAATGACCATCAACAACTGATCTTCATTGCTATTATTCAACACCCCTCCACTCCACCTATCCTAGCAACCCATTCGTAACTCATTATGAAAAGGGTTCGATTCAGGATATCAATCAAATCTTCTGGTATCTCTCGCAACTCATCAGCCTAGCTTAGTCAATCGATTAAATCATCTTATCGCCAAGCTAACCGCAACCAACCCATGCGATGCCGTGCCGTGCTTCGTCATATCAAGCTCTCCGAAAACAACGCAAATGTCCATCCCTTTTGTCCTCTCGTGCCCTTCCATGGGAAGAAGCCGTCATGTACTACCTAGGTCCAAACGCCTGCAAAGGCAATTATTATATTTAAAACACGGCTACCCAGCAGCCGCTTAATGTCAACCGTGAAGTCGTTCATTCGTCCCTCTAACTTTTGAAATCAACGTGAAATGGAGATTGAGGCGCTAGAACGTCAAGATGGCGAGCGTTTTCCTAAAACGTCTCGGACTCTTGGCTAATAACGCTCGAAGGGCTAGCTACTGTGCCGAACGTGTCTGTGTATGAAGTTAGCAATGTTGACTGTGATGTCCAAGAAAGTGACTATGACTTACCTCGCTTTCGACGTCTCTCCTCTCCATCTTCGCTGCCTCGACTAGGGGTCATCGCTCTTGGGCCGCTAGGTCGTCGGGTTGGAACCCCGAGGGCGGCGCTCAGATTTCTGTTCTCTGGTTTCGGGCTACCAGAATGGTAACTTCCGGCGTGGGTAGCGGTGGCTGTACCGTAGCCACTCTCGACGCTTTGTTGTGGCAATGGGCTGCCATGCTTCTTCTGTAGCTTGTTCACCCGGTCATGTTGAGGGGGTGTCTGCGTGAATGCAGGTGAAGGACCGTCGAGCGGCTCCTTGGGAGGTCGTGGTGGTCCTTGCGGGCTAGGAGATGTCATTCCTTGCCAGTGATAATCATCTCCTCCGTGGCCCGAGTTCATAGCGCTGTTGTCGCTATAACGGTTAGTGTTCTGGGCGGGGAATCTGGTCAATGAAGTTGCGGAGCCAGCCCAGTCGGCTGATCTCGGAGACATAGGCGTGTCGTAGTCTTGCGCCGAAGACTCCAACGCTGTTCCAAAACGCTCCACACGTCCTTGTCGCGGTTGCGGGTGCTGCAAGTTGAGCGAGTTGCGATGAGCCCTGTATTTAGGATCTTCCGGGGTGGAGTATGGGATGGGTGCAGTGGGCTGGTGCATAGGGGTTTGCTGGATTTGTTGCTGCGGGGCAGTCATGCTGGGCAAGTTGGAGTCCACGGTTGCGGGGCGCAGATCTTGTTCTGAGAAGCCAGAGTGTAACTTATCAGATTCGTACACGTCCTGATGCTGGAACTGCTCGTAGTTCCCGATGTCCGAGGCCGACCGAGAAGGAGGAGCATGTTGTAGGAAGTCCTCAGGCGGGTCGTGTTTCTTGGAGGCACCGCTGCTTCGGAAAACCTTTCCTAAACTTGATGTCGTTGTTTCAGACCACCGTGAGATCTTAGGGAAGAAACTAGACGACCCCCTTGATTTGTGTTTCTTGCTCTCTTCTGTTCGAGGAGTGTTCTCATTGCTAGCTGAATAATGCTGTGTTTGCGGCGAATTTTGCGGCGGCGTGCCTAGAGGTACCGATCCACCTCTTGGTCGCTCATCGCTGGGAGACATCATTCCTCCGTGCATCTCATATTGACTTAGTGGCGGCGCGGAATGGTCGTTATATTCGTCGTCATCTTCCGGCACGGTGCTAATACGATGATCGGAGAACTTGCGCTCGTTGGCTAACCTGTTAGACGTTCCACGAGATTGGGGTATCGACAGGTGTCCCGACTGGCTAGCATGGCTAGCTGTTGAGGTTCCAGCATGACCTTCGGGCTCATAACCCCGGTCTTGTTCGTACTGGACCTCGGGTTGTATGTTCTCAATCGATTGAGCTCGTGTGCTCATGAGGCCTGTCGGCCCGCCGGACTGATGCTTGAGATCATTGACATCATCGAGTAGCTGATTTAGCAGGTCTTCAATTCTAGTAAGATCGTTGGCGCCCTTGGAGCTAAGGCCTTGGAGTGCCCGTCGAAGGAAGTTTCGCTTCTTCACGTTGGCGTCTTCGGTGCCGGCCTGGGAGCCGCCCTGGATGGATCGAGCGCTGCTACCGGGGAATGGTCGAGGCCCGCCAAGATGACGCTTGACTGTCTTTTCCGTATTATCCTTCACCTCGGTTATGATCTGGTCTTCGCTATCCGCTAGCATCCTCTTGATATCTTCGAACGAATTACGCATATCAGCTGCGGAACGGACAAGGGTCACGAGGATCTCGGTATCTCTAGCACTTCGTTGCGCATCTCGGACCATAAGCTGCAGAGACGTTAGTAAAGAAACCGCTACATGATTGAGGATATACTCACGTGCTCCATCAGGGCAATGATGTCCTTCGATTGAATCCTGTCAATTCCAGTTCCGGTAGAGGGATCATACAGTGGTGTTCCCATTGCTTGAGAAAGCCCGGCAAGATGTCTTGGATCCTTCGGGGCATAGAACGGGTCTTCAGATTCCCTCACATTAGGCTGGCTCATCATGGGAACCTCCTTCCCCTTGATATCAGATCGATCGCGGGCCTCGTTGGGTGCGGCAGAGATATAACCTTCATCGCCTCCAGTTATTCCGGGGCTACCAGTATGGAAACCGCCTCTGTAGGTATCCGCTCTGAAGCCAGTTTCACCTAACATGTTTCCATCTACACCAGGAAGATTGGCTATCGGACTGGCTCCCTCGTAAGGGTTTGTGACCAGGGTGTCTCGCTTGCGGTCTCCGGAAGTTCTCTGCCACTCGTCGTCCTGCTCTTGACTGGGTTGTCGGCTATGTGATGTGGCCATAGCTCCTGCGGTTGCAGGGGTGGCTAGGGCTTCCGCATCGGATATACCGAGGCCGTGGCTGTTGTCTTGTCTGTTCGCCTTAGGTGTCACAGCACGATCATAAGAATATGACCTATCGTAGGTTGGTGTTGGTTCTGCTGGCCAGTGATCTCTGTCTCCGTGTTGCGATCCACCGAGAGGTCCTTGTACAACTGAAGGAGTTCGTTCGTCATAGCCATATCCTATCTCTGGCATCGGGTCGTCCAAATCTGGGAGGCCACTAGCCCCCAATGTTGGATGATCGTAATCTGAAAGACGATCGACGCTATGTCGCGGAGTAGCGTCCGGTCGGTAACCATCCTTGGTGGCTCGCTCTTTGAAGGAACGATTTCGCGAAACACCTTCGCCAATAAACTCACCCTCATCTGCTTCGGTATTTGGACTTGGGCCAGAGCCAACGGCCTTTCGCTTGAGGGCGGCTTGCGCTGCCCGCTGTAGAGCAACGCTTGTAATAGCGCTCTCAGAGACTGTGGGGGAGTTGCGGTAGTTTGATCGAGGTACCTTTCTGCCGAATTCATCGAGTTCATATTCCGAGAATTCTCTAGAAGCCGTTGATTGGTCACGATCTCTTGACAGTGTAGGCGATTGGTTTTGTTGCCGTTCGGTTGCTTCATGACGACTCTCTACCGAGCGCTTCGTAGGACTTACTCCTCTTGAGTCGTCACCGTACGAAAATTGTGAATCACGGTAATCCTGCCTGACCCCAGTAGAGCCACTCAGAACGGAAGGATCAAGCTGTGACCCCTCGACCAGCGACGCCACAGCAGATTCTGGTGCAAAATTCTGGTGTACCATCTCGGGGTTCCCTCCGACGACATGTACTGCTTGTCCCGAAGTCACATGATCAACCTCACTATCATCAGTGTATTGGGTATTTCTGTAATCGATACCGGAGCTCCTCACACTGCTAGCCTCGTCCAAAAACTCACGGCTTCGCAGGTTGCTGGGGATGGAACTTGGAGATCGAAGGTCTCGGTTGAGGAGTGATTTGTCTGGAGATGAGAGTTCGCTTTCCGTTTGCATCGTTCTCGTATCTCGGTAACCGTGGAGATCGCTTTCTCCCTCCGTAATCCCCGACACGCTCTGGATGGGACTCAGTCCACGTCTTTCTTGTTGATAGGGAACATAACGTAATGGGGCTGGCACGTCTTGGGATCCATAGAAAGATTGCATGGCTGCATCATCATCGTACATGCCTGGCTCAGAGAGATTACCAGCCTCATCGTACTCATCGTCGTACTCATCTCGGTCCTGGTTTATGTACCGGTTTCCGAACTCGTCAGTCCTATACTCATCTCTATATTCGGTGTTTCCTTTACGAGGAAGTGCTTTTAGGTCACCATGTGATATGTTAGCATGTTGAGCGCCTAAGCCTTGAAGGTTATGACTTGGTGATCGTGAAGGAGAAGGAGTTCTCTGGAGAGATTCCATCGAAGGGACGCCTCGTGGGACCTTTTGGACCGGCACCATCTCCTCACTCGCAGAGTGAGGTCGATCGGTCTCGGCTGATAATATAGAAGTTCGTGTCAACTCGGATGGGTTAATTTCACTCTGAAGAGGCATAGGCGGCACCACCTCGTGCTCGGCGCCATCATAATCATCGCCATATCTTTCGCCATTATCACGCTTTGGGGTCTCCGCGCGTCTTCTCCTACGCTGTCTCTTTTCATCGCCCCTAGATCGTGATCGCAATGCAGAGCCACTGACTGCGGAGTCCAAAGCAGAATCTGTAAGCGTTTCGCGATCGCGATCTCGACGAGGCGTCAGATCTTCATCTTGTGGGGCATCGATAACAACTGAAACATGTTCAATGCTGCTCTGGGGCGACAGGTCATTTCTAGCCTCCCTATCTCGTTTGTCCTTCGACTTGGTCGATTGAGTCGTGTCGGCAGATTTCCTTTTAATCGTTCCAGAAATCTCTTCGCGGGACGCTGATGTGAGACTCGAGAGGGAATCGCGATCTTTGCTTTTCCGAGATTCTCGCTGACTTCGCTCTCTCTTAATGGCATCCAGCTCGGGGAGGATAAGTCGTCGGATAGCGTCCTCGACGGTCTCAAGTAGCTTCGGATTATTTATGGATACTTTTGAAGAAGAATGTGAATTATAAGAGTGGTGGCTGGGAGATAATTGAGAGGAAAGAATGCTCGACTCAGCGGCTGAAACCACAGATTCTTTGTGGGTTCCTTTAGATCTGCGCTTGTCGTTTTCTTTATCACCAGAGCTACCCGTTCTACTTTTCGACTTGTGTCTTCGCTCTGGCTTGCTCGCCTTCTCGACCGCTTTTTGCATGACGCTCCGATCATGACTAGAGCTTCGAACCTTACGATGTGTCCTTTCAGTTGTAGGAGCCGGAGCGGGGCTCTTGGCACGCTTTTCATTCAGCGCGAATGAGTTTCCACCGGAACCATCTAGGAAACTGTCGGTGGGAATGGCCGAGATGTCGGACATGTTAGGTGGTTGATAAGTCGAGGCCTTGCTATCGGTAGCAGGAATCAGCGGGCTTGATACTTTTCGGCGGCGATGATGACTTCTCGAGTCAATCTCTACCTCGATGGGGTTACGGGAGACATTGGACTCCTCCGTGGCGGACGCATAGGAATGCATGCTCCTTGCGTCTTCCGGGTCTGTCATAATGTCTAATTCACTTCGAGTGACGTTTGGGCTCGCGACTGCCCTTCTGGACGAAGAACGCTTTCTGCTGCTCTTGGTCTCGGTGATCTGAATGTGGTCGTTCCTACCACGAGTCTTGGATGGGGTTAGGCGGACGCGAACGCTAGGCTTTCGCTCACTAGAACCGGAAGTGCCAGAAACACCGCTCTTCCCACCCTCGAAATACTCGATTAGGAGAGAGGTCTGAGAGCGATTAGGCCTATGGCCGCGGGTCTTAATGGTGACGGGAGTTCCGTCGTCCGGTAGGGAATAATGGGATCTGTCGTCGTCGGCAGCCTTGGAAACATCGGAAGCAGCAAGCTCGGTAAGATCGGTGGTAGTGATCTGGGACTCGGTCTCGGTCGGGGCGGGTAACGGAGGAGCTGTTCTGGAATCGACTCCCATTTTGGTGCCCGAGTATATGTCCAGTTGTCAAGTTATGCGGCCTCGCCTCCACTTAATTGGCCGCTTCCTCCCTGGCCAATCCTCTGGCTGCTTCGTTGTATGTACCCCAGCGAGTGGTGCAGCGGTGAACGATATCGGTCTTAGGTGTCAAGAGAAATTTGGAGATGAACAGATATCCCGGACAAATGAGGCCGGGTATGTTTGCGCAGCTGTCGATTAACCACGCACGTGAAGATGCGAAGGAAATGCGAAAACTGGGTACGGTGTTAGAAGGAATCGGTGTCCAGAACAACCAAAACAACAACGGTGAGTCTACACGACGATGTCATGTGAGGTACGAGACGATAATGAGGACAATTAACTAATGGTGTTGCAGGGAATAAACACAAGTATGTTGAATCAATACCGGAACACCGAAATAATGAAAATGAAAATAGGAATAATTGAGGAAATTATTTTTTTGGTTGATGGTTGTTGTTGGTAGAACGAGGAGAATTATGAGGGAAAGCTGCGCAGAGCTTCAGCTCTACTTTTCTTCATATCCCAGCCCCCTCATTTGCGCCGGGGCGGCAACACAACCCAGGCCCGCCCGCACTTATACGAATACAGCACGTCCACAGAAATTAAAAAAATTTAGAGGGGAAAAAAGCAGTAAAACATGTTGAGAGCCAAATCGAACCATCATTTAATATTTACCGACTCATAAGGACATTTAGGAATCCATACACACTTACAAGATATAAGGAAATCCACAAGGTATTGCGGCGCAAGCACACTCAAGTCGATTATGCGAACTTCACCGTGTACCATTTATTTTCCTGCTTTTTTCTCTCCCTCCTGATGTCTCTTGCCCACTCGGGTGGGCGAGGGTGAGTGGGCTAGATGTAAGATCCCACTCTCTTGCTTGCAGGACGATGCGTGTGAAACTTCTCTCGTCCAATACGAAATACACCCGCATACTAACAGTGTACGGGGAATTCTGGAGCCACAGGACTGTCCTGAGGCCAAGCGCAAAGCCTCGAGACTCCCTCCTCGATATGGCGGTAGAGTCGTGGGGGGTGAGGGGAAGATGAATAAACGATAATAGGCTTATGAGGCTTTGTTAATATTGTCTTGGGGAAAAAAAAGCTGGTAAGGTAAGAGACTGGAGCTGCGAGGGGACTTCCTGCCTTAGGAACATTGGAAACTTGCTGGGGTGTGTGGGAGTTTGATGCGTTGGCGTTGCTTAAACTTCTTAGCCAATCATATTACAGAACGGGTCCATGATAGAACTTTACTATGCGTAGCTGACAGGGACGGACCGGCTGCAATGACAAGGAGGTCGGGATTGCCTTGAGAGCTCGCAATGTTGCTTCCTTCTCTTAAACGAACCTTGAAATGGAAGGTTCTTAATAAGGCTATGTGCCTTGGATATGCAAGAGTTGTTCAATTCGTCGCCTTTTCATAATTACATTTATTAATATGATATCACTTATACTTCCAAGTTTTCATCTATTTTTTATTAAAATTCAATTCACTTGACAGCCGAATCCATACATATTACGCTACGCTCTCAATTATCTAGACTGACCTATTCTTTTCCTAAAATCGATTGATCTTGTCACGATATATTATTTTATGGGGTGGTTGGCAGGGAGATTGATTGTTTACCAACGACCTGGTTTCGTTTGCTGCCCAATTTCCCCTGTTTCCCCTGTTTTATTTCTGATTTACAGTTGATCCAGAGACCATAGTTCGACGGAACTACTAGTAAATATTAGTCCTGCACAGTGGCTCTTGTGGCTCTTGCGTCTTTGGCTGGGTGACGATCTAATTTTCGACGGAACGATGATGATGTGCGCTCCGCTGAATTGACTGGACCCGCATCCCGTTTGGATCAAAGCTTGATCCTTGGCTTAACGCCTCGGCATGTCTATGGTTGTATCCATGGGATAGTGGGATTCTTCTAGCTTGACTAGCTGAATCCACTAGGACTGATCAGTGATTACAGAGTACTTGACCCGGCCAAACCGTCTAGGCAGTATTAACCAGCGGACGAATCGGTTCTACAATCTGTCAAACATGCTCTTCAACCAATTCGTCATCTATCTTGATTTTCAACCCCCATATGGGGTGATGATCATATCGTAGTTGCGACGAGCCTACGGAAGCCTCTATGCTCACCGACTTCTTCTCGCCCCTCACCAATCCCACATTGAGAAACAAATGTGATTAGATAGTCTATATACGTCTAGAGTCGTACCGGCAACCGCTACATCCATAGGGGGCACCGTAAGAGCGTCAATTTCATGCTAATCACGGCCCCCGATGCACAATCACGCTGCCACCCGATCTGCGACAAACCTCCATGTAATACGACTTTGCAGCACTCGCAGTACCTATAACTGTACATAATACACTAGAGCCTACAGGACTTTTGCCCTGCGTCTATCCAGTCGCCATCCCGGCGGGATATTTCATTCCCAGTGGACCGGCAAAGGGGAAAAGAGACGTTGCGTTGCGAGTCCAATTTAGGTACGTAGAGCAGCCTACCTAGAGTGTGAATATAACAAAAAGCCCCCAACGTCGCTACAGCCACTTACTGTCCGGCGATTAGTATTCGTCTAACTGCAGATTCGATTCTATGGTCCGGCAATGCTTTTTTAAGGAATTTCAAGGCACATATCGGCAAGAGTGGCGAATAAATGCATGTCTCGCTCCTTTACATCGGGGCTTAGGATTTCTAGTGCTGCGGTATCGTGGGAAGTTGGCGACCTCTCGGATTGCAACGTGATCAAGGCTTGTCCTCCGGACTTCAACAGTTTGATCCAGAGCCACGTTCCCCAACGCCATCGTCCCATATAGCTTAAGAGCTTGCAGCAGGCGGCAAATATTCATCTGACAATTAGCAATCCCTAACAATTTACAATTCGAATGGTGACACATCCCCATTACTTTCGCCGAGTATCTTGCAATGTACATGCAGTCTCCCATTCCGGTATTTAATGAATTGGCCATTTGATAGTAATATAAGTCTTGGATTATGAATTGCCAATCGAGTTGCAGTGGTCTTAGAGGTTCCAGCTCACCAGAAAAGGGACTACGATCGAGCATTTAATTGTTGGATGTCAAGTGGGCACCGTACCCAGTCCTTATGGTTAGGTAGGTACCAAGGTATTCGTTGGAAAAGCCCCATATGTGAATGAAATAAATATCCAGTGTAGGTAGGTACCTGGCAGCCTGGGTAGACCCTGAAAGTGTCATGTCACAAAGGAGGGTATCACAGGAAGCGGGTAGCTGCGTGCATGTTACCTGCCTCTACCTTGATAGGTAGGTATGGATATCTCCTGTTTAGGCATTCCGTGTTGGGATCATGTAACCAAGTAATCAAGAGAACCAAGACATTTCAAAATGAAATGAAGTGTTTATTTACAATATACTCTAAAGCTAAACAGTACCAGTAATGCCAATCGCGATGTATAAAACCAATCCTTGTTGCTAGCATGCATGCACGGGTATCAGCATGAGCTTGCAGTCCAAAAGAAATTGAAAGACGGGATTTATCAGACAGTATTCGGTCTGTACGAAGTCGCCTAGTAGTCTAGTGTCTCAAACTACTCAATCTGAGAATCCCTTCAGGCGATTCTTACGTTCAAACTTGCTGGGCTTCTGGTTCTGCGGTGCTGAGACGTACTCGGTCTTTGCGCCGCTCAATAGTTCTCTCACGACAGGGTTGTTCAGGTAATGGCTGGCAAGGCCACCTCCGAGAATAGACTTGAGCATTCCAACTCGAGCCGATAGCGACCAAGTGTCAATCACAATGCTGATATTCTGAATTCGGAGCTTCTGTCTGTAACCATATTCTTGGAAGTCGCCATTGAAGTCCGATTTATTGCCGCCTGTGTGAGGATTGCTCGCAAAACGTCGTGCGGTTGAGTATCCTGGACCCTTGCCATGCTCAAGAGATGTCACGATGCTGTTGAAATTGCCATGAAGCTGTCGTTTGTCTTTCTTGGATATGGATTTCGAGGACTCCCTAGTGAGCGCGTGCATGCGGCGAAGAAGCGCATCCTGATCGTAACGCATATTCCATGTCTCCCCTGTCTCTTCTTCGTACTCGCGAGCACTCTCCAAAAGTAGCGCTATGTTAGATCCGGCACCCACTTGGACGTCGACGTCACCGCTATCAAGCTGCTCCATAAATGCTTCCAGCGCCTCGGTGCTCTGCTCTTCAAGGTCATCTAGGCCACTCGCAACGAATCCCCAAGCATTCAGAGCTGCAGCGACCACTGGACCATTATCGCCAGCATCAATGACGTGTCCATCGCTCTGGATGATTTCTATAAGAAACTCTAAAAACTCCTCGGCAGCGGTAACAGAGCCTCCGCCACATAATGTCGAGACACTCATAGCTCGGATAGCTGCTACCTTGATCTGCTCGTTGTCGTCGTCATCATAATCCGAGTTCTCGCAGAGAGTCTTGAGAGTTGGATACACGCGACCATAGATGCTCTCGGCTCCAGACGAGAGGATAGTCACCATTAAAGCCTTCAGTGACCACATAACTCCTTGTGGAGTCCGACGACCGCGTACACTCTTAAGCAGCATAGGAATGAGTTCGTCCATCTGCGCATCGATTTCCTCGGCACTTGGATGGTGTCGAATCAACTCTGTATAGGCTGATAACTTTTCTGCTCGATCCTGGCCGTTGTCGCGTTTCTGGTCTAGCAAGTCCACGATATGGTTGTGTAGTACCTCTGATGTTGATGGTGGTGCTGTACCTTCTTCGTCGCCCTCTTCCGAGATGACGAGAGAACTTGCTAAACTGTCGGTGTACTCATATTCGCTAGAATCATCTTCCTCGGATGCGTGTCGACTAGTAGCACGCGAACCAGGGCGTGAACTAGCGGGTGACTGTTGCGCAGATGGCTGTCGAGAAGGCTGTCGCGAGCGCGCCTTTCTAGAGACGGTCTTGCCGCTCTCGAAGATCTTCTTTCTTAGATCGTGCATTTTGGTGGATCGAAAGTCTAGAATGCTTTACTAATACGCTAGGGTAGTGTGGTGTTATGTCCGTCGTCGATAGATGCGGTAAGTTGGAAAAAAGTATCAGGTCTTGAATCCTCTAGTATGCGAACAGTGAAACGATTGGGCTGTTTGCGACATGAATTCCATGGGGATGGATTAAGAGCTAGATTATTTATACAATTTATAGGCCGTTGGAAACCCTCTTTGTGACGGGTATGTTAGCGCTTGTTAAAAAACGATGTGCTGGTTCAGGAACAATAGAGTCGTTGAAAATAAATTGAGTTTAGGATTTGCGAATTGCGAATTGCGAAAAATAAGAATAGGCGGTGAAATAAAGATTTTACAGGCGCACTATAATTTCTTGAGAAGGTTAAAACCGGACTGATCGGATATAGGTCTTATGGTAATGGGAAAGGGCGAAAGGGATTCTCGTTTCCTATTTAATCAAACGCAGGAACTTTGTGTAAAGGGAAAAACAGGAAGGAAGGTGCGCGTCATCTGGTAACTCAACTCGTCATATGAGTAGGCGCGGGGCTTCCATGTTCCCCAGTTTTATTGAACCGCCACTAACATCCGTAGCGGCAAAAAGGGTATCTTTACAATTATTCTTATAAGATAATTATTCTTTTTACCAGAATATTTCCACTAGTCTTAAGTACCTTCCCATATAAATTTGGTGGCAAGGTATATCGAGAGAATCGATCATGTTTAAGAATTATTTTAAAGTTATAAAATATATGCGAATAATTTTACTTTTTTTAAAATATTTTTAAAATTATTTTTTTCTTTTTAATTATTTTATTAATAATAATTATTCTTTCGAATATTGTTAAAATTATTCCTTAAATCGTAATTAAATTAGTAAATAATAAAAAATTATTCCTTAAATTATAATCGAATTTATTAATAATAATTATTTTTTTAATATTATTAATAATTATTTTTTAAATTATAATCGAATTTATAAATAACATTTATTTTTTTAAATGTTATTCTTTAAATTATAATCGAAGTAATTATAAATAATTATTTTACTTTTTTATACTTTTTAATACTTTTTAAAGTTTTAAATAACTTCATTTTTTTTTAAAAATTTTATACTTAAAAATTATTTCTTAAACTTTAATTTATTTAATTTATTTAATATATTTAATTTTCTTACTTTATAAAATACGTATACGATTTATTCGATTAATTTAATTAATTTAATTAATTCGATTAATTTAATTAATTTAATTAATTTAATTAATTTAATTATTTATTTATTTTAATAAATACGTATTCGATTTATTCGATTTATTTAGTTAATTTAATTAATTAATTTAATTAATTAATTTAGTTAGTTAATTTAATTAATTTAATTAATTTAATTAATTTAATTTATTCGATTAATTTAATTTACGTAAAGTTTTATATTTAATTTTTTTATTTTTATTTTAACGATATTTTTATTATTTTTAATATTTAATAAAATACTTACCGTTTTCGTTATTTTTCTTTTTATTTCGTATTTTTTACTTATTTATTTATTTATTTTTTTTTATTAATTTTTTTATTTTTTTATTTTTTTATTTTTTTATTTTTTTATTTTTTAATTATTTAATTTTATAAAATATTTAATTAAGTTATTACGTTATATTAACTTAAGTACGTACGTATTATATTAATTTTTTAATTTTTAAATTTATTAATTTAAGTAATAAATATATTAATATATCGATCGCGTAATCGATAAATTTATTTATTTAAGTAAATACGTATTAATTTTATAATTATTTAATTATTTAATTTATTAATTTATTTATTTACTTATTTAATAATTAATTAAGTAAGTAATTTTTAAATTATTTAATTAAAGTATATACGTTTTTATTTACGTATATATTTTTTAATCGATTAATTTTATATATTAATATATTAATTTTTTAATTTTTCGATTTATTAAAATACGTTTTAATTTATAAATTTATTAATTAAATAATTAATTAATAAAATAATATATTAATATTTAATTAAATTAAATCGTAAAATCGAATTAAATCGAAAAATCGAACTTATTATAATTATAATAATAATATAAAAAATCTTATAATATAACTTTTAAATTAAATTACAAAGTTTAAATAATAAAATTATTTTATTAATTATAAATTATTATTTTTAATTAAATTATTTTTATATATATAATAATTAAAATTATTAAATTAATTATAAAATTATTAAATTAATTATAAAATTATTACATTAATTATAAAATTAATATATTAAGTATGGAATTATTTTTTCTAATTAAATTATTCCTATATATATAAAAGTTTGAAGCTATTTAGAATTATTCTTATAAGTGGGATGTTCCCACTACGGATGTTAGCATGTCGGAAATGGGTACCTGGTATCAAGTACCTCGAATACTAATGTATTTTTCATGGGATTGACACGCTAGCCAGTACATTAACCATCCATCGATTTGTTGATATATACATGTATTTCTATGCTTTTTTTCAACGTGTTTCATTACCTTAGTACCTTTTAGCTTTTGATGTTCCATAGCTGGCCAAAATATACTTCTAACATTTGAATGCTTGTTTTAAGTATCTCCCATGTTTGGCAAACTTCACCTCGGAAGAAAATATTGCGTTTTCTTAAACCATTTGGATATTCTAGGTATATTCATATATTGGAGTCCCGTCGATAATCCAATGCAACTATCAGAAGCGTGGTGCATTGAGTCAACCCCACCATCAACCTATCAACCCCACTAGCTGAGATATTATTAATCGAAGCCTTTTAAGTCATCTAGGAAATTCTCGGACATCCCCTACGATAGTTGACTTTCTATATAATTCAAATATGGTTATTTATATTTATTATTAATAACTATAATAAAACCTATACCCATTCCGAAAGTATCCAATGAAATATAATAATTGGTATTCCAGAAGCTAGAGGCAATGTAAAGACTCTCAGCCTTATCATATAGTGCCTAAAATGAGTAAATGGGATGCATTAAGTCAGGTGGAGACTACAGGGAACACTGCTATTGATAAGGTTCTTATCGGGTTATCGGGCTATCAGGCAGTCACAGCCCCGCCTTAGCTCTGAGAACCCCAGCTTCCAACATCCAAGATGTGCAGTGATTGCCTAAGAGGTTACTACTAGTAATCCTAGCTCCTCTTTTGCCTAATCCACATCATCTGGGTCATCTGGCAGTCTGGGTACTGGCGGGATTTATGTATTCGTCTTTAACATCTATGGATCCTCCCTCATCTACATCATCTTAGGATGTAACTTGTAAATTAATGATTTTATGCTTCTAATAGATGTCATGAGTTGCGATAAAATGCGACTAGATACTGAGGCATATTTTCAGCAAGGCTAGGGTGACATTCTTAATTCATCTAAGTCACCGCAACTCCTTCTCTCAAACTTACGTTGCCCGTTGCCCGCTGCCCGCTTCCCCTAAGGTTGGCTTTTTACTACTGCCCCGCCAATCGCAACGCACTTGCCCATTAACGTCGAATACATTCGATGTATTCTTAAGGTAGGAGACACGCCAATCAGCGCAGGTAGGTGCTACCGACCACTGTCCACTGTCCACCTTCTACCGTCCATGCTCTCAGCTATTATATGTACTAAACGCAATCGCACGTTCTTAGCTTCTCTGACACACATAACCAACCTTGGAACCTAGGCGACTCCACCGAAACCACTTCCCCCCCTCCTACCTCCTCGTCACTCCCATCTTTCCTACTCTTCACTCTCTCATTTCCTGACCTCGACAACCTCGACAACTCCGGCCACCTGTGAAATCTGTACAATATCACCGCGTCATTCATTTTCCATCAAATCCGCATACCCTAAGCTTTCGATTCACTGTGCCGTAAAACTGCGAACCATCCGATAATCTCGAGGCGCTGTCTCGACACTCAAGGCTCGGCTGCTACCAAGTATTGTCCTCCGCCGGCTTCTAGAACCGGACAAAATGACGACCATCAATAACTCTAGTGTTGATGATGATGAAGGTAAAGAATACCTACTACTACTTGTTATTCATATTTATCTGCATCCAACTAATTCGTGTCCAATCCAGTTGTAACCATCAACTTGATCTTACGACCTATTGATTTAGAACCCTCTGTACATAAGCGTGAATTTACCCTCAGTCGCCAGAGGCCTTCTATCCGAATCGGTCGAGCGTCTAAAGTCCCAGCTAAGGGCTTCGTTGCCGCGGTAGACAATGCTTGGTTTGATAGTCCAGTCATGTCTCGACAACATGCTGAACTCATTTTCGATTACGAATGCACCCCGAAGGTAAGCCTACCCAATTTGTGATAAGGCTGCACTTCTCGCCACTCCCATTCTGACTCCAATATATAGGGCGTGTTCATTAAAGATATCGGGTCTCTTCATGGGACTTTTCATACTCCCTGTAATGGAACTGGGAAAGAATCAAGACTGGAACAGCACAACCTAGCCAGATTAGCAAGTGGTGACTTGCTCCGGTTTGGTACCGATATCTTTAGATCAGCATCGACATTCCCTCCATGCACGGTCGAGTTTTATACAGTCAGACAAAACCCTCAGTAGGTTTACGATTTCCTTAGTGGCCACTCAAAGTCTGCTAACACATTGTCGCAGGATACCTCAACCCATCCCGACTATCAGCCTGTCTACTCGAGTATTCACTATCCCAGATGATATCGATGATGATGATGACGATGATAGTGTAATTGAGACTGCCCTACCACCGACACGGAAGAGCAATATTCAACGTGGTCTATCAATCGACTTAACTCGAGATGATACCGATGAGGCTGACGACCACACTGCTCACAATAATCTTAATTCCGATGTCATTGACCTAACCTCTGAGCCTGATGAGCATTCGGACCATGAGCTAACTGTGCCGAGTAATCGTCACTCTCCTGCCTTTTCTTCAACCGCTGGTCCATTCATCCCTAGTATCGTCCCTCCTGGAGCTAGTAGCTTTAAGGTCAATGGCTATGTGCCGGACTTGCCGACGACCACATATCATTCTCCCCGGCTTGCAGGTCTTGATGATGTCCCGGATCAGTTCTCCGATCACAGCCATAACCCTGATCCCTATCACGAACAAAGCGACGAGGAAATGGATAGTGATGATATCCGATTGACAGATTCGGATAATGATTCGGTTGTAACTAGAGATTCACTTGATGGATTGAATGCTATGAGCGAAGAAACAGACGAAGACGAAGACGACGGCGGCTCTTCAAGCTCTGTTTCTTATGATTATGGCTGGGAAGCCGAGTCTTCATCTTCCAGCCAGAATGATAGTGATAATGGAAGACGCGCTCTTTGGGAGGGTGACTATGAGAGTAAGTGCACATGTGAACGTGCCGAATGTTCATTGTTCTCAGAAGGCTAACAATAATGTCATTTCTAGGCACTGACGACTTGCCGTACTCTGAAAATGGTGCTTCATCGTCGAGTGAGGATTCTGTAGACTCGGCGTTGAATGCGAGCTCACCGGTACTTGGCTCGCTTGAGAATCCGGTATCTAAGACGGATGCAATTACCGTGGCCGCCCCCACCGAAGCTTCTGATGCGAAGTCATCATTTGTCACGCCGTTCCTATTTGCTGCACCTACACAGCAAGGCACGCCGGTGACTCATCCTCGAGAACCAAGTCCATCGGATGCTGCAATGTTCAAAAGCCACCCCATGATTGACCGTGCACCTAATGATTCTAGGGCTCAGGCTCTAGGAGAGAAGTCGGGAAAGTACGAATTCTTCGCAGCCAGAGAGAGCAATCGTACGACTCTCGTGGACCAACTCCCCCCACCACCAATTTCGGCGATTAGAGAAACCCTAGTGGAAGATATTGATCATCAGGCTGGTGGTGTGGCGGTCGACCAAGATCCGCTTTCGACCTTCCGCGAGGCTCTAATTGCTCGCATTGGTGACAACCAAGCAAAGTCTACGGAGAAGGGTGTCGATATTATCACTGCACCTAATGTCTCTCCCCCATACGATACCAACTATCCTCTTTTCGGCGATGTCCAAATGCAGGAACCCGGATGGGCTAAACCAGACTTTTCATACCCGGCATGGTCGTTGTCTGGGGAAAGATTCATCAATAATCCTCCAACTGAGGATCTCCCCAACCAACGTTCTGAACGACCTCAGAGTCCAGAACTTGATATGACTAGTGCATATACATTCCAGTTAAGCAAGATGGCAACCGAAAATCGCACTAGCCAACAACCCAGACGCGTTGGGATTCAAGATCTCCTTGTGCAAGAGGCTAACAGGCTTGAGATGCTCCGTGACGAACAGCCAGCTGACCCTATGCAAGTCGTCTCTATGCCAGCCACATCTACCTCACCATCAGCCGCCCCGGTACCCCATCAGGAATTGCAGGAACATAACTTGAAGCGATCCTTTGATGATGCTTTCAGTGATGAACCCATTCTACCAGAACTAAACGGTACCATAAGTGAGGCGAACGTCAAGCCAAGCGACAAGTCTGACACGGAGCCCACGAGCAAGGAACAGGAAATTTCCACCGCAACTGAAGATATGCCTAGCGATATCCCAGTTTGTCAGGTTACTCCTCCTCAGAGTGAGGTACAGGTAGATCCCATCGCTGTTTCTATACGACCAGAGTATTTCCAACCATCGAAGAGACGTCGCTTCGCGCAAGCAGCAGCCTGTGTCGCTCTCGGAGGTGCTGCCGCATTCACCTTCATGGTCTCTACCGCGCCGGTCCTATAATGGCTTCTTATTGCTTGACAAATGGAGTAACGGTCGTGGACTCGATTTAAGGTGTCTATTACGGGTAGGTCTGGTGGTGGTTGTTGTGTAACTCGTAACTTACGGGGGTATGTAGGTCAATGACGGAACTAAGACCACTTCGGTTTCCTTAGGAGTTATATCCATATTGCAAACGGCGCAGATGGGTCAGGGAGTGGCGTCACGGTTTCTTTGTTTCGGAGGATTGTTGAACTAAGTACATGCCACTGCATTTATCTGGGGGTGGCAAGGGACGAATCACGGAACATCATTTTGTACGGGAAGAGGGTGGATGGACTAGCACGGATGGACATGAATTTGAGGTTGCTTTGATTTACTTAGGCTTTCTTTTCCCTGTTCAGACCCTGGCAATGGGTGCATGTGCTCGAGTCCACTGGAAGATTAGCATATTAGGCAACTAATGCAAATCGCTTTTAATGACAGGTATTCTAGCCCGTGGATACGAAATGATCCGTATTGGTAAAGGTATTCTTGGTGTTTTATCAGTAAGCCCTTGTCATTTCTAAGACCTATTTACTATTATTTTCTCATTCATTTCTCTGTTTAGTTTAAACGTAACGTTGCAACAGTAAATCAAATCTCTCTTGCTAAGAATTTACGAATTGAATAAAATCATGGATATTATAAATTAATATTGCCCGGTTGGCATGATGTTTCGAGAATGTTGATAGCTGGTGGGATGGGTGGTAGAATGATCACGACAATAATCGGGTAAGAGACGCTTCGGATGTAGCAGTTCTTCACATCGATATCGTTGAATGTTTTGACTTGAAAGGGATCATTTGCTAGGTATGGTAAAGTAGGTGATTAAAGTTACTAGAGATGGGAAACCTGAGACATGGTGTCTATACCTACCTAGTTTAGATGCCGACCCAGAGACTTCCGATGCCAGCGGAAACAAACTTAGGCGGGAAATAGCATGTTACGAGGTTGCACACATTTCCGCTCGTCCCCATGGAATATATTTACCTCATTGAAGAGGACGGAAATATGATGGTTCGAGGCGTAGGTTAGGGGGTCTTTAGGTGGTGATTGGAGCCCGATAACGGGAATAATAAATGAACCTGACAATTTATCCCTGGAGAAAATCGTCCATGCTAGGGTTTCATATATACATGAACATGATAAGATCGCCTTCGCTATCCGATCGATCTGGCTGTCAGGCGGAAAGTGTGCTATTCTTGGGACAGCCAGGCTGACTGGCTGATAACGTCACAGATATATCGGCGAATAGGCAGATTGAAGGCCCATCGGTAGCGAGGTGGCTTGATGGTCCGCACCCGCGAGACGGTGAGACATGCAGCTTTCATACCTCTCCTAGGAGCGCGGGCCGAGGAGCTATCCACAGTTCACCCTTCCCACCGCCCCTTGTTCGTACTACAAGAACCACACCGTCGGGAGCGGGTTTCTGTCTACCCAGGCCTTAGATTCGGTAATTGACCCGTGGTTTACTCGGACAGCTACTAGGTAGATAACCTTCCGGTCCGAAGCAGGATTCTGCATGCTGCGCGTATCCGAGCCGCGTCTAGGTATTTCCCCCGCAAACCCGTGGAAGCCACGTAGGTTCCCGAACAAGTCTTGTGTTCCCATCGACTCGGGAGTTGCTACTCAGGTTAACGGTGTCGAGTCCTTGCGCTTCGGTATATCTTCTTCTGATCGCTGAGCTAAGATCTAGGAGAGATCTGAGGGTGCATGCGGAAACCTATTGTGAGAGGTCGGCAGGGATTGATCACGTCTCGGTAAGTTTGGAACATGGGGTGGAATGATAATGATGGATGTAACTTGGGTAGAGAATGCGGCGCTTGGATTCGACGGATCCGTAGATCTCGTGTCGCACCCGGTCATCGAGTCCAGTGTGCTAGGATCATAAGTCGTAGCCGACGAGCGCCTCGAGGTGCCAAATGGGTTACATGATTGGAGGTAGAAGAAAGTAAATAGTTTAATGCTGGTAGGTAGGTTGTTTTTCTTATCTTTTCTTTTTCTCGAATCCGACCGGAAGAGTCATGATGGTGTTTCGTCGTCTGACGCCTTTCCGCGCGCGACACTTCTTTGTGGTCAGTTGGAGATGTCGTGTGGTGAGACGAACAGCCTTGAATGAGGCGGTGAGTCTGAAGATTCGGAATGAGATTGTTGTCGGATGAGTTGGAGGGAGTACCATGCCATGTTGAAGGCCTAGCTCTTCTTCTCTATAAAGTGAGGGAGACCAACTCCTCATCAGACGACAATGTGACTTGTAACTAACGACGTTGGATATAAACCATCAATTATATTTCAAAGAAAACCATATCTACCTACTATTCGACACACTAGCGTGACAATGGCGCAGCAGACACAACAGACGTGTGGATACTACACGAGCTCTTACGCCATGGATGAAGACAGAGCTATATACGGTCTGGGATCGAACCGAGACATGCCGTCTTTATGTCCCAACTGCAAAGGCAACCCAAGAGAGTATAGCAATCCCCCCAAAAGAGGCGTATTATAAGAAAATACTGATCATGTTAATACAGTCGGGTTAATTGCAATCGATGTGGCGCAACGGGAATGTTAGGCGTTCCTGGCATCAGCGCCGGCAACGGGCGACGGGAGAGAGGTCAAACTTCTGGAGGCCCTAGCTCTGGACGAGGGAATTCTAGGGGGGACTCCTCGGTATTTCGAAGTTCGAAACGATGAACGATTGTTGGAAAGATAAGGGATATGCTCTATCTAGGTGCTTAGCTCAGCTACCTAAGTCTACCTAGTACTGGATAAAGGGGCATGAGATTGTATATGTTTCTATTGACTTACGTGGATTGAGATGTTTCTTTTACATCACCATTGGTTGGAGGTGAGATTTCTGTATGAGGTCGGAGAGATATGGGTGCTATATTGATCAATCTGAACAAGAATCTACTTAACTCCTAACTCCTAGTTCGAGTCTAGTCAAGTTGATGCCCCATTTAACTTGGGCATATCGTAATATCCACAGTGGTCATGAGTAAGAGGCAGATATCTACCTATTCTTACACGCCTTCTCTATAAGCAATAGTGCAATGTACCTATATTAGCTGATAATACATCTCCGGAATTTGGAGTGATATTGGGAGAGGCAGTTTAATCATATCTATGGATAAATTCGAGATGGCCTGAATACCTAGGATACACCTGGTATGCAGACACTGATGATTATCTTAGCAGGGTAACATCGGATCATGTACGTTGGCAGATAGGGGTTGCCTGATTGATATGAACGCTGGTTCTCCGCGATCCCTTGTGCTCAGCTGTTCTAAAAAGGAATGGGAAACGCCCCATCACCTATAGGACCTAGCTTCTCCTATATTAGTTCTAGTTCTGTGCTACCAGTACGAAGGCACCAATAGGGGTCAATCGCTCAGTAAGTTAGCATTCTCCGCTTTCTTAGCTCTCTTACTCACTGATTGATATCTTGGAGGTATTTGAAGGGGAGTTTCTGCACAATACCTCGTATGTCGTCTCTTTGATATGTTCTAAATCATACCAGATACTTCCAGGTACTAAGCCATAATGCCGATTGACTTTCATCTCAGCCAGAAAGAGGCGGGCGTCCGCGATGCCGCCGCAAGCTTCGCGCATAATGTCCTTAAGCCTGTGCGTACAGAGTATAAGGCACTACAGAGTCCCAATGACCAGTTCCAAGTTACTCGAAAGGCCTACGCAGCTGCGAGTGCTGGGGGACTGATAAAAGGCCAAATTCCACCATCCCTAGGAGGCACAGGAGGATCTCTCGTCGAGACCGCGATTCTGGTTGAAGAATTCTACTCGGTAGAACCTGCGGCGTCGCTTACGATCTTCGGGACAGCGCTTGGTCTGATGCCCCTGATTCTCACACAGAAACCCGAACATCGCGAATTCCTTGCCCCGTTCCTTGGCTGTGAAGGGACACCCCTGGCGTCACTAGTCTTCAGCGAGCCCGGCGGTGTGGCTAATTACTTGGAAAAGGGTGCTCCTGGGCTCAACACCACAGCTCGTCGTGAGGGCGACGAATGGGTCATTAACGGCGAGAAGAAGTGGGCTTCTAACAGTGTAGGCTGGGATAACCGAGGCGCTGATTTAGCCTGTGTCGTCTGTCGGGACGTCACGGAATCGGCTGAGAACCCTGATACTAATCCTAAAGACAAAATCGTGTTAATCATAATCACGCGCGCTGATCTCGAGCGCAGCGGGGACAAGAGCTTCGAAGTGGTGCGCGAAGTGACTCTTTTCGGGCACACGGCCGCAGGTCCAGGTCACCACATAAAATACACCGACGTACGCGTCCCCGCGAAGAACGTGCTCTGTCCGCCGGGAGAGGCCGCCGCCGTGGTTTCCGGAGCCTTCGACTTGACGGCTGTTCTCGTCGGCGCGATGAGTGTGGGGATCATGCGCGCGGCCTTCGATGCAGCTCTGGCTTTCGCGAAAAGCGACGATCGGCGGGGGAAAGTGCCGCTTCTCGAACGCCAAGCCGTTGCTGACTTGCTGTCTGGCATGAAAATGCAGACGGAGGCGTGTCGCGCGTTGACTTGGAAGGCGGCGCATGCTATGGAGAATGGGCCGGGTGATTATAGCGCTCGTAGGGAACTGGCGCTCGCTGCTAAGGTGTATTGCAGCGATGCTGCGGTCAAGGTTGTGACGGACGCTATTAATGCGGTGGGGGTGTATGTTGAATTCTTTTCTTCTAAGTCCTTTGTTTTGCTTTTTTTTCGAAAAAAAAATCTTTTTCTTTTTTTCAAGGATATCTGGGTATCTTATATTAACTTGTGCCATTAGGACCGCCTATGATGTCGAACAACCTTTCGCCGAGCTGTTGAAGAATGCGATTGGACTGCCAATATTCGATGGCGGCAATGTCGGCGTAAGGAGACGCCACATGCAGGAGCTCATGCTATCTCCGGACTACGATCCCTGGGCGGCGACGTACGGGCCTTCGGGGTTAACGAAATGAAGTGGCTGGTTTCATCGTTTGTATCGTCACGTATCATCACTTTTCATAAATTATTTGAGATGAGGAATATTGCGATGGAACGTCAAATTTTGTGAGAAATGTTGTTCTTCATTTGACGATCGCGATAACGACGATTTGGATATCCAAGATGGTGACACAGTATGATTAACAGCGATTTTGGTAGACGATACCAGTCTGTCTGCGACATATGAAATGATTGTATTTCTAATATATTCCTCATCCTATCTATCTAATATCTCAATTCTCGTACATAAATCTTTTCCCAGTGTCATGAACTTCATCCCCTTCACAATCCTCTCTCCCTCAGCACTTTACGAAGCGTCTTAGCGAAATTAACCACATACTCCGGATTCAGCATCGTATAATGCGCGCCCTCGACATGATGAAAGCGAACATCGGTCCTCACAAAGCTCTCCCAAGCCGCCAACCGATTCTTAACCCAATCCTCCCTGTTCTTCGCCACATGGCTAAGTGGGTCGGCAACGAAAACGTCCATATTCGCAACACTCCCCTCGGGCTCATAATCGACAGCCAGACCCTGCATATTAGACGCGAGCCCAACCCAGAGGAGATAGTACTCCTCATCAAGACCAAGCTCGTCCCAGCGAACAGGGTCGCTGTACATCTTAAGGTAGCGAATAGCGTCGAGACGACGGCCCTCGCGCTCGAACGCGCACAGCGCCGGCTTATGGGTATACGCCGCAGCCTCATCCATCAGACCGACAAAGTAGAACAGGTGGATCACGCACTCGTCCCACAACAGCTCACGCATGCGGAACTTGATATGCGGGGGTAAATTCCAGCTCCCGCATAGCCGCACCTCGTCGCCCCCGGCCTCCAACAGCTTCGTCACTTCGAACGCTACCATGCCTCCGAACGAGTACCCCGCTATCGCGTACGGTCCCGTAGGCTGTCGCTTTTTGATCGCCGAGCGATAGGTTTCGAAGACCTCGGTGAGTGAATTGAATGGTGTCTCCCCTTCCGACGCGTTGAACCCGCGCGCGCGGAAGGCGTGGATGGGGCGGTCGGTGATGTGGTGGGCTAGATTGACGAAGACGAGGACCTCGCCAACACCAGGGTGCACGAGCCAGAGCGGGGTTTTGGTACCATGGGGTTGAAGGGTAACGACGGGGTCGTACTCGTGCTTCTTTCTGCCGGTGGAGACGGCGACGCGGGACGCGATACCCCTTGCGGTAGGATTCTTTAGGATATCCGTGAGCCGGATGAGTTTTTCGTGGCCCGAGGATCGGAGGAAGCCGTTTAGACGCTGCATTATGGCGACGAGGTCCATGGATGTTGCGCCGGTCGAGAAGATGGAGTCGTTGACGGAGAAGTCGTCTTCGAATCCCATTTCGAGCTGTTGGCTTATGATGTATAGGATTGCGGCTTCCTCGATGGTTTCGGGTTGGCCCCGGACTTTCTGGCGGTATCTTGCGATTGCTTCGTCGTTGGTGGCCTTTTGGTCTGCGAAGACGCCTTCTTCTAGGGCGGCCTTCAGCTTGGTTCGCGATAGCTTGCCTAGTGTGGACTTGGGCATGTCTTGGACTCGCAGCGGCACGACTAGGGGTCGAGAGTGGGTGTGCATGCTGCAGGTGCGAATGATACTGCTTTGAGCCTCGTAGCGGGCCTCATCATCGTCATCCTTGTATGAGGGAAGGTAGAGTACCACGACGACTTCCGTATCTGCTTTTGAGGTGTCGCGCATGGCGAAACAGCAGAAGTAACTTGGCGTGGTGCCCGGGATCTCTGCCTGCTCTAGTGCCGAGTCGAGCTCGTGCGGCAGATACTTAACGCCATTGATATTGATCATCTCTTTAGTCCGACCGTCTAGGTGAAGCTGACCCTTTTCGTCCATGTAGGCGTTGTCTCCAGTTCTAAACCATCCATCGCTGGTGAAGGCTTCGGCTGTGGCTGTGGGGTTATTGTAGTATCCCTTGAAGATCGCGTCGCCGGTGATCTCCAGACTGCCGCGCTCACCTCTTGCGACTTCAGTTCCCGGGTTGTCTAGCCGAGCAATACGCATTTGCACACCAGGCATGGGTTCACCCAGCGAGGTAAAACCCAGACGTTGGGAGCTATCGTAGCTAGGACACTTATCGTTGACGATGCATCCTGCACAAGTCTCTGTCATGCCGAAGGACGGTTTGAAAACGTCAGGAGGAGCGCCGTATCGGCTCAGTACTGATTGTAGTCCAACGCAGACCTCGGTGACGTTCGCCTCGCCTCCCGTATCTATGTACAACGCCTCTAGGTTCAGATCCGAGTCTAGTGCGGATGCCGTTCCCGATTTGAAAAGTCTGAGTATCTTGGCAAGCAAGAAATTTGGCGCGAAAATGCGTGATACGTGGTGACGGCTGGCTAGGTTCAGTAGTTGCACAGGGTTGAGAAGGATATCAGCGGCCGCAACCTGGATTTGCGAAACGCAAGATACGATAGCGAAGAGGTGACAGTGGACCAGGTTAGCTACATGGTCCATGTGAGTCCACGACAGGAATGGGCTCTCTGGGTGCTGTAAGTTTGCCGAATCCCTTTTGCCCTTGAAGGCGGCGAGAAGTTGTCGATGTGTTAAGGGGACTGCTTTCGCGTTACCGCTGCTTCCTGATGTGAGCATGACGGCGGCGATACTGGATGGAGATGGCTCAGGAGACGGTGTCATGGGCGTTGAGTTGGTGAGGACCACGCTGTCTAATTCTTCAACGGTGCATATGTCGATACGTTCCTCGCTGGCGTCTTCTAAAAAGGGGTTCATGAGGGAACGGCGCGTGAGACATAGAGGTCGATTGAAGGTGCTTTGGAGATGGCTGAGGTGCTTCTTGCGGTCTAAGGCACTCTGGCTGAACATGCCCGGCCCGGTCACGGAAGGGATAGCCCCAGACAGTAGGACGGACCAGTACCATATGATGCTATCAAGAGCATTGTCGAAGTGGACAAGAACAACAGAGCCAGGTTTGCAAAAGCCTTTCTGCTTGCATTTACTAGCATTAACTTCAGCTAGGTTCAGTAACTCTGCGTAAGAGAGTTTCAGAGCCGCGTGTGGGTTACTGGTATCGTTTGCTGGATATGCCGAGATACCCTCTGTTGTTTGATTGGCCGCATATCTCAGGGCATCAACAACATTGTCGAATGGGTAATCGTAGTTTGACATCGTCGTTGTCATGGAGGTCATTGCTATTGCTACCTGTGTTCTGCTATATCTTTCAACAACATCTACTAGGTAGTCATATATGTAGGTATCTATATATTCCGACATGCCCCTAATGACGGTTGGGCTGCACGAAGCATGCAAAACCATCCCAGTCCGGGGTTGACAGGAGTTCATGGCGAAGCTTTGGAAGGATCGATCTAGGTAATGACTAACAGGACCGAATGTATCGCTTTGGGATGTTCTAAACATATTTCCACCCTAGCTGCCTACCCAGGTACCCATCGAAAATTCACTCAGGTTGACCGATGAGGACTATCCCAGACAGGCCAACATCCTCCACCGTCATCTCGATGAGAATCATACGATAGTAATACTCGATCTCGCCATGAGGTGTATATAGTAATACCGATCGAGCCAAGATTTAGATCTAATCTTACATATCCAAATACTAATTATCACTCGTTAGTAAGAAATAGGGGCGCTCTAGAACATCCTCGGGTCAAGATGGGGAGTCCGTACCTATACACCATGCCAACTGAAGCATACCTACCTACACTCCATACCAGAAACGACGGCTTGCCTAAGTGGCTTGACTACATCCTGCTTGTGTAACCCCAGTTATCTATACTCCGCGCGTTGTTGGCGCCTCATTTGTATCGACTGAAGCGGCAAGATGCTTACTAGATACCTATTTGTGGGCCTTCATTTCAAGTGGCTTAACAGTTGAGAAATGAATAAGCAAAACGGCTTATACCCGAGACAAACGAATAAGACGATCGTACTCTAGTTGGATGTGATGAATCACCTAACTACCTACTTCATGTGCTATTTTTATTTGAGTTCCCTTTGTTGAAGATGGTTTACCTCATGTTCCCTGTCATTAACATGTCTCAGTATAGCTAAATCTTGACTGGAATAACCATGTTTTGACCTGAAGGGACAGAGGCTGCCTGAAGCAATCCCGACTCGTCCTAGAAAGAACTAAACTTTTACGTAAATTAACACTAGTTGCCTCATTCATGTTTTTTATGATATAGATTTCATAACACAAGGTGAATCCCACAATGCCACCTTGTATTCTATGTAGGCACCCTATATTCGTAATCTTACTTGAAGTCCGGAGCTAACATGAAAATTTCGTGTATCATCACAGCCATGGCTTGATCACTTCATTTTGAAGGACTAACAGCCTTGCCAGGTAGGACTGTATGTAATTTTTAGCCCCATGTATGCGTGCGGCGTACCTCTTTATTTACAAGTCCTACCAAAGGTGCGGCTGATATCCCCGATATGTATAGGTAATTCTGCGCGTGGTAACCCTGGAGCTTACATAGTACAACGCGGAATTTGTCTTACTCTCACCGGGGTTTCATAGGTGTTGGTAGAACGAGTACCTGAACCGGTTTTGAATGTTGGTGAGATGTCATAGGACATCTTACTAAGTTGTCGAATACCTACTAGGTATCTTATAGGATGTTGGTATTGGATATGAATGCGGAGTGTCGTGATACGAGATACACAATGCTTAGGAGGTACGCATAATTATGGAAATTGAATCTAAAAAGATGAAATTGAGTAACCGGCTATCGAAGTTACGATTCGTAACACGGGATACATGTGTACGAAGTTTAAAGTGGTTCTAAATGCCAGGTTTTTGTATTTGGGGACCATTCGTGTCATACTGAATAAATTGAGATACTCAGCATTAACCTAGGGTATGAGAAACAGCCAGTGAAGTGAAATCATAATGTTAAAGATGCACCCTCAAAGGAAATGTGAACTTGAATTGCATAATGGGTAAATTGGTCTTATACATGTAAGGTAGTGAGAGTTTACAAGACCTAGTTATCTGATTTTTAACGACTGTCTGTTCCTATGCCAAGACGGTTGTTGTTGGGTTGGATAGCCCCTTTCTATCTACCCGTCCCGGCACAAACTCGCGCACCCAGTCTCCCCAAGCGTCATCCACTAGCTGGGCGATTCGTCTACAAGCTTCATATGCCTGCTCCTCGGTCACTAAGCTGAAGCTTGCCCTGAGCTGGTAAGTCTTGCGGTTATCCGGCATGAAGGCGACGCCGGGGATGGCAAGCAATCCGCGCTCCATCCCTTTCTTGCTCAATAGCTCGAAGGTGTCACCGCCAGGTGGAAGTGTCAAAGTTAGCCAGAAGAATAATCCCGCAGTTGGTAGATCCCATGTAGCGCGATATTTGAGATGCATTTCCGCGGCTGCTGCGAATACATCCCGCTTCCGACGGTAGAAATCGCTAGCCCTGGCGCAATGATCTAGAAAACCCGTGTGGCCCCAGTGCCGGAAGAGGGACAAAGCTAGGATTTGAGTCGTAGATGAGGGCTGAAGGCTATGATAGTTATCGGTATGCTGTAAATTTATGGGGTTTGTCTCAGATACTTACTTGATGTTTTCAGTAAGCTTTATGACGTTCTTGACGATTGGTAGAGGTCCAGTCAGGACACCAAGCCTCATGCCAGCACTCACGATCTTACTCATTGAGTCAAATCGTACGACCCTACCGGTTTCTCCATTGACTTCTTGCTCAAGAGCCAGGTAGCTGCGTGGTTTTCCCTGTGGTTCGTTCTCGAAGTTGAGGAAATAATATGCGTCGTCTTCCAGAATCATAAAGTTGTATCTCTTAGCTAGACGCAAGCTATTGTATTGTTAGATATCTTCTGAAGTTTACCTAGTGATTGTTACTTGTATACCACTCACATTTCAATTTTACGCCACTCCGGGCACGATCGGCCGGTTGGGTTCGATCCAGTGGGGATGGTATACAGGAGTTTAGGGAGGGGCAGGTCTTCAGGCCATTGGGAGAGTGATTTCTCTAGTTTAGAAGGTTCTAGGCCGTGTCTGTCTGTTTTGGCCTGTACTAGCTTGTAGTCTTCTGCTTGGAGGAAGCCTACAACGCCCCTGATCGAGTATTTAGCTAAACTGTCAAAACGATATGAGAAAGACACTACTTACGGGTACGCTGGCCTAATTAAATTTTATGTTAGAACATCGCTTTGATATCGGAGACTTATTTTCTGATAACAGAACTTACGTTTCAATGAGTACTGGATCACCAGGGTCCGTGAGAACTTGGAATGTCCTATGCAAGAGCTCCTGGCTCCCGTTCCCGATGCAACAAGACCATCCTTGATTCCTATCAATGCCGTGGAGTTCACTTTGGAATCCTTCAAACCACTACTTATGCGTACACACGATTAGTCATTTTCGAATAACCCTGTTGTAAAGGGGCATGCCACTAACCCTGACCAATTCTGGATTCCCCCCGGGTAAGCCATATTGCAGGCCATCGACGAGACCATCTTCCCGGGTCAAGATGATCTCTTCATTTGATCCCTTAAGAGATAGCGTAATCTTTTCGAAAGGGAATACCTCTGGGTTAGGTTTTCCTGTATCATAGTGTTAACGATTTTGATAGAAGATGGAAAGAAGAGGAACATACCGGCAACGAGTGAGATCATGCCTGGGAGGCTTTCAAGAGGAAGAAGCCTTCTAACTATATGATTATTAACATTTTATCGATATTTTTTCCAATTATCATAACGAGTTGGCAATCGTAATTGGTGATCGTAACTTACTAGCTCCGGGTGCATATTTCTGTACGCGATTTGATAAAAGGGGTGTTGGGTCGAATATATCGACATTCTTTGAGCGAGCTATAGAATTCATTGTCAAATATTTTTGAATACCTATCTAGGTATTACAAAGGTTAGGTAGGTAGGTAGGTAGGTAGGTAGGTAGGTGGGCAAATAGAAGTTACAATAATGAAAACATATCTCTTAAGATCATCAAAACATCTTACCATCGTGAGAGATACAAAATCATTACAATGCTTTATTTTAGGTATTCAGTAACTTGAATATATTGAAGGATGCATGATTCTAACATTGTGCGGCGTCGCCTTGTCCCATGTGGCTTAGTAGCACCAACAATTTTCATCACTAGAATTTCATCGATTTATATCGACCCTAGAGGGTGTAAAGTCATCTTGATATCTTACGACCTCGCTTTTGAGTCAGCCGGTCCGGCTTATGGCTTAGGACGCGTGTAACATCGTCTATCCGCTTTATTGGTCGGTGGCTAACAAACAAGGGATGAGACGTGCGTAAGGTACCTAATGCAAACGGGCGCACCAACCAACAGCCCCCGGCCCCGAATCCCTCACTCTCCCTTCCGAGGCCCGAAGATTTCGGCCTGAATATGTAGCTTATAGCATACTTATTTCTTCAGATTTCTTAGACATATTCCTTCATTTATTCTCATCCATCCCCATGTCATCAGCTTGGAAATCATTCCACACGAGCCAGAGGCTGTGTCACCTATCCTCACGTCTTGGACGAGCTCAAAAGCAATCTTCTTCTTTCAGCCACTCTGCGTCATTAGCCATGAACGTCGCAAAAGTTACCGCCTGGGGAAAGCCACCTCAATATATCACCGGAGGTCCTTCCCTTCCAGCCCCGTCCCCATCGCAGATCCAACTCAAGGTTCTAGCCGTCGGCGTTCCTCGTGTCGTGAAGGGCCGCGCACTTGGCAAGCATTCCAGCGTCAAGGGTGGGCTGCCTTTCGATCCGAGCATCGATGGCGTTGGCCTTGATGAGGCTACGGGGAAGAAGTACTACATCGCACCCATGAGCGCCCCCCTTTTTGCCGAGCGCGCTAATGTTGAGCAACACCAAATGATTCAGCTCTCCCCGGAAGCTGATCCTGCCACTGTGGCGGCGCTAGTGAATCCCGTCAGCAGCAGTTGGAGTGAGTCGCGTCTCCCCGCATGTCTCAGCTTATTCTTTTTCAAGTTTCCTTTACCTAACCGGAGTTTTTACTTTTCGAACATGACGTTGAAGTCCTATATCCAATGTCCCATGCCTGTTTCTAAGATGTCTCATACTGATCCTGATTTTTGTAGTGGCCTTGAGTGCCCGCGCAATTGGTGGGTGCAAGGGACGTACCGTCTTCATCGTCGGTGCTACCACCGAGAGCGGCCGTCACGCCATCAATGTCGCTCGCGAGCTGGGCGCTGCCAAAGTCGTAGGCACCTCACGCACCCAAGAAACTCTGGACAAAGTCGAGGGGCTCGATGAGCGCATTCTTCTCACCGAGCCCTTTGAGGTGCCAAAAACAGTGGGACCTCTCGATATTGTAGTGGACTTTGTTGGCGGCCCTACCTCTATAGCTATCATGAAGACTGCGGAGATCAGGGAGGGTTTACAGTATATCAGCGTCGGTGGCGTCGCCGGACACGAAAACTTGGAGATACCAGCTAGCTTGCTTAATGCCCGTCCCATCCGTATCATGGGATCTGGCATGGGCGCTTTTTCCATGCTAGAAGTAAAGAAAGAAATGCCGGGATTAGTTCAATTTCTCGGTAAAATGAAGAGGCCTTCAAATGTTGTCACAGCTGCTTTGGCTGATATCGAAACCGCGTGGGATTCTACCAAGGAGAAGGAGAGGCTTGTTCTAATCCCTTAGATAGTGTTCATGCATCGCTTTGATTGTATTGGATCGTATGGAACGTTATTACGGACATGGGGGATTCTGTCTCTTTTGGTAGCTACAGCCGCTTGCAAACATGAATAAATGTAGTGAGCCAACTGACATATCTCGCTTGTTCACCTATTCAAATTATCTAAGATTTCTCACGATTTTGATCTGATTTGACAGAAACACCTAGGTACCTACCTAAACTAGAGAAAACCAATTATATCTGACCATTTTGGCCTGAAAAGGATATAACATACCTAAATGTGTAAATTTTGCCATATGTTGCCAGGTGTTGATGACCCAAAGTTGTGTTGCATTTTAAGTGGTTCGCGCGCTGGCTTACAGTGCCTACCCACTAAAATATAGCGACGAGAGACGCCAGGTAAGCGGGAACATGACTGCTTTTGACCTAGACCTCCGTTTCTACCTTGTAGTTTAGGTATTAGTATTATCACAATGCCAATCTAGCGAGCCGGAAAATAACGACGTGATGACTACATTAGGTAGGTACCTACCGTAGGTATCCAAAAGCTTAATACATCCCCCATCAAAGAACGATGGTATACACACCTACATGAGGTATTTTTCAGTTTAGGGCTAGTCACATACAAGTTCTCACACCACCTCGAACCGAGTGATATAGCGACAGCAATACGCGAGATCACGGCTTTATCCGAAGATTGATATCGGAAACATGCTCCAACTCAGGATTTAGGTGCATGAGGCTTCCCAATTCGTAACTGTAATCATAAAAGGTGCAATATTCCATCACCTTCACTCCTTTGCGGAATGATGCATATTGTAGTTAGTCTAGATTTCGTAACGTAGGTAAGATTTGCACATGTTGTTTATGGTTCGACTCACTCAGCTGCTATACTCGGTATGAATATCCGGGTGAGGTGTGTAGAATATACAGAACCAACATATGGTGTTTTATTTCTCATGGCAACCAATACATCGTCGCTTTGTTTCAGCTGTGGCTTCCCGTGGAAGGGAATATTATATCTTGAGTTGGTAAGCGAGTAAAATGCCATAGTCCTACAAAGAGGATCTAGAGAGGATCTAGTATGACAGACCAACAACCAACAGACATCAACACCGCTTTAGAAGGAATTTATACGAGAAGCGTAAATACCTAACTGCTCTAGATTGCGTTGGTATCTCCCTTGTTGTCCGCTAGGTAGCCGAGGAAAACGTATTCCACCCTAAGGAGACAGGAAAATGCAGGTCATCGGATGTAAGGATATTGTATAAAAGATGGGTAGATTGGAGATCTCATCATATCGTTACGGATATGTTTAGTTTGATTGTTAGCCCTGAACAGATCACCTTGATTAATACTTTGACCTTGAACATCATCTTGTTAGTGTGTTATAAATCATCAACCATGACAATTCAAACCGCCACTACCTCCAGTTTGCCCCCCGTAGCTACGAAGCTAACGACGGCAGCAGAGTCAGCCGCGGAGTCCTGGTCGAAGCATGCCCGTCCAATTCTAGGGGGGCTATTGGGTTCAACCGGGACATATACGACTTCAGAGCAAGCTTCCCATCTCCAATTCTTCGATGAGCACGTTGCAGGCTGTCTTGGACCAGAGCCTGTAGAGTCAAAGGTTAAGTACCTCGCAAGCCCAGACTTAGCCGGGACGCGCTTCGAAGTCAGCCTCAACTTGTCAACCCGGGGCAAGGCGAAAGTACGGTACAACTTTGACCTCATGAGAGATGGAGCTGGACCAGACCCGTTCGGCGAGAACAATGCACGTGAAATGCTACACCGTTTGTGCACTGCTACAGGTGCTGATACCAAGTTGATGGACCACCTTATGGAAGCTCTCTTCCTGTCGCAATCCGAGACAGAAACCTTGCGGAATAAAATTGAGGCGTCGTTGCACATCCCGCCAGCCATCATCGCCTTTGAGCTTGAAGGATCCCAACAAATCCTCAAAGCGTACTTCGGAGTTATCAGGAAAACCGTCACGGGAAAGTCGCCAGTGGATATCACAATGAACGCGCTTCGTGACATTGAACCCTTAGGATATGACTTATCATACAACTTGGATCTTCTTCAGGAGTTTGTGTCCCCGCTATCCCACTTAGGAATATGGGTTACTAACAAAGTGCATGTGATATTAATAGATATCTAACCACCTGTCAAGGCAAGGTCAACCCTATTATGGTAGGAATTGACTGTCTAGACCCAAAGATTCACCAAGGTAGTCGTGTGAAGGTGTATGTACACACTCAGAGCAAAACTTTCGAGGCGGTTCGAGATGTCGTCACCCTTGGTGGGCGCCTAAGCGATGAGTCTACACTCAAGAAGGTAGACCTTTTGCGATCCGTCTGGCACTTGCTACTAGGCGAACCCGACGGTGTCCCAGACAACGAGATAGACACGTGGTCAAAAAAGGAGCGTGCTCCTGGTACGTGTTTCTCAGGCCTCTTTTTTAGCATTGACCTGGCGGCCGGGAAGAGAATGCCCGATATCAAGACATATGTGCCCACGTTTCAGTATGCCGAAGATACGGACACGGCGTTCAGGAACACCAATGCCGCCTTGAAGACACTGGGTCATGAGTGGGGGCAGACGGGTCGCTTTTACGAAGTAACCAATTCTGTTCTGTGCGTATCCTTTTCCTTAACTCTATTTCTTGCGTGTTCATCATGGGAAATAACTAACAAATGAGCAATCAAGTGGACAACAGAAGGCCCATGGGCAGAGCTGCCTGTGCTTCTCATATACCGAATCTAAGGGCGTGTACCTAACGTCGTACTTTGGCATGCCCATATTCAACAGTGGGAAGGCTTCTGAATACGGGACTGATTCGGACGCTTATAAAATCTTGGACTAGATTGTGGACTTCATTGATGTTCATAATTGAGTCTGCGTAACTGAATTTGAATTTGTTGAGATGTAGATTGTTAGAAAGAAGGACAATACAACTGATATTATGATTTGGAAAACTTGATCCATATGCTTGATATAGTCGAAAAAGTGTGATTAATATGAAGAGGGAACAAAAAAGATAAGTCAATGATTGTGAGGTGATTATCTGCTGAAATATTATGTAAATATTATGTAATCAAATGATAATCAGACATCTTATCGATAAGGCTGATAGGCATCGACATCATCTAATCTACAGATGTATTTCGTACTATCGAGAGATATTCTACCTGTAACAACTTTTTTACCATATTCTCGCGCCAATGCGACATAAACTTATTCTGATTTATTCTATTCCCTTATTTTATCGACCAAGCAGTTTTGTTTCTTGATACATCATTGATGGGGTTGCCATGTCCGTAATTCTTTGTACCGGTATGTCCAACAACAATCCAAGCTTCCATCTTCCGTCTTCCATCTATTGGTTCTAAACTGACTTTAATTTAGCTGGGTACGATCACACCATTAGGTATGCGACGAATATGAAACCAACCAATTTTTAAACCGTAATTGGTTTGTCAACTAACGAGTCGCGTTGGAAAACATAAAGGTTCTGGGAGGCGCTTTCGGGAATCTGTTCACGTACCATTCAGCACCCGGACTCACAGGTCAACCGATTGTGCATCTCCCCAGACAAGCGATTCCTAGCTGCTGCCGGCCACCATACTGTTAAGCTCTACGATATCAAATCGACGAACCCGAATCCATTACTCACGTTCGAGGGCCACACCGGAAATGTCACAGGTGTAGCTTTTCACTGCGAGGGGAAATGGATGGTCACAAGCTCTGAAGATGGAACGGTCAAGATATGGGAGACACGCTCGGGTACCATCCAGCGAAGCTACAGCCATGGTTCTGCCGTCAACGATGTTGTTATTCACCCAAACCAGGGCGAGATTATAAGCTGCGATCGAAGCGGCAGCGTGAGGGTCTGGGATCTAGCTGAGAATAATTGTTCTCATCAGCTCATTCCCGAAGAAGACGTTTCTGTCTCGAGTGTCACTGTTGCAAGCGATGGGTCTCTGCTGTGCGCTGCCAATAATGTGGTAATTATACCCCCCCCCCCCCCCCCCCCCTACATATACGATACATTTATCATATCTTAACACTTGGCAATACTAATTTTAACCTTAGGGCAACGTCTTCGTCTGGCGACTGATCCAAGACTACGACCACACAAACCTCCTTCCCGTAACCCACTTCTCTGCGCACAAGGAGTACATCACGCGCATCTTACTTTCCCCCGACGTAAAGAAACTCGCCACCTGCTCCGCCGACCACACCGCCAAGATCTGGGAAGTAACCGCATCGCCGCCATCTTCCGACGAGTCCTCCTCTACATCTCTAGGCAACATCCCCCTCATGCCCGCCTCCGCCATCGCCTCAGGTCCTCTCAATGGCACAAACGGCCAATTAAACGGCACCGAGGGAAGTAACCCCATAGTCGGGGGAATGGGGATAGGAGGAATGGGAATGGGAATGGGTGGCCCCGGAGCTGGCGAAGCGAAACCGTATCCCCTCGAGGCCACGCTGACGGGCCACCAGCGCTGGGTCTGGGATTGCGCGTTCAGCGCTGACTCGGCTTACCTGGTGACGGCGTGCTCGGACCACTACGCGCGGTTGTGGGAGCTGCATAGCCAGCAGGTCATTCGGCAGTATAACGGACATCACCGTGGCGCTGTCTGTGTTGCTCTTAATGACTATTCCGAGGCGCGGTGATTGGGTTGTTGTTGTGGTGTTGCTGGGGTAACGGGGTAGTGTGAAGGAGAATCGCGGTGGTTGGAGAAGATGCGGGAAGAATTGGAGAGCTACTTAAGTGAGCTACATGCTACGAGTATGAACTTTTCTATATAAGAATTAGGGCTGGGGAGTTAGAGGAGTCCAATTAGCCTCTTGCTTTAATGGAGTTATGATAACTGCCGTTTTGTTTATTCTTGGTTTCTCGCTGAGCTGGTAGATAGGTGGATTTGTCTATCTAGGAAACTAGGCCGAGAAAAAATTGATTTCTGTTAAGGTTGTGCTTGTACCTCTTAATTACCTAGGTACTATAGTTGTAGTTGGCGATATGCCAAGACCGTATTATATTCCGTAGAATGTGATTCTCATACATCTACCATAATTATCCCTTAAAACTACATAGATCAAGCACCAGAAGCTAAAAAATGTTTAATGCTTAATATCTATACAAAAACCTTAATTCTCAGCTTGATACTCCATACGCCATACGCTAATGCCCTCCCCATTTGAACCCTATCACCTGCTCCCTCTGCCTTACCACCCATCACCCCACCCATCATCATCATCCGTCTCCTTGGGCTTAGTATCGATCTTCTTTGGCACCACCGTCTTCGACATTGTCCTCGTCGGCAACGTCTTCTTCGGCGCTCCGGTCGCAGTGGCTCCCTTGCCATTCGCCTTATTTAGACCCTTAGGTAGGGGTTTAGCTTTACCCCCACCAAGACCGCTCTTTTTCTGCGATTGCGCGGCTAGCCACCCTGCGAAATCGGGTTCGGCGCCGTCGTCGAAGGGTTGAGCTGTGGTAGTGGGTTCTTTCTTGGTAGCTTGTTTGGCGGGCTCGCTAGATGCGTCGAAGAAAGCGTTTCCGTCGTCGTCCATGTCGCCCATATCGCCCCATGCGTCGCCTCCATCATCTACCGGGGTGGGGTCCTTGAAATAAGCTTCAGCTGCGGGGGAGGGTGACTTGAGGGCTTGTCGTTGGAGCGCAGAGGCCGAAGAGGTGGAGTGGAAGCGGGGAGCAGATTCGGGGGAGGCGGATCGGGAGATGGCGCGCGGGGCTTTGGGATTGCTGTTTTTGTTGTTGTTGTTGTTGTTGTTGTTGTTGTTGGTTGCCTCGAGAGCGGCGGTTTGCATTTCGCCTGATGCGGCGGAGAGCTTGTTCGTGAAGGATGAGATGGCCCATCCGGCCCATGAGGATGCTTCGCTAGGTTGCGGGGTGCTCATGCGGGGCCCGGCGCCTTCGGTTGTCTGGGGCGGCGGTTGTACTGTATCTGGCATAGCGGCGGCGGCTTTGCGGATCCGTTGGAGGTAAATATCCATGGCCTTGTTTGCTTGGTCCCGGACTAACTTCTCCTTGTCGATTAGGGATGGGCAGATAACTGGTAGGATTTTTGTCGCGCAGTCTTCCTCCGTGAAATATTCACCAGTGGCTGATAAAGCCATGAGCGCGGCGTTTCGCGCGTGGACAAATGGATCCCTAAGCGACCGAGTAAAGGCGGCTATTAACACTTTAGTTCTCGACGAGGCCCCGAGATTCTTGGCAATCTTGCCAAGGCAGATGGTAGTGTTTGTTCTGATGCCGGGTTGTTCGTCGTTTGCCGTCTTGGCTAGATATTTTAGCAATTCCCCGTTGATCGTACGGTCCGACAATTTGGTAATAATTACGAGGACCGACTTTAGTGTCTGTTCTCGTACGACAGGCGCAAGATCCGTAAACCCGGAGACCATGTTGGGAAATATCTTGTCGTTGACCACCTTTTGTGATAGCCTGTCGATCATTAATGGTAGGTTATCCAAAAGACATACCCGTATAGCCCTGTCTGGATTTCCAAATAATCTAATAACAACGGGTTGAACTCGGGCTTCGAAATCCTCGTTTGATAGCTTCGCGGAGATCTTCATAACGACACCGAAGGCCTTTGGTCCACCACCTCCAAATTCTACCGACTTTAATAATTCGGGTAACACTTTCATCTTAAAGAAATCTTCGGGGAAATCGTCGGTGAGTTGGTCCAGATCATCCAAAAATTCTTCCTTCTCGGTTTCGGACTTGACTCCTAGATTATCAATTCCCTCGGTCAATTTAATTAGGGGCGAATCGAAGAAACTGCCTGAACGGCGACCCTGCTCCAGAAAAGCTCCTACGGTTATTCTTGCTTTCGGGTTCGCATTCACAAGCCTCTTGTAACCTGCATGCATGCTTGGCGGGATCCCTTTCGTCTGCCCAGCCTGATCCCCGCCCAAAAAATCACCGTTGAAAACCTCGAATATGGTTGCCCCAAAGTTGTAAGCATCCACCGCTGAATGCGGACTTTTCTTAATAGCATCCCAACCCGACCGCGCGAGCTCTGGAGGCGTATATCTCGCCGAATCGGGCACCAAACTTCCGTATGTGTATATCACGGCCTCGTCGTCCTTGACATTACTGAGTACCTCGAACCCGCCCAACTTCCATTCCCCGCTCTCGGACGTATATATGGATGCGACGCGCAAACTGCCGTGGATAGACGAACCCTCGTCATTAATAAATTTAATCGTACTCGCGATGCTGTACAACCCCCATTTGATCGTCTCAGGACTTAGACTCTTCCTCTTAACGTGCCATCTTAGGGGTACTACTCTTTCCGTCGCGATATATATGTAGGTATCCGTCTCGACTGTATCCAACACCCTGATAACACCCGGATGTCTCATCGTGCGCAGTTTCTTGAGCGCATTCTTCGCGAGGGGGAGTCGCGCCTTGTTCGCGGTTATGTCGAAAGAAAATATGCTACAATTCGATCCGTCGGCTCGTCTGGTGCCGTTATACAAGGTCCAGATAGATGCGTCGATGTCGACCTTGTCGCCGAAGGAATAGGGGAAGGGAGGCCCTTGGGCGATGGCAGATGCTACCGCCGATTTAAGAAAATCCATGCCTATTATTAGTCTTGTATTTCATGCGATGCGAGGTAGTATTGAAACAAGTAAGTACAAGTTAGTAAGATAGGCTGCGGAAGTATGTCAAGTTGGTGATTATTAGGTTGGTAGCTTGGGTTTGTAGATATTTTGGCGAAGTGTCCCGTAGGATGTGGGCTAGTGGGGCCACTTTGGTCCTTGTCAAGGAACCTTGGAAGCTTAGGACGTCGCGCCCCATATTAATGGACGCTGCGGGCAGCTGCGTGGGTAGCTGCGCCGGCGTGGGAGTCTCTTTCCCTCAGTACTTCGTACTCCACAATTTATTACCAAAAGGTTCAATTCAAGTTTCAATCATTCAACATCAACTTTTCAAACTCAAACTTAATTGACGGAATTATATTCATATTACTTAATTTGCTGGCTTATGCTATTGTATCAATCGTGTATAGCCCTTTATATTTTTAATTCCATCATGCTGAGGGTATCTTGAACCCGCCAGTCCTGTCCCTCCACAACCCGTTGGGGTCCACATTAGCTTGGACTGTCTGGGCTAATTGAAGCTTCTCAGGCCTTAACCTGCCGAAGTAGTCCTGAGGATAAAAGCCGTCATTCATAAATATCGGCAGGAAGACGTCCGATGGAAGCGCGCCGCTCGCCTGGTTTGTCTTGACGATATCTCCGATGCCGTCATACGTAGCCCGCATAGTCGAATCAATCTTCTCATAGTCCGACTTGAAAAGGAAGCTATAATCCAACTCGACGATTATTCGGTTAATTCCGTCATCTAAATCCAACATGTCTCCGCCTTTAGACTTCGCTAACGTCGCTATTCCCTTTGGCAGAGGCTGGAAGGCGATGCTAGCGATGAGTCCTGGCACGAACTTGACCGTGTCGCTAACGTTCACCCAGTGATCGTAGATGGAGCCCATAATATCAGGGCCGTCCTCTGCGCTAGGCAGCGGCATGGTTTCGGTTCCGATGGTATAAACGCTTCCTTTTACAACTGCCCAATTGTTGCCGCTAAGCAGTTTGGAATACCTCTGCGTTTTGCAAGAGTTAATAACGGGACCAATAGCAAGGAACTCGTCGAATACACCTGGCGGCGGCTCAGGACCGTTATAGTACAGGAACATAACCCAGATATCGAGAATGGTGGACAGTGTCCGCTCCGCCGTCACGATAATACCCGCTTTTTTATCGGGGTAATTCTCCGTAAAGTTGCGGACAGCGCTCAGAATGGCGGCGCTGGTTTCAGCCGTCGCAGTGAACTCAAGATTACCACCCCATACGTCTCCCTGCGGATACGCTTTGAGCAGGTATGAAGTTACGATACCGAAATTGTTACCACCTCCTTTGAGAGCCATCAAAATTTCAGGGTGACTGGTTTCGCTAACGGTGACAATCGACGAGTTCGCCAACACTACCGTAGCCTCGAGCAGTGAGTTAGCAGCCCAGCCATACTCGGTGCTCATAAAACTCAAACCACCTATAATCGATTATTAGAAACCGATTGTGACGGAATTGCTAATGTGCTCTTACCTCCTAATAAGTAGCCACCCACGCCCACATTTCCGATTCGGCCGCCGACGACAGTATAGTTGGTAGCATCGAGTTGCTCTCCTACCTCATCCCATCTATTGCCAGGGCCAACTCTTACTGTCTCGGAGTCTGGGTCAAAAATGATTTCGTTGAGCTTCTTGGTCGAGATTAGGGGGCCTCCGGCGACGCTAGCAAAGTAGTTGTTTGGGTTGTGGCCGCCCGACTTAATAGCGAAGGTCTCGTTGTTACCGCGCAAGACGGATACGATCGCAGCAACCTCTTCGGATGTTTCCGGCTCCAGAATGCATGTCGGCTTGAGATCACCGGAATACGTGGACCAGTATTGGGTTTGCTCGTTACTGTAGTCCAGGGTCAACGGCTTTAACACGGTGATATTTGTGCGTTCTTCGACGGTATCGCAAGTGCTCTGAGCTGTAACGGGTGCCGTGAGAGCAACAGCCCATAGTAGAGCTTTATTTAGGGTTGACCGAGCCATGCCAAGCGAGTAGATCTTAGGAAGACGTTACTCAAAGCTATCAAGATTCGGTAAAGGTACCAACAGACGAACGGTACCGACCAGAGACCCCGCGGAATGAGGCTCCAGCCCCTACTACAGGAATACGCATGTTCTTATCTACCTGTGCCGCTGTCTATATTGCGCCTGCGGGGATTCCACGAGTGGGTGTCGCGAACCGAGGCGCTAGGATAGGCCTAGGGGTCAGGGAAGCGAAATTCGATCTTGTGATAGTGCTATTACAAGCCGCTCATGCCTGCAGGTTCATGGACAGACGACTTACTATTAGCTGTTCACATATTGCAGCTCTATGCACGCCCCGAATACGATAGCCACAAAGTCGCATCCACTCCGGATGGCTCGAATAGGGGTGACCATTGGCCTATTACGTCAAAGCACCTGAGTGCATACAGGCGTGTGGAGCGAGCTGTAAACACCAAATTCGGAACGAGCCGTGCAATCCCGGGATTGGTCGATCTAGACTTCAGTCGGAGCTGTCAGAGACCGCCAAAACCAAGCGAAATAGTTAACTCCGCTCGAGGCGCCAAGAATTACCTAGTGAAATCGCTTACTAACCTGCTAACTGACCCGCGAAGCTAACGAGCTGACTTCCATAACAGTGAATATGTCCGGGCTGATCACGATACTTTGGATGCGCGATTCCGAAGCTGCCAGGGCCACCAGGGCCACTAGGACCGCATTCAAAGGAATCCTTCCTTCCTTCCTTTTCTCATGTTAACATACGTCAGCTATTCTCCAGCGCCCCGCAAGTAATAGCACATCCCTCACACATGTGTGCACGCAAAGAATGCAAAGAGAAATTCCCTCGCCAATCTCGTCGCACGGGAAATAAGCAGGCTTGACAGGTCCGACATTGCTACACCCCATTCACATGCTCATCTTGCATCTGTCGTGCACTGACGGGGAGGCACATATAAATGCAACATAGTTTATATACAACTACCGTATTTGGTAAAGAGATGAGTAGATAGAGTTGTTAGTCGAGGTAACTATACAGCGTAGGATCCGCCGCTACGACCAATCGGCCAAGTATTCCGGAATCTTGGAACAGAGTCCCAAATGAACGACCAACCTTGGAAAAATCTGGGCCAGCTGGGTTGGCGAATGCACCCCAAAAAGACTGGGCGATAATAGAGATAGAGGAACTTCGTTAACCCGATGGGTAGCCTCACATCATCTACATATTCACTTTCTAGAGTCAATATCTAAGACCGGATTATTCGCGAGAAAAGCTTCCTCAACTACCCGAAAGCACGCGACATCAACCATTCGACTTAGAGCAAAATACACTAGCAAGACACCCGAACTTGATTAATCATTTGCATTAGCGCATATATCCATTTTCGTCTATTTTTAGCCGCATATGTCTATTAAGACCTCTCCTAACCCATTGCCGATCTTTTGGCTAAAATAAGCTTAATTTGGATCTTATTCCTATAATCCTTAAGTCGATTTCTTAGATATGTTCGTAGTGGGTTGTTCTATAGGCACTCTGACACGAAGCCGAGTAGCCGCGCGGGTATCAATTCATCTTATGTGTTCCCCTCCATTAACTCTGACCTGATGGCCGGATTACTTTGGTACCCTCCGCCGGCTCTAGGATGAGCCATTGGCAGTCGATATTCTCCTTCCTGAACCTGCTGATGATTCTCTCGGCGATGTCCTCAAAGTTGCTCGTCGCCAGCGCCAAGATCGTGGGGCCCGCACCTGAGAGACATACACCTAGCAACCCCTCTTGCGAACTTGGCGACATCGACTCCACGATCTCGCCCAATCCGGGGATCAGCGTCTGCCGGTACTGCTGATGCAACTTGTCTTGCATGGCAAGGTAGATGAGATTAGGATCCGGAGGAGATTGTCCTAGCGCTACAGGGAGCAACGCTATTCGTTGTAAATTGAATGTCTCGGAGAAAGTCAATATTCAGCCATATGATATATGCAACGAAGGGGCAAAAAAGCCATGACTTACGACATCCTGTCGCGGGTACATCTTAGGCAATACCTCGCGCGCCTTGGCCGTGGGAACTTGAAAATTAGGGATTATAGCAACGGCCTTAATCTCCTTGGCCCAGGGAAACTTGATATGGTGACCGATACCGTGAGGCGGCTCGGGAGGTCGCTCACCCGTGTCGAGGCCACCAGCCGGGGCAGGCAACACTTCGCTGAGAGGGATCTCCACGCGGGCCATATCCTCCGGCGCCAATGGCTTCAAGTAGGTGCCCACAAACCCGCCGAACAAAGCGGCACCAACGTTATCCGGGTGGCGCTCTGAAACGGGACGTATGCGGGTTAGCATGATCGGAAATTACTCGATGACATCATGGAAACATTATAAGATAAGTCACACGTTACACGCATTATGCATATGTATGTATGTCTTAGGGCGGAAGAAAATAAGAAGAGGGGAAATATCCTACCGATCATGAGACAGAAATCGAAAAGCCGATCATTGTCCAGGTGGTGCAAGCCGCCGACCTCCTTGCCCAACATGACACCGGCCACGACGGCGGCACCTGAGGACCCGAGACCACGGCCTAGGGGGATGGGGTTGACGACGTGCACGTGCGTCTCGACGGGGAAGGCGCGCTGGTCGTGGCAGCGCAGGACGTATAGCGCTACGCGGGTGATCAGGTTGGCGGCCGGGTCCAGCGGCACGTCGCCGGACCCCTCGCCTTGCCCCTCATACGTGATGCGGCAGTTCAGCGGCTCCGTCGACGTTGTTTTCGTCCGGTCGATAGTGACGTGCAGCTCCAAGTAAATGGACAGCGCGAGCCCGATCACGTCGAAGCCCGGGCCGATGTTAGCTGAGGAGCTAGGGGTGCGGATCACGAAGGTCTCCATCTTCGCGAGTGTGTGTAAGTCCGGCGGGAATGAAGGAAGGATGGATGGAAGGATTAGACGGTTTGGGGTTTGAGGTTGGGGTTGGGGGTCCGTGGGAATCAAGCGAGCGAAATTATGTGCAGGATCCGCACACGTGCGTTGTGTTGCTTGAGGCACGAAATTTGAGATTGAAGCAGTTTGGAAGACGAGACGGTTGGGATGCAATGCAATTGGCGTTAGCCCGAACGATCTTGGGACAAGCTAACTAATAGAGGAATAGGGCGGTAGTCCGGGAATTATGTCGTCTTCCTGGGTGTCAAATTTAACTTACTTCGCAGGATTCTTTAAATCGAAATCCTGCTGACGACGGAAGCTTCGAATTGGTGAATGGAAATTTTCACACTTTGTGCCAAAGCTGAGCCCCGATGACGGAGGTCAGGGCTGAAAAAGCAGGGGGAATGGTGGGCTGTTTAGGTGGTGGGCTAGATTCCCAGTGCAGCGCTTCAGTGCTAGAGGATAGGCGGTTCCGAAGACCTGAATCCGCTGTGGGTCGCACCCGTTGCGGGGTAGCTGGCTTGCCCTAACGAGACGGAGTCGAGCTTCTAATTGGCTCGCCGTCTTAGGGGATGGACGCCGGTCTTTTAAAGTGGTGTGGTGAGCTGATGACGGATGTTACTTGAAGTCATTTTGTTTAAAATTCTTTTCTATTTCACATTCGATTCTTACGTCCGCATCGTCATATTCATGATATTCATGCATTCCGGATATCTACCCGTCGTTTGGAATGAGGTAAGCTGAAGTAAGTTTGCTCATTTATATCATATCCCGATAGCCCCTTAATCCTATCATGAAAAGTTTATGTTCCCTTCAATCACCAACCGAATGATTCGGTATGCAAAGTGACGATATCAGATTCACCAGTAAAAACTTTTTTCTGGGCAATCGACGCCGCGTTCGCAAGGTCTGTTCTCAGACTTTCTGGACCACAACCTGGGAGCGTGTTAGTTTTATCGACGATTCTTGAAACTCGATGTGGTGGATGGGGGCTTACCAAGAATAAAGCACCGTCGCGCGGTTAGGAGAGGAGGAAGTAGGTCAGGTAAGTAGGGCCGTTGAGTATGAACTTGTCCTAGCTTTGGACTGACTGTTGTCGTGGTGTTTTCGCTTGACTTACCGCCAACGACCCCGCTCTCGAGATTCTTTTCGGAATCTGTGCTCGTAACCGTCGGCGAGCTTGAGTTTGTCACAAAGAAATCTACTTGTATCAGATCCGGATGAGCATTTATGAGAGGCTCGAGCTCTTCTGTTATCCATTGTATTTGGCTGGCATGTCGAACCATCCAAATGAGATGGATATTTTTAACCGCTGCTGAACCCTCAGCGACGCGACGCGCGGTATGTTGAATCCATGGGAGGCAAGCTGATATCCCACTACCGCCTGCGACGAATATCAAGGATTCATATAAACCGGGTACATCCTCTACTATTCCTCCGTAGGGGCCATCGATATGGATAGAAACCGACAGCCCTCTATCTTCAGGATTGTCGTTGTTCTCAACGGATTTCAATAAGTCGAGTGTGAGACCCTGGTGTGCCCGGACATATAATATCATTTCTTGTACGTCCGAATCGAGTTTCACCCCTGCGCTTGGGATCTTTGGTATGTTCGCAATTGTGAACGGGTGGTTTTGCAGGATGGATAACTGAGGTATTCGGATCCAGCAATGTTGCCCAGGCTTCCATGTAAAATCCGGCGGCGCCAGAACTGTCACTTTAGTCATTCCGCCCGGGAGCTCTTCAACTCTCGACGGAAGACCGTGGAACCAATCTCGGAAGATGCTGAAGGTCTGCCACTTGTAGAAGAGACGCACTAAACATGAAGCTAGCCAGACCGCGAGCGTCGAGTATAGATACACCCACGAGTCCTTCTCCTGTTTAGAGTGCCAGAACAGCAAGCCTAGGTACACGACGTACATGGGTATGTGTAACCGATAGAAGAAATTGTAGAATCGATGACGGATCCATGGGATAGAAAGCACGACGATGCCTACTAGGATACCTAATGGTGGAGTTCCGGTATACTGCATAGGCAATTACGTTAGTCATGAGAATATTATGTTAAATAAATCTAGCAAGAACCATGATCGGGGAAATACGGGAAAAGGTTGCGTACCTCCATCCCGCCGGGTTTATAATACTGCTTCCGCAAAGCAGCAGGCCCTCCATCCCTCAATGGCTGGACAATAAAAGGTACCGTATGAACGATACTCAGGAACAGGCACATGTACGAGACCCAGCGGTGGAAAACATTAAGCTTCTCGTGGCTAATACCGGTGAGCATGGTGATGAAGTTGACCTTGCCCGCAAGAGCGACAATAATAGGGGTTAGCGCCTGTGCCATCAACCCCGTCCTCACAGCAAGCGGCGGAGAGCCGTAACCCCGTCGGCCGCGATAGTACGGATGAACCAGGAACGTCATTAATAAGAGAAATAGCGACGTTATGCCGAGAAAAGCCAATGTTCCAAGAGAAGGGAGGCCGAAGTAGTCGGCTACACGCCCCTTGGAGTGGCGGTAGTTGACGAAACGGCACGCGGCTAGGATCTTGTGAGACAGTGTTGATGTCGTTCTTCCGGATTGTTGCTGAGTAAGGACCCCAGAGCGTGCTGCGCGGTTCCGGTATAGACGGTAGGAATACACGACCATGGCTACGCCGATGGCGGCGAGGTAGTACCAAGTCGTGTAGTGCCCGTAGTCGTACTGGTGATCGTATGACACGGCCGCCTGGGAAGCCTGATGCGCTGCCTTGAAAGCGGCGCAGGAGTCGCTGTTGCAGAGTGGGTCCGATAAGGGGAGTCCGGTGACGTTCCCCGTGCTAGGGGTGTCGCCCATTGACATCGACATTGTCGCCGTCGCTTTCGCTGCTATGTTATCACGACAGATGCAGACGAACCCTAAGATGAGGTTGGACCTTGGTAGTGGGGGAAAGAGGGGACGTGACAGCAGGCAGCGACTTCTGAGACATCATAGACATTTTGTACTCAGTCGGAAGGAAAGCTGGAATCGGCTTGCTAATGCGCACGAGGTGATTTGAGTTGGTAACGGCGCGCGCGACGCCCGGTTAATTGTGGGTGAATGCTAAGGCGAGCATGGATTTATACTGCATGCTACCCGCGCCATTCCTATTTTGGAGAGGTGGAAGAAGATTAAACGGTCCTTCGCACCTATCGACATGCGTTCTAGAAATGTCTAATATGGACATCCTGGCGTTTTTATTGTTTTTGATGGGGTTTCTACTCGGATACCGGAGAGCTGGTAACACGGTGTCACGCCAAGACATCTACTGCTGCCAGTCGGGTTGCGTATGCAGTGTCTGACTTGGGAGGATTCAGAGACAATAGCAGTCGAGCGACGCGACTTGGCTATTTGACGGGGTTGGGAATAAGTGAATAGAAGGTAAGGTGCATACCTACTATGTACGAATCATAAACGACCCATATGATTTCCATGTGAGAAAGATAACACTATAACCTAACTCATGGAAACGGTGTGGGGTTACTATAAGTAGAATCGCGGCAATCGCAGCTGAAGGCCGTAGCGGAGCGTATAATCAACTCAAATGTGCTCACTCCTACTCCTATATTCCTACCCCTGTCACCGTCGTTCTATCGGAGCCGAATGGCTGGCGAAGTACACGGTACATACACTCACGCCGACTTCAGCCCAAAGTCTAAGACATACATACATGGCTGAAAGGTACCTGTATAAATAACACCAACATCGCTTTTTAAATCGACGGGCGCCCCCGTTCTCCCGTGCAAATAGATTGCGGATCCAGGTATTCGGAATTCCTCGTCTAGTCGCACTTTATATGTACTAGAGATAGCCGGACCAGACGCATTAAGATTTCTGTCAAACGCTTTGACATACTTTGCAACTCTCGCATTTCCCCATCTCGTTTGGATTGGTATCGGAAGTGATAAAAGATAAAAGATGGATATGTCAACGAGTATGAGCATGTCCATGTCTATGGACATGTCGTCTACAGCAACTGCTACTGCCGCAGCGTCAACGTCGACTGGGTCGTCTATGGATATGAGCGGGATGTCAATGGGGGGCGATAGCTGCAAGATTTCCGTACGTCTTTTGGTAACATCTAGGTAATTACGACAAGATATACTAACATTGATATTGGGATAGATGCTTTGGAATTGGAACACCATCGATGCGTGTTTCCTCGCCTCATCATGGCACATTACGTCGTCCGGAATGTTCGCTGGCTCTTGCATTGGCGTCATACTATTGACTATGTCGTTGGAGTTTCTACGCAGGACCGTAAAGGAATATGATCGTTATCTTGTCCGAAAACACACCTCAGTCCCTGTTGCTGCCATGCCGACGTCTTCTAAAGACAGTGACAGCAAGGATGCGATAACGAGTTCGGCACCTCTTAACCCGGGCGCAAGGAATTCAGTAGGCTTCAGACCAACGATATTCGAGCAAGCTATTCGGGCGTTACTGCACATGGTCCAGTTCGCGGTGGCGTATTTCATCATGTTGTAAGTTCTCGTCCATATCCGTGCTTCCCTCCACGGAGAAATACATCCGTTCCTATCCTCAACGGAATAACAACTGTCAGCCAGGCAGCTAACCGCCAGAATAGATTAGCAATGTACTTCAACGGTTACATCATCATCTGCATCTTTATCGGGGCTTACATTGGCGCCTTTATCTTCCATTGGGAGTATATCGACGGAGGGTAAGCGCGAATTCATAGCCTTGGCTGGATCATTATCGTGATGCTGACCGTTTTCTTTCAAAGGCGCGGTGCGACTAGTGCGAGTCAGGAGCCTACTGTGTGCTGCGCGTAGATTTGCCGCTCGGGTTGTTGACGTGTCACCGAGTATCACGACGTCGTCTTTGTCATACGAGGTTTCGGAGAGTGACGAAGCAGCTTATGTGGGTTTTGAGGGATACAACACTATGTTGATCATAGGGTAGTTGATAATAGGCTTATAATTATAGGTAGGTTTGGGTGTTTGTGTGAGACCTAGTAAGGAAGACAGGTGCGTAGGGTTGGGCTTATCATTGTCGCTGTTCCTCCGTTAGGTCATGGCGGAGCGGTGAGATCATACCTACTTACAATTACTAGTTACTGTCCCTTCTTGAATGAATATTAAGGCATCTCATTAATACTGAGTGGATTCCTATTTCTTCTTTCCGTGTTGTTTTCGGCTGATACATGTTATCCAACAAACTGATTATGTAATCAACCCCTGAGCCATCAGTTACCTACCTACCTACCTACCTGGACTCGAAAGCATAGTACGAAAAAATAAACCAAAATAACCTATTGTTTATAATACCTAGACTCAAGCGTTATATTTTAATGATGCAAAAATGTTATTGAAGTCCGCTATGTAAATTTCCGATGTGACTGTTTGTTCTGCCCCGCCCCCTTTTCCGTTCTGCTTGACAAACACTGCCCCACGTTACCTATGGATTCTTACCTACCTAGTGATATCTACGGGGCAGAAGCTATTTAGAAATCATGTGCATAATTGTGTCAATTGTAGATGCTCTACGTGGACTCTAGGTAGTTATAGCTAAGCCTAATACACAAAGGGTAGTTCCATATTACCAGGAATAGAATGATAGGACCTCATGATATGTTGATCAGTCTCCCATCCAATATCTCACACCCCCCAACTAACCCAATTCATCATCCAACAATTCTATGCCAAATCATGGGTACCAAGCCAAGGATTCCTGTTGCGGGAACTCGACATACCCTTTCCCCGAAACAAATGTGTGATCCCAAGGTCCCTGCTTCGCATTCTTCGCCAAGCCAAGGAATAGCTCTGCGTGGCCGGGGCCACTGAGGTCGGTGGTCACGTAGCTTCCATCTGCGTGCCTTTCGTCGGCGTAGTAGAATCTATACGGTTATTCGTGAGTTACACGCTGAGTAGATGGCTTCGTCTAATTTCTAATTATGTTGACAGTAGAGATCCACTCACTTGTACGGCTTTCCATTGTATGCGGCCAGGGCAAGGTGCCTGATCATGTTCGCCGTGGCGTTCTTTTGCACTGAACATACAAGTCAGTGATGGCCTTTGCAAATGAACAAGAAAGTCCGAGACAGTCTGTAGATCATGACTATAGAAAGAAGAGTTGAGGTGACAACCAAATCCACATACTTCCGAATGCCATCAAGCCCGGGATAGCGCTGATATTTAACATGTTCCCCGTAAAGATGAAGGTACCGCCCGCAGGGCCAAGTTGGGAAGGACCGAGCTTCTCGAACCCCTTCACAGCCTCTCTTGCTGCGATGAAAGGGGTAGTCGTGTTTACATTTAACCCGGCTTGGAAGTCTTCAAGTCCTAGCTCGAACGGACTGTCCGGTGGTGTCATGCCGCCTTTATACGCTGCTATCGTATTAATTTCTAGTCGGAATCAAGGGATATCACGTTGGCGGCGAACCGTTATATATGACGACGCTTGGTATGCCGAGATCTGCGGAGACTTTCTCGAAGAGTGCTGGGACCTTGTCTGGTTCGGCGGCATCGAAGGTATAGTGTCGGTAATTGGCACCGGTGTTTTGTTTCCTAGATGCTACGGCAACTTGGAAACCCGCTGCCGCAAAGGCTTCGGCGGAGGCTTGGCCAACTCTCGGTCCGGCACCGATAATTAATACAGTCGGCATGGTAGATAGTAGTGGATGGAATATAACAATAGAGACAAGTATTGAATAGGTGGGTAGCTTTGAACAAAGGTCCCTTTGATCTACAATGATGCGGCTTATATCTCACTTATGTATCGATCTATTCCGTCACTACTATTGCGGAGACTTTCGCCGATTTGGCCTAGACGGTTCTTTGTATTTCTAAGCGCTGTCCGCTATGTCCGAAGATGGGTAGCTGCGAGGCCATATAACGTGAAATATTCTCTTGCTGACTGCATTTATAATATGCTACCCTTTACAAATCAATCGAGATCCTATCAGAAGTGTCAATCCAGCTTTTGACCGAACTTACGGACAAAATGTATTGGGTAGATGCTTAGCACATCATATCTTAGTGTCGCATTTTACCACCCCCATGCAGTTGTCTGGACCTGCGGGTTCTCTTTACGGAATGGACAATCCCGGTCTTATCAATATCAAAAGTCGTGATATAATCGTCGCGGTATTTAGGTATAAATAAAGTTGAGTTAACAAATCCCAAATTGAAATACACAGTTGAACCACCCGTTTGTTGAAAACATAATCGCCGCCTGACCTGACTCCGGTAAAGACTATGCCCAAAGCTGGAATAGATACCTACTTAGCTCGATATTTTCTTCGCGATGATCACGGCCTCCCTTGCTTCCTCTTCGTAGAACACGATATCCTTCACTTCAAAACCCACTTCGGCTAATAATTGATTCCAATGTGTCCTCGTTCTTGCTTCTGCGTTGAGCATGGCAAGCATGGCCAAGTCAAGCTGTGTCTCATACCGATGCGCGCCCCGATCTGGAAGTACCAACTCATCAATCAGCAGTAGAGAGTGTTCGTCCATGGCATCTCGCACATGACCGAGAATTGTTCGAGCGTATTGATCGGGCCAGTCTTCGTCAATGCGAGGACTGATTAGCACATCTCAAGTTTTAAGGGGGGGGGATTGATAAAATGGGCAACGACTCACTTCGCAAAACGCTTCTGAAATAGTAAGATGCCGCGCCTATATACTCAGATTAGTGCCAAAGCCTTAATAATACTCGCCATTGGGCGAAATAATTACCCTTAACAGGTTGACCAGCGAGGAAGTCTACTCCAACTTTCTCGATCCCGTCCTCGAGTTCTGCGTTTGCTACCACTTCTTCCAGGTCCTCTAGAACGATAGTGCCTCCCAAGTCTGGCACTTGTTTCTTGAATGCCTTGATTTTATATCAGTTTAAGGTTGGTTTCTTGGCGACAATCATCTCACCTTGCATTGGTGACCAATACCACCGCCGATATCCACAAAGGAGACCCCTTTCGCTTTCCCGCCCTCTTTCCCAACGGTTACCTTCTCAAAGGCATCCGTGATTTCCTCAATGACTTTTGATTGTTCAAACCACGTCTTGACGCCGGTCCGGTGGGAGGTCATAAAGATGTTGAAGTCCTTGGCATTCTCGGGGCGGTTCTTGAGCCATTGGAAGAAGGTCACCTCTTCAGGAGCCACTCTATTGCCCTGGGCGAACGCCGTGTCGCTCTTATCTTCAGGTGGATTGTAGTTATGGCGACGAAGAAAAGCCGGAAGAGTTAGCATCGCCAAGCCACAGTTGTCGACCCTGATATTATAGTCAGCATGTGCCCTGCATGGTGGCGGTCAGGTGGCGCTAAATCCGGGGTAACACCACGTTGAGGCTTACATGCTAGCTACCCCTGCGCTCTGGCCCTTTCCTAATAGGTTATTCCCGAGATGGCTTGCAGTCCAGATGTCACTGTCGACTTCACGGATAAAACTTAGTGAAGCTAGGTATCTCAGGACACGAGCCAGAAGTTTCGGATTCGGATTCTTGCCCGTCTGTTTTGCGAGTTCTGCTGTCGAAAGGGGGGTGGAACTCTCCTTAAGCAGGCTGAAGATATTAAGATCCACAGCGATCCTAGCCATAGGTAGCTCGAGTATCTTGCATGCCCAGGTGGTAAGCGACTTACGTCGACAGGAATATCATTCATGCAGGAGGGGTATGACAGGATCACTCTTTCATATAAGAGACCGCCTTATTCGATAGAATGGGCTCACATTGTATAAAAACCGTTGACAAGCTTCGGCCGACGTTTCCAATTCTGGAATAAGCGATAGTGTTGCCGACAAGAGCCTCTTCCGAAGTTCGTTATCTGCTCCAAGAGCCGTGCGAGTGGCCGTAGGGTCTGAAGCTAACTTCTCGAGAACTGCGACAGCAGACTCAAGTGTTCTGGTTTGGGCCACCATGTCGAAAAGCTTTATTCTAATTTAGTTGGAATATGAGCCTGGTATTATGATTGTATTGATGGTTTCCGGTGGCAATAAATTTGCTTAATAGTATTAGATAGGTAGGTATATGATGATTCAGATATTCCTTTCGGTGCTGAAGAGAAATATTGGGATTATTTCGAGGCAACTGATGATACTTATACCGAAAATCCAGGTCAGCATCCCATTACTATATTCGGCCTCAACATCTCTATCTCATTCCGACCGGGATCTCGCGCGCATGCCACCGACATAAACTGGGGTTGCTGAACCATGTAATGGTCGTCAGGCTCATTCTCAGATCACATAAGAATCGAGTTAAAACGTCAGCATTGAGTAACAATGGATACAAGGAAAGTTCTTGGTTGCGGGTCAGTGGGGGTGAAAGGAGTCGGCGGGCTGGTGGTCGCGAGAAGCCGTCGCCGCCGTCGCGAGACCCATAATATGTTGGACGGGTCTAGATAGCGTGGCAACCCTGTCGCCCGCTACCAGTCAACTGTCTTTGCATTTTGACAGGAATGAAAACGCTGTAGGATAATCCTAATCCAGTTCCTTTAATGTAACATCGCTCTGGTACGGTGAAGCCCTATATCTAATCTTCCTGCACATTTTGTCGTCGAAGGAGAAGAAAGTGTTAGTTAACTTTGCTCATACCCGCGCTATGACCGCCAACAGCCTAGATCATGCTGGATCATATACACTCGTACAGTACTTATTGAAATTGTCGATGTGTAATTTCCAACCAAATTTCGAGTGAGAAACCGTGTTATTGGTCAGATTGGTCTGAAGTATGGTCCTGAAAACATCCACTTCGGTGTGGGATGTCGTTCACGCGATTCTACAGCGCGAAAGAATTCCCCCACTGTCTACCTACCCCTAGGTAGATAAGTAGATACCTAGTTGATGGTTGGCTGAATCCCTCCATGGTATTAGATAGGTTTATTGGTGGTTTTAGAGGCGCAAGGTTGGATATTTTCAAACCCTTTAAGAGATTTACTTCTAACTTTGAGATTGATAAGGAGACAGTATAAATGTAGATACTAGGTACAACGTTGATTATCTAATGCATATCTCACCTAATAATCTCACATTGCCCCACCTTTACCCGTGAAGTCTATCCGACTATCCCCGCACAATAGCGGCGTTAAAACAGTTTCTCACCTATGTGCTAATACATTTACACTGTACGTAGATGCTCGCTGCGTCGGTAGGCTACCTATCCCATACATTACACAACGAGGGTTGACTTTCCACCAAATTACGTGTAAGCTAATCCATATAGGAGAAGTAGGGGATATATAAGCTCACTACACCTGCCTAATGCACTCTTCTTACGTAATTCCCTTATAGCCTAAACACTGCCAGGTGTGAGTGAGGGGTATGGATTTCTAATCCAAAAATCACCCTAACAATCTTAACATTTATGATTATTAAGAAAGCTTTATACCAGTATGTGACGTTTAGGGCCTCTAGTTAGAAATAATGCTTATTTTTAACGCATTCCCACCTTTTGCTTGCTAGTACGTTTAACTGATGCGGACCATCTACGGCGTGCTTACGTAACTATGGGGAAGGGTCGATTCATTTCGAAATCTTAAATTAAGAATAAAAAAAAACAACATTAAATTATCGATTATAAAACGGCGGATTATAAGGATAAATCCGTTAACCCGTTAATTTAATTAATATATTAAAAAATATATTATATAAATATAATGTATAATAAAAATATATTATATTTTATAATTTAAAAATTAAAAAGTTTATAAATTATAATACGTATAAATAAATATTTATTAAATATCGTAACGGGAAAAAGGGGGTTTTAAGAATTATTTTTCGTATAAAAATATTATTATAAATAAAATATTTTAACCCGGCGTAAATATTTTTTTATATAAACTTAATAAAAAAATATATTAATAAAATAATTTATCCTTTAAAATTATTTTTTCTTATTATTATATTTTTAAAATAACTTTATTTTTATTAAATTATTTTAATAATTATTTTTTATTATTAAATTATTTTTATAAATTATTATTATTTTATTAAATAATATTAAAATTATTTTTTAAATTAAAATAAAATTAATAAATAAAGAAAAATTATTTTTTAAATTATAATTATTTTAATTTTATACTTAATTACTTTTTAAATAACTTTACTTTTATTAAATTATTTCGATAATTATTTTTTATTATTAAATCATTATAATAAATCGCCATTATTTTATTAAGTAATATTATTAATATTAAAATTATTTTTTAAATTATAATAAAATTAATAAATAATAACGAATTATTCTTTAAATTATAATTAATTTAATAAATTTAATTAATTTAATTAATTTAATTTATTTAATTTATTTAATTTATTTAATTTATTTAATTTTTTTATTTTAATAAATATATATACGATTAATTAAATTAATTAAATTAATTCAATTAATTCGATTAATTTAATTTAAATTAATTTAATAAATTAATTCGATTAATTTAATTAATTTAATTTATTCGATTTATTCGATTTATTTTATTTATTTAAAATTTTATATTTAACTTTTTTACTTTTATTTTAACGATATTTTTATTAATTACCCATTTTAATATTAACTTAATAAAATACATAATAAAATACTTACCGTTTTCGTTACTTTCTTTTTTATTTTTTACCTTTTACTTATTTATTTATTTATTTTCTTTTATTAATTTTTTTATTTTTTTATTTTTACATTTTTTTATTTTTTTATTTTTATATTTTTTTATTTTTTTATCTTTTAATTATATAATTATATAATTTATTTATTTACTTATTTATTTATTTATTTATTTATTTATTTATATATATAAATATATATATATATATATATATACGTATATACGTACGTACGTATTTATTTATTTATTTATTTACTTATTTATTTATTTATTTACTTATTTATTTACTTATTTATTTATTTATTTACTTATTTATTTATTTATTTATTTATTTATTTATTTAATAATTAATTAAGTAATTAATTTTTAAATTATTTAATTAAAATACGTATTTAAATAATTATTTAATTACTTACTTATAAATCGATTTATTTAATTATAAATTAACTTACTTTTAAATTAACTTAATTATTTTTAAATCGATTTAATTACTTTTAAATTAACTTAAATACGTACGTATAATATATTTACTTTTAATATACGTTTTAATTAACTTATTAACCTTTAAATTAACTTATTTACTTTTAAATTAACGTATATATAAATATATTTTTAATATACGTTTAAATAAACTTATTTACCTTCGAATTAATTTAAATACGTACGTATAAATTTATTTATCGAATAATTATAAAATTAAATTATTAACTTAATTATAAACGAATTTATTTACTTTCGAATCGATTTAAATATATATATATAAATTTATTTATTAAATAAATTTAAAATTAAATTACTAACTTAATTAAATTATTTTAAATCGTAAAAATAATTTTAAACTTTATAAAAACATTATATATATAAAATCGATAAAAATTAAAAAAAATTATTCTTTATATTAAAATTATACATTTAATAAAAACATTTTAAACTTAATAAAATAATTTTAAACTTTATAAAAACATTATATGCATAAAATCGATAAAAATTAAAAAAAACCATTCTTTATATTAAAAACATTTTAAACTTAATAAAATAATTTTAAACTTCGTAAAAATATTACATATATAAAATCGATAAAAATTAAATAAAATCATTTTACAATCGAAAATAATTTCTTTTAATTTTTATTAATTTTATACATGTAATATTTTTATAAAGTTTAAAATCATTTTCGCGATTTAAAAGTTCCCGTTATAATAAATATAATAAGTTTTTTTATTATTAAAATAATTAATACATAATTAATAACGTTAAAGTTATTAATTATATAATTTATTAAGGTTATATTTTTCGTGTATATAATTTCGAATTTCCGTTTTTATTTTAAAAATATAAAACGTAACTTTAATATAATTTTTTTATTAATCGTTTTATTTTATATTAACCGCGGTTTATATTAATTTTTAACTTTATTAACATTTATTTTTATAAAAATATTAAAAAAATAAATATTTATTTAATAATATTATAATAATTATTAATTAAATTAAACTTTATTATATTTAAATATTTAATAAATAAATAAATAAATATATAATCGTTATTTATTATAATATTAAAAGTTATAATAATAAAAATAAATTAATTTAATTATTTTATTATATTATTTAAATTTTTAATTATATTAAAATAAATAAAAAATTTTATATTTAAACGTAAAGAAAAAATAATTTAATATATTATTAATTTAAACTTTAAATTATTATTAATTTAACGATTAATTAAATAACTTTTCGAAAATAAATAAATAAATAAAAAATATATTAAATATAAAAATAAAAAACTTTAATAATAACTTTTTAATAATAAAAAAAATAACTTTACGATTAACGAATAAAATATTAATTATTTAATGTTTTTTTTAAAAAATAAAACTTTATTTAATAAGGTTTTTTCGAACTCGGCTTTAATATTCTTTTTATTAATATAATTTTTATTTATTTTTATTTTTATTTTTTTATAATTATATTTTTATTTTTAACTTAATTTTTTAATAATTATAATTTTTTACTTTATTTTATATTTATTTAAATAATAAATAATTATTTATATGTTTTTAATTTTTTTATTATTTATTTTACGTAAATAATAATATAATTTTAATTTATTTCGATTTAAAATATTTATATATTTTTATATATTATTAAAAACTTTTTAAACATTATTAAATGTAATTTAAATATATTTTCGGTAGAAAATACGGTTTTTTTTTATTTTTATAACTTAAAATAATAATTAAAAAACTAAATCGTAATATATTTTTAACGTTAATAAAAATTTATTAAATAAAATCGATATTATCGTTTATAATATCGTTATTATTATTATTATTATAATGTAAAAAAAACGCGTTTAAACTAAAATATATAAAATTTAAAAAATAATTATTATAATTAATTAAATTTTTTTTAAGTTTAAAATATATAAAATAATATATATAACTTTATATTAAATTAAAAAACGTTATTTTTAATTAATTATATTTAATTAATTTAAGTTTATATAAAAAAAATTATAATTTAATATATTATTATATTTAAATAATTTTATTTATATATATTAAATTTATTTATAATTAAAAATATTAATATTTTATAAAAAATATAATTAAATAATATAATTTATATCGAGTTTTATTAAAGTTTAATAATATTATATAATAACGTATTATTAAAAAAAATATTTTAAATATATTATATAAAATTATAAATAAATAAACTTATAAAAATTAATATATTTATATAATTTTAATATTTAAAATATTAATTAATATAATATTAATATTATAAAAAATTTTTAAAAATAAAATGTTTATTTATATAATGTTTATTATTTTTTAAAATAATTAAAACGATATATTAAACTTATTTATTTATATAATATTTTATTATTTATTAATAAATTTTTCGTAATATTTAAGCTTTAATAATTTCGATTATTTATAAATATT